AGAGAAACCACACATATTGGGAGTTGGTAAATTCCACACAAGGCCTCATCTGGGCATTGGAAACAGGAACATCCTTGCTATTACGAAATAATGTAAACCAATAAATAACTATCAGCAAAACTGATGTCATAAAATCAATAACCTAAAAGTGTGAGGCTTAGCGTTGGAGAGCACACAATGATCTCTAGTGCAGTTTCCATTTAATTAAAATCCAACATGATTTCATCAATGACCATAATTGTAAAGAAAGAAATTTAAAAGAAAGAAATATATCAGTCTTTTCTTTTCTTTTTTCACATTTTGCCTTTTCAAGTGCCCAAAAAAACTATTTGTCCAAGGTCCTCACCAAACACGTGGAACATTTGCACCCATTCAGACTTGAATCATGGTCATAACATAAAATTTCCTCCTTTTAGACATGAACCCTGCAGATCTGCTTGTAATTTTCAAGGCCTTACCACTCAGGTTTTAAAACCTTTCCCTTAATTAAACATAACTAACATGAATACCTCACTTTTCTTTGTTGTTGTATATCATCCACCTGACCTTTATTCTGACTTTCTGTCTTTTCAGATTTATCTCTGTTGAAGCTGCCTACTGCTTAAGTTAATGGTTGACTTTGGCAATAACATACATAATGAAAATGACAGATCAAATATTAACTCTATTTTAAAGTATAGCCAATTGGATTTTCTCAAAATGTAGATTTTGCTCACTCTCTTAATCATTCTCCTAATCTTGTGTGAACACTGAACAATAAACTGTTTTGTTATAACCCTGTCTTCTCTTCCCTTTTTTATATAAAGTTTCAGTTCACATTATTGATTAGAGAGCCAGGAAAGCCTTATAAAAAGCCAGTGTAGGCTGTCCTCTTTTGGTTGATACTAAATTTGACGAACTGGTTCTCTCCAACGATGTCCACCCCAGTGCCATGTTGTGTGTCAGAACATCCACCAACTCTTAGACATACAGATCAGCCTGATAGGCCTGACGCTGCTCAGTGCTCTGATGTTGATTATGATACTAAGGCGAGTCACATTCCTATCATGGCTATGTGCACCATGAGTAGGTGGGTTCTAAAAACAGCTTCAGGAAAGGCATATGTAAACACTACAACCAGCCATTACTCATCGGTTACTCATGACTGTTTTGTTTTCATTAGTTTTTCAATCCATAGGATAGCAAAACATGCCAAAATGAAACTTCTCATGAATCGCCTCTCTCTTTACACTCCTTGTACCAATGAATAAAAATTGTTCTCTTTAGCCCCTAAATGAACAAGTCAGTTTGCCTGCTAATCATTAATTAAAAAATCACGAATTCCGTCTATTAGCTTCATACTGTTCATCAATACAATGGAGATGCATCAGGGTGCTTTGTAATGAAAACAGCTACTGTTGGTAAGAGGTTGAGGAAACCATCAAGTGTTTTGATGAGTAAAGTCATATAGCAAAAATTCCAAAACTGTATCTTATAATAAGTATGTTTTATAGTAATCAACTGCACCCATAACCATTCACAAATGACAGCAAATGTTTAACTATGTTGCCCAAAACAGCTATTATTTATTCTGATACGACACCAGGTTAAAACGATATACCTGGATTTACATATTGTAATTCTGAGCCAAAGCCTATTTCTCTTTAGCATGTTTTATACACAAAACATAAGACAGTTCCTCCAACCTTTCCTCACTTTAATATGCAGGTCTCTATCATTTTTTGTAGCAGATCAAACTTTCAAACAGTCATAATACTAAAAACACAGCTTTTCTACTTTTGGCAAAATAAAAACAGAGATTGCACATTTGGGCTGTTGATTAAAAAAAATAATGGCATGTGGCATATTTTCCTGTTACTATTTTCAGTGGTTTAGGTCCCAAAATCATACAAAACAATGAGAATATGAATTAAAAAATTACACTAAATCAGAATCAGAATCTTTGACTGTGTGTAACTAGTTGTGTGTTGTTTTTTTAAATAAAATATAAAACCAACAACTTACCCAGAAAAATTATAGTCTGCTTCCTTGCTGTCTTGGCTTTTACACTTTCATGCTTGCATCCCCTTTGAGTTTCATTTATGCCTTTATCCAAAGGTTTCTGAAGAATCAGTATCATTGCGTGGCACATGAAGGCCACACAGATCAACACAATCATGTAGATGATGAAAGCTCCAAATAAACTGACCCTGTACATCACCCAGTGCTCTCTCAGATTGGTGCAGAAGGTCAGATTCTGGACGGGAGCGGCTAGTTGGTGGGGTATGTATCCCTCTGTGCCTGTAGCGATCAGCTGTGGTAGGGCTATCAACACTGATACCAGCCAAGCAAAGGTGATGAGGGTAGAGGTTCGTTTTCCAATCAAGGTTTTGAAGCGGAAAGGGTGGCAGATGGCAACATAGCGCTCAAAGCTAAGTGTGGCAACATTGAGGATGGTGGCATAACTGCAAGCCTCAAACAGGAAGTTGTAGATCTTGCAAGAAATGTTACCTGATGCAGATGTGAAGGGGAACCAGATGGCACTGTAGAGCTCCACTGGCATGCCAATAAGGAGCACCATTAGGTCAGAGCATGCAAGGCTAACCATGTGGTCAGTCACATTCTTCTGCAAGTAACCATTGCGCTTCAGCAGTTGAGTTACTCTGATGGTAACTGAATTACCCACAATACCAGTCACCAGCATGAAGCTATAGAGGACTGACAGGAAAATTTTAATGGCATAGTTTGGCTCAAGTTTACTCCAGTCTTTTTCGGCTATGCTCCCAGTTTCTTTACTCATGCTTGCAAAGTAGGGGACCAATATTATTTCCAGTTATTAACTAGCTTCTCAACTCTGCTGGGCACAGTCTGCGTGATTTGAACCAAGATCCAGAAGTAACAGCAAGTTGTACAGTAAACTTATTGTATCCAAATAAACCTGATTCTCAGAGGAATATATCTCACTGGAAAAGAAACAGAAATCACATTAGACATCAATTTTCAGTGGAAAACACAAGGACTCTTGCACTTTGTTGTTTTCTTCATACTCACTGCCTTATTTCAATAAAAATTCCTATGTGCAGTCCCTAGCCTGCCCCATTTCCTCATAGTCCTGATGAATAGATTAGATTCCTCAATGTTCCACAAGTCCTTGTACGGATTAAGCCGATTTCATTTCTGTCCCTCTGACCAAAGTGTAAGCCAACATTTAACTGATACAAATTCCCTCCTCCCACTGACAAGGGAAGGGCAGTTAAACATTAAACAGTTCCACCAGCAGTGAGCAGTGGGCGGGGTTTCATTTCTTGTCTTTGCTAATGCCCCTTCTGTTTAAATTTGTATTTTACTTACAAAATTACAGAGGTGGTTAAAAGAGGATAGAGTGAAATCTCTATGACTCAGATGTTTGCAGGTTCAAGTACATTAGGTCGAAGATTGTTTTTAGCAAAATTAAGAAAAAGGGCTATATCAGAGATCTGAAAAGTGACTTTAAAGGTGAAATTATTATGATTTAATATGTATTCATAAGGGCGGCACGATGGTGCGGTGGTTAGCACTGTCGCCTCCCAGCAAGAGGGTTCTGGGTTCGAATCCCGGGGGAACCAGGACCTTTCTGGGTGGAGTTTGCATGTTCTCCCTGTGTCTGCGTGGGTTCCCTCCGGGTTCTCCGGCTTCCTCCCACAGTCCAAAAACCTGCATGTTAGGCTGATTGGAGATTGGGGAAATTGCCCTTAGGAGTGAATGTGAGTGTGAGTGGTTGTTGGTCCTTGTGTGTCTCTGTGTGGCCCTGCGATGGACTGGCGGACTGTCCAGGGTGTACCCTGCCTCTCGCCCGTTGACCACTGGGATAGGCTCCAGTTCCCCCCGCGACCCCATGAGGGAATAAGCGGTATTGATAATGGATGGATGGATGGATGTATTCATAAGGTAGTACTTTTATTTTATTACTCCAAAAATACTGTGTTATCAGAATGTATAAATATTTGTGTTAAATAAAAAAAATTACACGAAGGCTAAATCAAAAGTATTTAAATGTATTTCCCAATGTACAGGAACATAACCTACATGCTTTGTTGATAATGGATATTGTAAGGCTCCCCAAGAGTTTCAGCTGTCGCTAAATTGACTTTTCATTCAGGGTTACGCCATCTCCCTGTTCCATATTGAGGTGCTGAACTAGCCTAAGGGCAATAGAAACTACTTTTTTGAGTCAAACCATTGTTATGTTTTGATTTAATTTTTTCTTGAATTTTTCAAAATTATTTAACATTTAATATGTATTTAAAATATAAATTAATATTTCCTTTTCAAAAATGACATCTATAAACATGGAAGGGAATGTTAACTTAAAGAAGGATGTTATCAACCAGATGGAAGGAAGAGTAGACACTAGTTTTGATGATAAATAAAACAGACAGGGAACTTCCACAAACAGGAAGTTGGCTTAAATCAGACAGAGCTGAGTAGGTGAGCAATAACCTCATTAGCAGGCTTTGCCTGGGCTATGTTCCCATGACGTTTTTATGGATTTTCCTGAAGTTTAAAAATAACCAGTAATTCATATGAAATCCTCATAGGAAAACAGCCTCTGATATCAGTCCCAAAAGCTTACATGTCTTAAATGTATTGTCATTTAAAAAGGGCCAATCTTCTTTAACTTCCCTGACTAATTTCTTCACTTTACTGTGTAAAATGAGAACATCAAATAAGAACGAATTATTTTACCATTTGAGTTCCCAGCAGCAACAACACATCTAAGTCTTTATCCTTTTTTTTCTGCATTTAATTAACTGACTGACAGAAAGTCTGCTCTCTCTGCTGCTCATACCATCTTTTTTCCTTGTTCTTCAAACAGCATTCTAATAGGTTTGACGGCTCCCACATTTTTCATAAATGCATTTATCATTGCTAAAGTGTGTTGTCACCTAGCTGTTGCTGTGTAACGTGGTACCAAAAAACAAAACACTGCTGTGCCATGGTCAAAACAATATCTCAGATATTAGCAGCCAATTGAAACCTTACAAAACCTTTCATACTGAAGTATGAAACGAGACTTGAAAAAATAATAGAGGTTGATCTGATAAAATTCACGTTAGCGTCACTACTCTTAAATTGTACATTTTCAGTAAAACATAATAGTAACAAGAAAAAAGAAGCTGGGATAACAAAATGTAGACCTAAAAAAAAAAAAAAAATCAAATCCATGATTTCGCAAGCACCATATGAAAACTCATGTATATATGCGATTTGTTTCAAATTAACTATATCTACAAATATATATATATATATATGCAATGGACCAAAATATTTTGTTTTGTCAATTAAACAGTTCAACTTGGTAATTTAGGCTTATCAGATTTTTATCACTTCTCCCATGTACAATTAAAACTGTAACGATGGACGTATAACAGGACGAGAATAACAATGACAGTTAACATATGAAAATCTCATAGTTAAAGATTTGCATACTTGTCTTGTATTGCTTTAGCTCTCTAAATGAAGCATCTTTATATCACCAAGTCAGAACATAGTATCAAAAATTACATGCTTTAAAGTTTTAGCAAGTACCAACACAACAAATCCTTATTTCAGCATTATTGCGTTACCTTTACTGTGATTCACTTTTTTAAAACTTGATCAGCACAGTCTTTTGATGAATATCTGGGCAAAGACTGAGTGCACATGATTGCTTATGTCCATATGGGCCATGTAACAGACTGATAACCTGTTGGGAATAAATTCCCAACTAAGGTATTATGTAAAATTATCAATCTGTATCTATTTCATTCTTTGAAGCTGAACAAACATGACCAATTTTAAAACTTAAGTCTGTAACCATTCTTTTCCCTTCCTGATGCTTTTTAACTTTTTGGATTTCATCTTTAAAGACGCCACTATTTTCAAACCTTAGAAAGTGATTTCTTATTTTTGCATGTCTAAAGATTTGTGATAAAATCATAAAGTGTTTTTGGCATTGTCACGAAGGCATCAGGCTAGAGATGGCTAATTGTCTTGTTCACTTGGCAAGATAATTAGAATATCTTTTTGCCTATTTAGCGGTCCATGTTCTGTCACATATTTTGAAATGATGACTACTTGTTTAACTTCTCCTCAAACATCATTATGATTATACATTTTTTTCTTTACACTGAATAAATAATTTAACAAAAAGCTTTGAAAACATGTTTTAATAGTGCATTGAAGTATGAAAACAGACTTGAAAAACAATAGCATTATTCAAGAGCTTAAGTTGGTAAAACGGAAGTTTCTGCCATTTTAAACAACAAAATGTAGACAAATAACCTGAGAAAGAATAAGGGAAAAAAAAAATCACCTCCATGATTTCACAAGCACCATTGGTAAATATACAAAAACTGATGTTCAAATGGAAAACATTGCTTTTTACAAAGGAACCACAATTACATAACTTTTTCAACTGAAATCATGATGATATAATTGAATGGATAAAAGTCCCAAAACATGGGCCGCAGCATAGCCTGATTGGGGGCCGCAGCGTGGCCTAATGGTTACAGCGGGCGGACCATGTGTGGAGCCTCTCCTCATAAGCGGGCGGCCTGGGTTGATTCCAAACCAATGGCCCCCTCCGAAGGTCTCCCCCTCTCTATCTCTGCCCCCCTTCCTGTCAAGCTACTGTCATTAAAGGCCACTAGAGCCAACAAAATCTTTTTAAAAAAAAATTAAAAGTCCCAAAACATACAATGAGCCAAACTATTTTCTATTTATCAATTAAAAATCTGAACTTGCTAATTTGCTCTCAATCAGCCTTTTGAAACTTCTCATATTTCCAACAGGCAGTTAGTCATGAGTGCAATTAAAACTGTGATGCACAATTTTTTCTTTTTCTTAAGATGAATGCAAAAACAATTACATTTCCCCTTTAACTGTTGTGTTAACATACTGGACTATCTGAGTAGAACTGCTGCTAAGAGAAAGTGCTTACTGTTTTATGAACCATCAAACACAGATAACAAACTTTTTATCTGAAGGAAAAGAAAGCCAATAACAAACAGCCAAAATGACACGGTAGCATCTCCATTTAAAACTAAAGACATTATGATTCAATTAAAACCAGCAGCAGTTATGATTTAAAAAGTTAACCATTGATTCCAGCAGAGTGACATTTGTATCGTCCGTAAAATCCAGCACAGACAGTGAAAAAGAGAAACCAAACAAGTTGTTTACATGAAGGATTCAATACGTTCTTGTTCAGCTGTAGTCAGTTATGGGGTTTATAAAACAAAGGAAACATCAAGATTAGTTTTTTTGTTTTTGTATGTTGAAATATGTCAAATCACTAGTGTGATAAATTTAAAGGAAAGTATTTTTAAGAGGTCCAAAAGAGCCCGAGCAGGGGCATATATTCGGCCATGCTTCTGACTGGTCATGAAAACAAAGTTACGTTGACTGACTTATCATAAAGGCATATCTGTGCATTTAAACCAAAGTTTTGCTTAGAAATTCCACAGAAAATTTCTGACAGTGTACAACTCTCAGGCTTTAGGTCATGAAATTCATGCCAATGTTGCACATACTGCAGATTTAGTTCTAGTCTCAAGGTATTGTTTTCACAGATTGACATCTGTACTGATGCACTGTCTCTGTAAAACAAGCAGCAAAAGTTTCAGACAAGATCAGTCTTCAGGACTTCACTGACATAAATTAAAATCCTCTCTAAAAATGAACTTAACACAGACATACTTTTCTGTTAGTGTTACGAATGAGTGTAAAATGTACAATTTTATTTGGTTACGTAACAGTGCTGTAAATACTGATGATACCCTACACCTTGTACCATCAGGATTCATTACACTGAAAATAAAGACTGAATCTCAGTCTTGCTGGCAGAAAATGAACGACAGAGGACTTATCTCAAAAACTGTTGTAAACAAATAAAAACAAAATTAATAGGAGGCACTGGGATAAGTACGTCAATTTTCCAGATTGTCAGGTCAACAGTGTCAAATCCACAGTGGCCACCTTTGGACACAAAAAAGAAAACGTGAAAAAAAACAAAAATGGTATAAAAGAAAAATATTACATTGTTGATATTTGTACGGATATTTATGGGAACATGCTTCTAGTTCTTAAAATTCCCCCCTAGTGTGAAACTTCTAAAAGTCATGATGTACAGGTTGACAGACAAGAAACAGAATGCCATTAACTAGAAAAAGCCTCCTATTGCTCTTGAAAAATGACTGATTGTCAGTGTTTTGTTTTGTTTTTAAATCTGTTATGCTGAAAATGTAATTAAAATTATGGGTTTTTCAGCATTGTCAAAAGCATTTTAGTAAATTATTTTACACCAAAGAAGTTTTTTGCATTTCCAACAATTAACTATCATTAATTGAGCTTTTACACAGGGCTTTTTTTTTTTTTTAACCAGAGCACAATTATGCCTCAGTTCTGTTATTTACTTGCACAATTATCCTTGTCCCTGTATAAATCCACAGAAGCTAAATAGAGTTAGTGACTTAAGTATATACAACAATGTGATGCTGTTTGAAAGTTGAAACAAAGTCTTAAATGAGCCAATTTTCTGTATACATCTATAGCCATCTGACACAATCAAAATAATTAATGTTATGACAGCAGCTTAATTGAAGTTTAGCTATATCAATATGCACATTTAAAAAAAAAACCTTTTAGGAAAATGATTCTTTGAGGATCTAGACACATTTGAGTCTAATTGAGCATTAACATGAGGTAATATTACATTCCAAAACCCAGTGTTCTCTTACATCTAAGGTTACAATGTTTATGTACTGCTTTATTCCCCTGTTATAGTTCAGGTTTTCCTTTACCAATAGAAAGGTGTCACATGCTATAAGATCGTCCTTCTTTTTGACACAGCAATTTACTATTCCATTATGCACTTCTTCCAAAACAGCCACTAGTCTGCATCATTCTCCACTGACACCTTTATTAGAAACCACATACTGAGTCTAAAATACCTTTCTGTTGTGCTGGCAATAACTATGCAAGACTGGGAGGAAAATTAAAAAAGTTCTCTAAACTCACTGACAAAACAAGTGATTTCCTTATGATTCAGACTTTGTGAACTGGGTGACCCACCTTTGGACTAAAATATTTATCTGGTGAACATCCTGTCCAGCTCATAGTCTCTTTTAATGGCAAGGATGTTTAAATTTCATCCTATCAAACATACCTTAACCTGGAGACATGTTCAAGCATGGAAGAGGTTTTTTGTTCTTTTGTATATTTAGTTTTACCTTTAATCAATCCAACTGATCGACATAACTGCTATTTACACAGACATAACATGCATAAACAGAAGTCAACCACACAAAAGAAAAGTTCAGGGAAACTTGACTGGTTACTTACTTTTTTTTTTACTTTTGGATCATGAACAGAATATCCCTTCACTGGGGGAGACTGTGTTTAGTGGAATAAGGCTTTCGCACTGCTCACTGTCTTCTGGTAGCCTGGGGAGGAGGATGTACTTTCAATCTATCATAACCATAATATTAACAATAAACATTATTCTAATCCATTATTCAATTCCCTTTAATAACAGACCTTAAATACAAACACACTCTCATTTATTACCTTTATAAACCGTAAGAGTTTTAACTTTTAAAGGCGTCAGACTGAGGGGTTTGAAAGTTCTCCTGATAAATAAGCTCACTTCCACACTTTTTTTTTTTAACTACACAACATGGACTCAGATTTGTGTGCATTCATGCCCAGCAATTTCTTTGAAGAGGCTTGAATAACAACACAAGAATAATTATCATCCCGTCCTGGAAAATAACTGGAAATTAACGTTTGGATTAAACAATGACATTTTCTAAAAACCCCTTATACTGGGCAACTCTGGACTGCAAATGTGTTATCTCTGTCAGTCATTTTTATAGAATCTAGATGCCTGTTTAATGGCAAAGACCACAAACAAAACTGAATGATGAGTCAGTTTTAATGTTACGGTAAAATTGAACAATGCATACCTCTGAATGCGATGTTTCCTACAAATAAAAGCATATACCCTCCTCAGCCCAACCAGGACAGGGTCCCAGTTATTGTAGTGACATAACAGGGTGGCAATAAAGAAGGAAAGGAAGACTGGTACTGCCCCCGCAAAAAATAACCACGAAAAATGGACCTGTAAAGACACATAAACTACAAAAGTTACATTTTAGGTAAATAACTGACATGAGAGCGATTGTTTACCAAAAAAATTACAATACAGCATGTTAATTACATAAAAAATCATCAGCAGTTTTATTTCAAACTCTGACTTTGCCAACTATGAAGTGAAACTTACTTTCTGCATGTAAATATCTGCCATAATGGACAGAGGAATAGTGAGGCTCAATGCTAAAGTCCCAATCAGAGATGATGTGAGGAAACAGCCCCTGAGGACAAAAAAGCACACAGTATCAGTTCCAGACTGTAATATTTTACATTAATTTACAAGTCAAATGCATTTTACTTAACCCAGTGATTTCAGCACAGAATTGTGATAAAGAGCCTCAAATGTTCTTGTAATGATCTTAACTGTTATCACTTAGCATTAGAATTGAGACTTTGATCAGTTATGTATCAGCAGCTCACCAGAGCCAGAGGAACTCTGAGAGAACAGTTCCGATAAGGCCATTTATGAGGATGTATGTCCACACAAGCTGACTGGGAAGCTCGAAGGCCTCAAAGCCTGTGTAGTGAAGCAGGAGGAAGCCAGGCCACAAAAGTAGCAGGTTGAACAGACCCACAAACCCTGAGAGACAAAATAGTAGCCTCAGCTTGGATAAATATGTGGAGTCAAAATATTTAGATTTCTCTACTTATTGATGGTGTTAATATGTAGAACCACAATGACAAAAACTATCATTGTCCTAATCTTGTCCATAAAACAATTATCTTAGCCTACCAAAGAACATTGGAATGTCAAGCTTATCCTCCCGATCCACTCGTCTCTTGATCATTACTATGTAGACAGCATACAGCATTGCCCCCGCCAGTGACCAGAGAGAACCTTAAGACAAATTTCAGTTTTACACTTGGAGATAAAGTTTCCAAGTGCAGTTATTTCTCACTAAACGGCAAGAGCCTAATTTAATAAAAGAAGAGAAAACACATCTCTGTGGTTACCTGTAACACCGTTCTCATCTGGACTGTCCATACTGGAGAGACTCACAAGCGCAACACCTCCCATACTAAACAAAAGAAATCATAAACGATGACTATAAGGGTTTCATAGATCTGAAGAAATTTACTATCAGAGCTAAACTGCTTAACAGAAAAATATATACTATAAAACGACCTACAACTAGCTCATGGAATCAGACATTACTTTACTTACAGGGGCTTTCAGAATTTCACTATAAAGGCAAGGTTGCAGAAACATACATCTAGCTATACATCTAGCTTTTCATATAGTGTACCATTGAGCTTTTCATTACTGAAAAAAATATATAAAATACTATTTTTGTTAATAATGGCTGAACACATTACAGATAACCTCATAGCCAATGAATATATTAATAGCCACAATACAAGTGTACCAGTATAACCTGATAGAGGTGTTGAGAGAATGCAGGCTTGAGACCAACAGAGCCAACCTATCCTTTTCCTAAATGTGCTTATACTTATTCACAGAAGGATCACAGGCAAGAACGGAAAAAAACTCCATGTATTTGAAATTTGATATACAAATTTAAGGTTGCAAGAGGCCGGAGGCTTGAGATACATGCAGGACATCACAGGAACACACAGAGACAAATCTCCATGCATGCTTATATTGAGTCCAATTGTCTTTTTAAAATCACTAATGAAACCAACATGCCTATTTTGAGGGATGGGGTCACTGACTTTAAGAGATCCCACATATACATAAGGCATACCACCACACAACTGTACAGCCCAGTATCCAAAGAAACATTAAAACTGTTTCTTGAATACCACGACCATTGGCAGGAGAAGGATTTAATAGAGAAGGTGATTTCTACATTATGTCGAGCAGACTAGCAATTTGCATGCGTCCACCTGTTATGCTTATCCAACTATAAAAAGGTTAAGTAAAAAAAAAAACATTAATATCTACAAAAATTAACATTGTGCAATAACATTGCAGCCTTAGAGAAAAGCTGCTGCTGCTGCTGCTGCTAAGACATGCTGCTCAGCTGAAAATGAACTGCCACTTTGGGGAATAAAGGACATCCGTATGACAGAAAGAGTCTGATCACTATGATTAATTGGAATATGCAGCTCAAAATACACAACAGGAAAAAGGTTTGTTTCTGGTAGACCACGTATGAGGTGTGATACAGGGAAAAGTCAACATGGAGTTACAGCAGATCGGATCCTGTTGGTTAAAGAAATATGCCAGCAAAAATGTTTAACTGCCAAATGTCAACTTTTCCTAATTGTTCCAGACAGAATTATTATTGATAAACAAAAAGACAGAGATGTAAAGAACACACTCTTGTTGTCTTCTCAATTTAAGATGCCCACGATCATTCACGTACCTCAGAACCACGGCTAAAAGTTTGGACAGGGTGAAACGGTCGCTGCTGTTGCTAGGAAAGATGGCTGCTAAGATGAGTGTAAAGAGGCCTGAAGAGGAGCAAGTGATACATCAAATTACAACTGAGGTTAAAAAAGGCAATTATGTTTTTGAGAGCTAAAACTCCTAAATCAAGACGTTTATCAAAATCTTGCTATATGAGTCTAGCTTTTACATTTCGCAAAGTAATCTACACAGTTGGCGAAAGAACGCACAAAAACAGTCTCACCTGAAGTAGATGACAGAATGTTGACTATTGCAACCTGCGTGTCAGACAGGGCTTCTTGGTAGGACAGGTTAGCCAAGAACCACTGGAAGACAGGTGCCAACATTACATTTGAATTTAAATTACCTTACAATTGACTATTACACTGTCAAACAAGAACATGTACAAAGGTCTGTTCTTCATCGTGTAAACAACCATTTCTTCTATATATACAGGAGTCCTTTATCTATACACACACATTGTATATGTAATGAAGGACTTGTGGACTCTCTAGGTCATATTTAAGCCCAACATAAATGTTTTTTTTTTTTTTTTTTTAGAAAACAAGACTTTGATGGAAAAAGGATTTAAATAGTAAGTTATGTCAGTTTATTGCATTATTGCATAAAAATGTGTGAGTACAAACATGGTGGTAACAAGTAGTGTTAACATTTTGAAAAGAAAGCACTCCAACTTAAAAGGCTAAAATAGACAAAAACTGTTATTTACAGTGGCCCAGAGGTGTCAAATCCAAAAGCCATGAAGCTGCAACACTACAAAACTGTAGTGCAACACAAAAAAACACTATAAAATAGACCGCTACAAATGTTAATCTACAATGGAAAACAATTCACAACAGACGTTATTAATGCGCAATAGAAATACTATGTTTCTTAATATCAGTTAACGCAAAATCTGTATTGTTTTATGTTTACAGTACACCGCTTGTCTACAGTACACTTGACATGTATTTATTTTATATGTTCTATCTTTTTTAATATTTTGGATTTTAATAAGCGTTTTTGCAGGTTGGCACAACATTTCAGGTGTATCTATAACATGATCATATGGCAATACTTCCCACAGGAGGAATAAATCAAACTCACTATATGACTTCTTTAGGCAACACTAGATCAGTATTTATTGCTTCTACTTTTTTCTTATGCGTTTCTGTCAAATAAGAGCCTGAAACATGAAGAAATTGTGAAAAAACATTCTTTAGTGTTCTATACATGTTTACAAATCCAACCAACCCTTTTCTGCACCTGCTTAATCTACTTCAGGGTCACAGGGAGGCTAAGGCCTATCTGAACTGCTATTGGGAGAGAGGTTTGATGCATCTTGGATAGCTTACCAGTCTATCCAAGCGCAGCACACAATAAAAATCACCACGCACATTCACAGATAACAATATTGAATTACCAATCAAACTCACATGCATGTTACATGGAAAAGACATGTCAACACAGTAATACGCTAGAATTCATAAAAGGAACCCTCTTGCTAACCTGAAATGATAAACTCCTTCACAATAAGCAAATTTTGTAATAATTTTATAATACTGATCTTAGGAGTCACGAGAACTATTCCTTTGTGTGTTTTTTTTAGTCTCATTATATAACAAACCACTATGATTAATTGAAATTTTTTCCTATGTATACGACTTACCACAAAGCAGAAGAAGAAGCTGATTTTGGCTACATCCGTGATGGTTAGTTTTCCCACAGTGCGTAACATGGCCTCATGGTCTTTGGCAGCTGGGTAGGACATGCGGGACAGCTTTGCCTCTAAGGCTTGAGTAGAAGGCAATTGACGCACTTCTATGATATTGCTAAAACGGACACGATGTTTTTTGGAAGCTGGGTGGCAGGAAATGAAGAGAAGAGTGAGGGGATTGAGGCAGAAAGAAACAGGTTTTCCATTTGATGACAGAACAATGAAAATCTTGAGTCTTTTCTTTTCTACATTTGTTAATGCAGCAATTGAACGGTCACACTGATTAAAATGACCTTGGAGGTCTAACTCAACTAAATGAATGGATCCCTTCTTAAAAGGCATTCTAATGCCAAATATCAATGACAGTGTATTTCACAAGATACTCCAACAAACAATTTTTTCTCTGTGGCTTTTTTTTATACAGCTGACCACAGTTATTAACTTTTTAAAATAGAAAACCATAGTTATCCACACAGTTGGATGGATCTGTAAAAAAGATCCCATAAAAACTTCCTTATCTTTTTCGAGGAAAAGATGAGGAAATGGTCACATGAATGATCATGATGACTAATCACTTCCCTTTGCTGTTACAAAATTATCAAATCTCTGTGAGAGTCACAGTCTACAAACATTTCAAATCCACATACTAGATAAAGAGTATCCATCATGCAGTTCCTTTGAAGATAAAAACAAGATAAGCTTTCTACTCACAGGATTCACCATCTCCGATTAAACATTTGGCGTGCTCAGTGGGTATGTCCTGAAACTTTACTGGTACATAAAGTGGTTCACTCTGTTCAAACATGGCAGAGTTTAAGCTAAAAGGTATAGATTACAATTCACTGCATCCAGACATGAATATTTTTATTATATTAAACTACATACCAAGCAGTTGTTCACAGTGGTTTCAGTGGTGCAGGGAGCAAAGTAGGCCTCAGCATCAGCAAACTGCAGAAGGGAACAATTCAAATAAACTTTTAAGATAAACCATAGAATTTTGTCTGATATTTTGCCACAGTGAATGGATTCCAAGACTTCTTTATAGTTTCATCAAGGTTATTGTCTTTTAACCCACTTTTTAAAATAATATAAATAAATAATAAAAGTTCTTTAGCATAAACAAGCAGATTGTTCTACCGGTGTGTTTAGGTATTTACAATCCACATCTTTTCATATAAGTGCAGGTGAAGTTGAGGAAAATTTGACTAAACATGTTAAGAGACACTGGTTTTAAAATGTCCACGTATGACATGTCAATGTTGTCAATGTTGACACCCGTAATGAGGGGTTAAATTGTTTAGATTACTTACAAATGCAGAGCGCTGGCGCCGGCCAGTACACTGTTGCCTCCAGGGCCGCCACAGGGCAAAACCCAGCAAATATAGCACAAACATGGATGTCTTGGTGAATGTGCTGAAGAAAGGTTTGTTGTACTCCTGTTGCTTAAAAATGTACTGAGGACAGAAACAAGAGGGGGAGACTTTTAGACACACAATAACATGTTTTTGCCACCAAAAATAAGATTTGGATTACAAGTTTCCACTGCCCATTCAGATAAATATAAATGTATTAGATTGTTTAACATTGCTATCCAAAGAAAGTACCAAGAAAACAAAATTAAACCAACCCAGTGTAGGATGAGTCTGACCTCAAATTAGGCAAGAACATTTTCAGGTATCACTTTATCTCAGCAGTTTAAAGACAATTGTATCAAAGTAATAACATTACATAAAAGTGCCTCTTAAATCATTGGAATTCCTGAAATGAATTGTGCCTTGACAAAAGCCTTGAAACTGCAGGCTGTGTGCGAAAAAAAGCTATTTTTTTCTGGGTGATAATAACAAAGGAGAACACAGACAAATTCAAAGCACAAAAGTTTTCTTTGGTAATTTCAACTGATAAGCGTGGTTAAAAAAACAGGAACTTGAGAAGACCAGAAAGACAATCTGTATATGTTTTAAATGTTTTGCCCTCTGACAAAAGATACAGCAAACATGTCAATCGGATGATCTTCATTCGGAATGTATCTGTTGTTACACTTTTACACTTAACTTGCCTAAACTGAAAGTTGGAATTTTGCAGGAACTGAGCATTCACATGCTTAAATCATTTGAATCCTGACCAAATTATTTTGGGTGTTTTAGTCTGGATTTGGGATGGGTTTTGGAGGATTTCAGCTGGAGAACATATTTACATTATCAATATTTAGTACTATCTTGTACTAAAATCCCATTTAAAACATCAGGTGTGAAAACTGACAGACATTGATGAAATTCTTACTGTTGTTAGCTCAGAAGACACAACCCAGATAACATCCACCAGCAGCAGAATCACCACCCCCAGGGCCATCCGCCTCCGCTGCACTGCAGAGCTACCCTGAGAGCTCATCCGGTTCATGATGAATACCCACTCCATTGGGACACTAAAAATATATTTTCATAAATCTACATTACTATAGGCATTTTATTCAAAATAACTTTTATGAATGATACGATTTATCTGAAAGATCTCAAAGAATACAGAAGACTATAGATTTTAAAACATGCATGTTTGTTTGTATATATATAAATTGCTGATGGCAGTTGGGAACAGACACTATTAAAATTAAAGGGTGTCAGTTTCATTAATAAATTAGTCGACTGTTAAGTCATCAACTTCACACTGTTGTTTTGCTTCAGATGAATTAAGACGATCACAATTAAACTGATCATTGAAGATGAAGACCATTTTATCTATTGATATAGATCAAATATTTGATATAAAACATAAAAGCATTAAAAAATCATTTAAAGTTTTTTAAAGTAAAAAAAGATAGTTAAAGTTAATTAGCAACTGCCATAATGATTTACAATAACTCAGTATACAATTAAACATTAATTCTAACAAAGGCATTACCAACCAGATGGACAACAATCTGTACTATGTTTTCTTCATATAGTTTGTAATCAATATTTGTATTTCCACATGGTAACCAGACAATGTTACTGGCCTCAGAGGCTACTTCACACTATTTTCAATATAATCATTGGTTAAACCATCAATGAGAATTTGGTTCAGTCTTGTTTACAATTACATTATTAAATTATTTTCATACAAGCTAGTTGGGGGAAACACTCACTACAATTATATGTGGCAGTGTGTTGTCCAACAACGAATCCATAGGCAACAAAAAAGTTAAAGACAATACAGTATCTTTAAATGTCCTGCCTGCTCTCGCCATATTGCAGCTCCAAGTCCCTGTGTACCCAAGGTGACCATCGTACAAACATCACCGTTCCGAGTTCACGTTTGTGACACAAGTGTCGCATCCAACTGCCAGCGCGTCTGCGTGCCTGTTAGCTAGAGACACAAAATTCTCTGGAGGCAATGCAGTGTACTTTTTCTTTTGTTCAACATATAGCTATCCTGTAAATGCTGTCTCTGTTGAAAGAATAATTCGCTAACAGGAGTTTTTAAAAAGAAGATTTTAAAACATCGTAAATGTTTGAGGGGTAAAATAATCAGCTTGCTCAAACTCCTAAAAGCCAGCGCTAAGTAGATTTCCAGTACTGTTACAGTAAGAAGACAATTTTGCAGTTTATGCATTAAATGAACGCCTACTTTAGTACACTAACATGGCGAAGTTTCAAATTCTCATATTTGGTCATTGTTAACATTGCTTGCAGCATCGATATAGAACGGTTAGGTGCCTGTGTATCAAGCTAAGCGCTAACAATCTGGATTGACCGAGGTGTTCCCAAGCTTATTTGAAAGAGCTATTTTTACCTGTCAGCGTGACGTGTTCATTCAATATGTTCCATCACTTGGCTGGCATATAAAACTTAGCAAAAATACTCCCAAAAATTAATGTTTTGATGAGGAAATGTTGTAAACATTAGCACACCCTCCCCTTCTACGTTATCATCAGGTGACATCACTTTCGATACAAAGACCTCTGGGATATGTAGTCTAATAAACTTCACTTTGCCCAAGAAGTTTCTTTGAAGTTCATCTGCTGCCTGGATGTTCAGGTGTTTTTTCTTTTTCTAGAAAGTCTCTTTGAACGTATAACTTTATAAATAAGAAGTATAAGACAAATGCTAATCTTTGCTCAAGGGAGTCGAAACTACCCACTACAGCGATGATAGGCATACACTTAAATTATATATGACTGTTCTATTTAATTAGAACTGCTCCAAGTAACGATTTAATTCTTAATTATTAAAGGTGATGGTTTAAGACCTTTGTAATACATATAAATTATACAATTTAAAATATGTTAACTATTTAGTAACACAATTTTTTTCACGTTCATATGTCAGAAGTTCTAAACAGCACAACTAGAAAAGGACGAATTTACATAATATTGAACTATTCATATTTCAGTGTTAATGTATTTGCTGCATAGAAAACTGCTACAAAAACACAGCCACATTTACAAAGTGCTGTATAATAATATAATAAATCTGAAAGAAACTTTGTGCATCTATCTTGAATATGGCCTTTTCAATCAAAAGACTGACTTGTATTATAAAAAACAGTAGATGGCAGTAGTACGCCGTTGATGTTTCTAGCATGCTTAAACCTGAAGTACAGATAGCGTCACCGTTTTTTCAGTCAAACATGGCGGCTACCTTTGCTTGTTAACCGTTGTAATAATTGTATTAGTCAAACCTTTTGCGCAAAGAAGTGTTTGACACAGGGCGTATTTGACTCTAACTAAAACTAAAGTGAAGAGTCTATTAAGCGGTATGTTACTACCACATATCTTTTTTAACGATGGTGAAGCATCTCATTGATTTAGCAGAAATCCAGAGTTCAGCTAATGCTAAAACTAGCTCGTGGTCAACGCGGTGGTTATTGTAATAGGCATATTATTATATTAAATCTATAAGAGTAATTCTTTTTACGCGTAATCGTGATTGTGTTTTTTTCACAATGAAACCTGTTTTTTTCTATCGGTAATTGGGTGGAATCTTAATCACGATGTCTATGTACTCAGAAGCATACAGCAGTGATGTGATTCAGCTTGATTGGTTATGATAAAAGTAAACACCGAAAGTTAACGCAGGTTAGTGTTTGCAGTGTTCTAGTGTTTGAAGACTTTGGAGACCATGCAATCCACTCAGTGAGACGCAAAACGGCAACATGGAGATTTCTTCGAAGGAAGGAGAAACTCCCATCGAGATGACCACTAGTGAAAAGGCATGTGATGGCTCACCGACTCTTTCATGTGGATGTGTTCTCCAGAAAATGCATTAGTTTTGAAAAACTGCTTGGGAAATAGTATCCCTATAGTGCTCAGACCCCTGTTACCCAGGTAACCAAGGGTTTTCCATAGCTGCTGTTAAGTCATTGCCTTCTCTTACAATGCTTTAGTTAATGTAAAGTCCAATTAACGTTTGGTGGAGGTCATTATCTTCATATGCAGGAGTTTGTGTATTTCGCAGCAAATGCCAAAATATATGACTTTTTGATACCATGTTGTGGTGAATATATCAGATATTGTTATCTTAGTTAGCAGTGTATAGTTTATTAAAGTTTGTTTTTCTCCTTTCAGGTAGTGGAACTTCTAAATCAAGCTGCGCTGATACCCACAGATGAAAAGCTAACAGTTCTTAAGCAGGTTTGTTGTCTATTTTTTTAAAAGACAAGTTTACTTTCAAGAACACCAAACAAAACATTTAAATTAAAGCTGACAGAGCCTAAATTTGAATGTTCTGTTGTATATTTGCAAATTTCTTCCCCTGGCTGCTTTTGCCTTATGCAGGGTACTTATATAGTGGTTTATGGAACACTTATGACACTTAAAGTTGTAATTGGGAATAGGGCTGTTCTGACTCCAGAAATGTATGTTATTTTAAGGTTCAGGAGCTTATCATCAACAAGGATCCATCTCTTCTTGACAATTTTTTGGATGTAAGTAAGCATTATTTTTTTTTATGTTTATTGTAAATTAAAATTTGATTAATGATTCTCCTGCCGCTTTTCTTTTCATTCCGAAGGAGATAATCGCTTTCCAGACTGACAAGTCCATTGAAGTAAAAAAGTTTGTCATCGGATTTATAGAGGAAGCATGGTGCGTTCCTAGGCATTCAAGTCTTCTAGGCATTCAAGTCTGGTATCTCAAAGCTGTGAATCTTTTGACAACTGAAATGTGCCGTGCTGATTTTGTCGATCTTGCTTGTTTGTATCTCAATCAGTAAAAGAGACAATGAGCTACTCCTCAGGCTGATTGCTAACCTGAACATGTTGCTGAAGGATGACAGTGTGAATGTGGTGAAGAAAGCCATTCTTACACTCACTCAGCTGTACAAAGTGACCTTACAGGTAAACAGAGTACATTGTTTTATGGAATAAGCTAGCGATTTTGATGAAGATTTAGCTTTTTTTTCCTAATTAATCTCACAATGACTTCATGACATTTTTCTGACTGTCCTACTTTAGTGGTTGGTGCGCGCCAAAGTGGTTTCGGACATGCAGGAAGCATGCTGGGATTTAGTAACACAGATGAAAGGGGATGTCTTGGCCTTACTTGACTCTGAGAATGACGGTGTTCGAACTCATGCCATTAAGTTTACAGAATCATTAATCATTATTCTTTCACCACGGACATCTGAGTCTGACGTCCCAAAACGTCAGGAAGGCGACATTAGCCTGGACAAAGTTCCCAAAGATCAATCTTACATTCGTTATGGTACGTGTTTTAGAATTCTGTTGATTACCTTTTTTTTTTTTTATGAAAGCAATGCTCATATGTATATCTATCCTTTGTTATATGATAAACAGATACTTTGTGCGAGGAGGGAAAGACTGCTCTGGAAAAGCTGTTGAAGTTCATGGTCCACCCAGCTATTTCCAGCATTAACCTCACCACAGCACTGGGTTCCCTGGCCACTATTGCCCGTCAAAGACCAATGTTCATGTCAGAAGTAGTGCAAGCATACGAAACACTGCATGGTGAGTGCTTCTCGGTCAGTCCCTCTTAAATTCCCTTGAAATTTGTCTCTCTGCTTTGATTGAATGATTTTGGTTTCTTCCCCTTTTTAGCAAACCTGCCCCCTACCCTGGCCAAGTCTCAGGTGAGCAGCGTTCGAAAGAATCTGAAGTTGCACTTAGTGGCAGTTCTCAAGCATCCATGCAGCTTGGAGTTCCAAGGTCAAATCAGCACGCTGTTGTTGGATCTGGGAATGCCCCAGAATGAAATAACCAGACATACTCCAGCACCGCGTGAGCAGCGCAAAAGGGCACGTTATGAGCAATATACGGAGGGAAAAAAGGTCAAGATTGGTGAGTCGGACCACGCTATGCAAAGAAATTAAGAAAATGTTTAATCATTTTCCAGGGTCTTCAAATTTTTATTATGCCCATTTAGGCTATTTTATATTTGGCCTCCTAACACACAGTATGACATACTAATGATAAGTTTATATGGAGATCTCCTTCTTTTCATATCATTGTCTTGACTTGTGTTTTTCTCCAAAAACATCAGTCCTTTTGTACATGTTTTTTCATGATGTATGTTATATTATATTCAGAGCCAGCTCTGATAGAAGATGATGATGACAAAGAGGAGCCAGCCCCTCTTTCAGTCCCAAAGCCAGTTGCTGTCCCAGTTGCACAGTCTGCCATTGACTTGACAGCTGAGTTCCTGCACCCATTGCTTTCCCCTGAGAATGTAGCAAACCTGGTGAGTAGCTGCAACCCTTTGCTATGTACTTCTAACCCATTATGCCTAACGGCTCACATCACTTTTTTGTCTAAATGCATAGGTGCTCATCAGCATGGTGTATCTGCCTGATGTCATGCCAGCATCTTTCCAGGCCACATACACACCCGTGGAATCAGCAGGTACTGATGCCCAAATCAAACATTTGGCCAGGCTGATGGCTACGCAGATGACTTCAGCTGGCATTGGTCCAGGTTAGTAACAGCAACTTATGATTCCCTGGCAGTACGGTAGAAAGTTGCAAACCATGATCCATACTCACTTGAAGTCATTCCGGTCTTATATTGGTTAAACCAAAATCTTTCAAAAATCGTGTTGCTTATGGTAACTATAAAAAAGATTTGAGCTCCTGGCATTAAATTCTAGACGTATTTCTATATTCTGGTTCTTCTGGATAAAGGGTTAAATTCATTAAAAACTGCTACATACATTTTAACATTAAAAAGGAGAAACCTTTGATATATTGCATCAAGGTATTGAGCAGTGCAAAGCACGGGAGGATGAAGTGGGCAAAGAAGAGCTAAATGAGGACAACACAGCTGGTAAAGATATTCTCATTAAACGCAAAGTGCCAGCTGTCATGATGGGCCAAGCCATCTCTGTGGTGGGAGGCTACAGTGAGAAACCTCCCCCATCAGAAGCTCCATCTGCAGTCAAAAGGCTGCCTGAGCCCATCCTTCCCTCTGCCCAAACCAAGTAAGTTCAGGAGCTCGTACAGTGTGGCACAGTAAGCTCTAGAGATCAAACTCAGGTGTTCTGATTTTCTTACAGGATAACAGGGCCGAGTGGGAGGAAAAAAGTGTTTAGGTTGTCAGATGTTATCCAGCCTTTATCAGACACACAGATTGAGACGTTAACTTCAAAAGCCGTGAAGCGCATTTTGCATTCAGAAAAGGCAATTGCACAGAGTGGAATGTCCCACGTGAGTAAAACTTAAACTGTCATGTTTGATAAATAAGCACGTCTGGGATAGGTAAGTACAAAACAATTCCCTCCGTAAAACCTGTGTTGCAGGTCAGAGTGAAGCTCCTCTCTAGGCTGGTGACACAGTTTGAGGGGATGATGAAAGATGATGTGCTGGCATTTATCCTGGATGACATCAGGACGAGGAGTGACCTGGCATTTTCTCTGCTCTACCAAGAGTATAACACCTATCTCAGTCAACTGCCTTCAGGGTTGCTGGACAGCTACGACCACTGTCTCTACACTCTGCTGTCAGGCCTGCAGGAAAAGCCTGAGCAGAGGGATGGGTGAGACCAAATTGCCACCATTGCTTTGTTTTTACAGCATTGTTGACATCTTCCTCTCCACCGTGTCTTTTACACGTTGCCTGTCTTTGTAATGGCTTTTGCAGACTTTTCACAAAGCTGGTACTAGAAGCTCCCATCATAACAGAGTCAGCGTTAGAAGTAATACGACGTTACTGTGAGGATGAGGTAATAAAACCTTCTCATGTGGGGGCTGTTACCAGTCATGTAAATGTCAGTCAGTGTGTCATCTTCTCTTTTGTTTCGTTTTTTCAGTCTCGAGTTTATTTAGGTATGACAACTCTGAAGGAACTTATTGTCAAACGGCCCTCCAGGCAGTTCCAGTATCTGCATGTCCTCCTGGACCTAAGCTCGCATGAGAAAGAGAAGGTGAACCTCTTGTCCTCACTAACCTTTTGAGAGGATTGATTCTTGTGATCATCCAATGTTAAAACTGCAGTTTTCTTTAGGTGCGCAACACGGCCCTGGCTTTTCTGAAGCGCATGTATGAGAAAGACCAACTCAGGGATTACATAGAGAAGTTTGCTCTAAACTACATGCAGCTTCTGGTACACCCCAACCCTCCATCTCTGCTTTTTGGAGCTGACAAGGACACAGGTTTACATTTTATCATAACTTTTTATCATAAACCTGAATAGGAAATGTAATTTCTACAGCTTTTCTGCTAGTGCAACTTCACCTTAACAAACTAGTATCTTTAACATCTGTACTCTGGTAATATTTATATACACAGAGGTAGCTGCCCCCTGGACTGAAGAAACAGTGAGACAGTGTCTGTTCCTCTACCTGTCCCTGCTTCCCCTGAACCATCGGCTTGTGCACGAGCTTGCTTCTGTCTACACTGAAGCCATAGCTGATATCAAGCGCAGCGTGCTCCGAGCCATAGAGCAGCCTGTGAGCAGCCTTCCTTTTAAAATTTTCTCTTTGTGGCTTTCTTTGCATTCCTCCTACTGAGGTCAGTAACACGTATTCCATGTGGGGATCGAGGGTGTAAATTCGGTGTTCCAAAAATGAGGATCCCACTACTAATTGCATAATTGGCCCTGCATGTTTAAAGTAACTTTTGATCATCAAAACATTAGATTTTTTTTATGATGGTAAAGAAGGGCTCCCAGTTCAAATCCTGGCTGGCTGAGTGATTCTCTGTGTGGAGTTTACATGTTCCCTCTGTGTATGCTTGGGTTCTCTCTGGGTACTATTTTAAAATCACTTCAAAATGTCCATATTAGTGAGTGTAAGTATGCATGGTTTTCTGTCTTTGTGTGTGTGGAGAATCTTCAGAGAGTGTGTGAGAGGAAAAAAAAGAATTTGTCCGCTGCTGCAGATGATTTTGTCAGATAAATAAGAAGATTATTTCCTAGTTAAGTGTAAAAAGCAGATTGGGGTTGTCAATTTAAAGCTTGTTTAGATATAAAACGTTAATGTGCACATGATATACCAAGGTACAAAGAGAGCAACCATGTGGTCCAATTTCCGATACATGCATATCTAACAATAGCCATTCTTAGGAGGAATCATCAAATTGGTTGAATGGATAGTAGTTCATTTGGCCTGACAAAATGAACACAGGGCAAAGAATAGGCATTAATGCTACGTGTTCAATTTTTTCCTCATATATTTTAAACCGGTTCATAATAAGAGCAAATTGATTAGACCTTACTATGCAAACAATATAGAGAAAACACATCCGCTGTCTCACTGCAAGTCGGTTCTTGTTTTTAAGCTTGAAGAGTGCTTTGTTTGATGAAGGCCTTCTCTAAGTTTAAAAATCTAAAAAATGCATTTAAATTGAGAAAAGCTTTTCAACTACTCTGATATATCTTCTTAACTTTTCTTGAAGATTCGAGGAATGGGGATGAACTCTCCTGAGTTGTTACTCTTGGTTGAAAACTGCCCTAAAGGGGCAGAGACTCTGGTTACGCGCTGCCTGCATATTTTGACAGATAAAGGTAAAAAAAACTGAAAAAAAAGAAACCCTTTGATCTGTACCAAAGATTTTAGGTCACTTGGCATCAATGTGGCCAAATAGAAAGTTAAAATGTTAAAATTTGTACGCACACAATCAGCTGTCCTGCACAATAGATGAAAGGAAAATTAAGCATATTCATGACATGAACTGTTTCTACCTCTGTTCCATTCAGTGCCTCCATCACCAGAGCTGGTTGAGAGAGTGCGAGACCTTTACCACAAACGAGTGCCAGATGTTCGCTTCCTGATCCCGGTCATAAACGGCTTAGAAAAGGTAGTGTTCCTTTGGACAGTCTCTGAATTCAGTTCTCAAGAATCCTCTCTTTTTATTTTTTACTGAAGTTTTAATTGTTTTTTTGTTTTGTTTTATTTTTTCATTTTGTTTTTTCTTTAGAATGAAGTAATCCAGGCTCTACCAAAGCTGATCAAACTCAACCCCATCGTTGTGAAGGAAGTCTTCAACAGACTATTAGGAACTCAGCACAGTATGAGTCCTTTTTTTTATTTTTTATACATTACTTTGTAAAATTCCAAATTCAGCACTCACATTTGTACTTCTTTTCGTAAGATACAATATCATGGAGACAAATTCAAATGGAAAGGATACTTTTACCATTTTCCCTTTTCTTTTGTTATATTTAATCCCACACTTTATTTAACAGAACCTGATTTGATGTATTCTTTGCAGATAATTTATGATCAAGATTAAGAGTGATGCATCCTGACGTTGGTGTTTGTTTTCACAGGTGAGGGAAGCTCATCCGTGTCCCCCTTAACCCCAGGAGACCTACTCATTGCCTTACACAATATCGACTCAACTAAATGTGATATGAAATCAATCATAAAAGGTCAGTGTTCAGAGGTGAACCCAAACCCTTAAAATGACAGTATCAGACAATGTGTAATGATAATAAAAACATTGCTGTGTGTGCTTAAATAACAGCTACCAACTTTTGCTTCGGGGAGAAGAACGTTTACACCTCTGAGGTTTTGGCAGTGGTGATGCAGCAGCTGATGGAGCAGAATCCTCTACCTATGCTTCTCATGCGCACAGTCATCCAGTCTCTCACCATGTACCCCCGACTGGGTGGATTTGTCATGAGTATACTGTCCCGCCTAATAGTCAAACAGGTTAGCTCAAAGCTCAATCTTCATTTTAGTACGTAACAATATTCCGCTTTAAAATGTTGGTGCAGTTTATTTCTTTGAACAGTCCATAATCGTCATTTTGCCATGCAGGTGTGGAAGTACCCTAAGGTCTGGGAGGGATTTGTGAAATGCTGCCAAAGGACAAAGCCCCAGTCTTTCAGTGTGCTCCTACAACTGCCACCTGCACAACTTACAAGCGTGTTTGAACGCTGTCCAGAGATGAGAGCCCCTCTTTTGCAGCACGTCCACTCTTTCACACCTCATCAGGTTAGAGATTTTCCCATGCTTACTTTACCTAATGATTATTCCAACATGTTTTTCTTGGAATTTATTTCTTAACCATCTTGTCTATTTTATCTATAACAGCAAGCTCACATACCTGCCTCCATCATGACAGTTCTGGAAGCTAATAAGAAAACTGAACCAGTTGAGGAGAATGAGGTAACTAAAGAACAATGTACATGTGCTTTTCTTTGTACTGTATGATATACAGTCTGGTCCATTTGTTTATAGCACAGGTTTCATGTTTTTACCTTAAATATAGTGATCAATTTGATAACTACAATGTGTCTATTGTTATTTAACTCGAACTCTTCTGGCTCCTTTCTTTTCAGGCTTTTCATAAGCTCATATTTTCTAATTAACTGTGATTCCGTGTCATCCTTTTAATTTCTTTCTCTCTGATTAACAGATTAAACCTGTTCCACCTGCATCAGTTATAGTGGAACCTCCCATCGTGGCACAGAAAGAGCCAGAAATACCCATTCAGCAAGCCCCAGCCATTATGAAAGAAGAGGAGGAACTGATGGAGCAAGAAGAGGCTGATCCGGTAATACAGGAAGAAATTGTTGATACTAATTCACAGGTAACTCCTCGGAATCGTATCAGTAAAACAAGTGGATCCACTTTGCTATATGTTAATGGCTTGTTGCAGTTAAACTGTGTGAATATGTTTTAAATAAGTATTTTTTTTTTAAATATTTTCTGTAGGAGGATTCATCAAAAGAATCTGAAATATTGGAACCTCATTTACAGCCAGCTGAGGAACCCATGGAGGAGTCTCAGCCAGAACCATCAGATCAGCAGGAGCCAGTTATAAATGCCGAAGCTAACACCACAGGACCAGAGGCTGGAAATGGCAGTGAGGACGTAGAATAAGAATGCACTGCAATATCCCTGAAACTTTCAAGATTTCAGAAAAATCCATTTTCTTGTTTGTCTTTTTCTTTTAACAGTTTGTTTGGAATTGTTTATTAAAGCATTCCACATGCCTTCATGACATGAGTCGGCAAATAATGAAAACTGGTTTTGGTTCTCACTTTTTTTTAATCCATCTTAATTACCAAATCCTATAATTAATTATATAGAGGACACTGTGGTCTGCTGCAGTGTGGTACAAAATATTTTTCTATTAATCATTGGACACCCATCAGCTTTGGTTGTGCTCCTGGTATGTTTATATAAAGAAGAACGAATATAAACATTAAACAAAAAAGAGATGATTTTACAAACCATATCAAATCTATTTTTATTGCGCATGCTGTTGTGCGTTAGATCTTTATACAGATGGCACGGATAGTAGTGTTGACCATTTGTAAATTAAAAATGTAAAAAGTAAAATTTGAGTGATCAAACTAAAGGCAAATGTGACGCAAATAGTCACTTGAAGCATCATGGACTTGTGGTTTGTGCAGTACAAAAGGTCCAAAAGATGTCAAAAATGCAATTCACTGCCTGAGTTGCAGCCTGGTTCACTGGCATACAGAGCTGCCCTAAAGCCTGTCCCAAAGAAAATAAAACAAAAATTAACTAATTAAACAAAATTACTATACCAAATTTATTCCAAACAACTCAAATTAAATTAAGACTCAAAAATCAACCAGAAAATAAGAAAATGATTTAGCTAATTAAGTAAATTGAAAGACTTAGCAAAAGGTAGACAAATAGCTACTATGAGTAGTTATGCTATCAATATCAGTTATAAAAGTCCAAAATCAACAATTATATTAAGGGTTATCACAAAGTTATTCTGAGTTTACAGGTATACCAAGCAAACCTACTTTTGAATAACACTGTGTTGTGTGTGTGAAATGATCTGTGTCCCATATTTGATTGCTTTATTCTGTGTACATTTCATTTTTGCTTTTACAAATGAAATAAAGCTGATTCAACTGTCTACAGACTAATCAAATCATCCATCCATCCATTATCGTTACCGCTTATTCCCTAAAGGGGTCGTGGGGAAAACTGGAGCCTATCCCAGTGATCAATGGAGGATGGAAAAGGGAGGATGGCTGGGCGTAACCGAGTGTTATTGGCCAGTTAGCTCGGTTATGTACAGGCCAGAGGCTCTTAATTCATGCAGGTTTCAGTGAAATATGTTAAGAAAGTGTGTGTGTGTGTGTTGTGTTGACCTTGAAGACATGTATCTACTGTAACAGAGAGAGGAGGAGGCACAGCCAGAGAGTTTAACACAAAAGTATAATTCTAAAGGGAATAATATGAATCTAAAATGAATAATTCAATCAGTAATTTACATGGATTAAGTTGTAGCATGCTATGCTAAAGTAAGTAAATATAGCCCAATTCTAACACTAACATGCAGGTTTTTTTACTGTGGGAGGAAGCCAGAGAACCTGGAGAGAACAGAAACAGGAAGAACATGCAAACTCCACAGAGAAGGGTCCAGTACTTTCTTGCTGTGAGGCGATGGTGCTAACCACCACATCACCCACTAATCAAATCAGTTTAATCAAACTAAACTTTGTGCTTTTTTTTCACATAAACTTCATTGAAACCGTGTAAAGTACAAAACAATTTGATCAACAGAAAGGATTACTAACAATAATGAGTAGCCTTTCGCTGCAGCGTCTGTTGAATATCCAACTCCGCCCATATCCAAGTCAGCCATTTTGATAAGGTCATGTGACTATGAGCTTTCTCAGGTGGAAACAAAACTTTATTGTCTATACCGAATTGGAAGACGAACGATGTCGGTAAGTGAAAAATACATAATGTTATGTTCATAGGCCTAACGATATTACTTTGTTGACCCTGCTGGATATAATATTTATGATATTTGATGTGACGATGTAGTTTATTGGGTTAATTATTTTTTTGCATCATATGGTAGTAGTTTTGTAGGCTACCTTCAATATAATGTTAGCTAGCGTTAGGTCCTGTTTAATTTTATTTATTGATGTGTCTTGTGAAATTGAGTTTATGCAATATCCATCCTGTGATGTCAAATGAACATTACAGAACGTGATCATTTTTGTGTGAATAAAGTATGCAAGATCAGTGAGAGCCCAACAGTAAGAGTGAAAATGATTTCGGCTTGAAAAAGATAACGTTATTAGCCTGCTAACGTTAATTACATATATCGGTATACTTAGCAGAGTTGCTAGCGGTTTAACTTGTAACACAGTGTCCATTTACAAAAGTTTTTTACTTTGTTGGCGAACAGTACAGCTTATTGTTATAGATAATAATCAGGAATATTTTAGCCGAAGAACCTGCAAGGTATGATGGACTAAGAAAACAACAACTGTAAATCCAATCTAAAAACCAAATCTTCAATAATTGCACTATATAATTGCACAAACTCTCTTCTTTCTTTCTTAGGAAAATTCAACGTATGTGTGATGTACATCCAGTGGAATCCCTTGAACAGGTATTCGTGTGCAGGGGGTTAAGAAGATTTTAGTGGTTGATACTGCATTTTCAGCACCATACAGTAAGTCTGGTGTGTATGCACCCACGTGATGTAGTTCATCATGATACAATGTGTGGATGTTGAAACAGTTGTTGTCCTCAGGCCATCTAAACACACAGCATTATTTGGACCTCAGTGGCTTTAGGCCATAGGCTGAAGCTCAAAATGTGGCTAGAAATAGGATTTCGCTCCACTATCCTGGGGACTACTTTTCGATAGCACTTTTCCAATATGTACTGGAGCTGGGAAAAAAAGTTCTCCATGGGATTCCTGCCAGTATTTGAGAAAATGGGTGCCAAAGGTGGCAGTTTACCCAAAAAAGTGACGATTTTGGGTCTTCTACCATTTTCAAACCCTTGTAACTTTTTTATTATTAAGCCGATCGGACTCAAATTTTTTATTCCCACAGACATTCATACTTACTCGGAGCTTCTAAAGCGGCAATGTTCTGCGTGGTTTAAGTACGGAGTTATTCTAAATGAAAACATACACTTTTGAACAACTTCACAATCTCCCAAAATGTATCTTTATTGCACATGAAAATTGCAATTCTTTGAATTTTCAATTGAAAAATTCTAATAGCAAGATATCCCTTTGTGTCTGGTTAACTAATAACTATGAAAAGTGGTTTGAATTTTATCACCTAGCAAACCAGTTACAATATAGGCCATAGGTTGAAGCTCAAAATGTGGCTAGAAATAGGATTTCGCTACACTAACCTGGGGACTACTTTTGATAGCACTTTTCCAATCTTAAATTTGTACTGGAGCTGGGAAAAAAAGTTCTCCATGGGATTCCTGCAAGTATTTGAGAAAATGGGTGCCAAAGGTGGCAGTTTACCCAAAAAAGTGACAATTTTGGGTCTTCTACCATTTTCAAACCGTTGTAACTTTTTTATTATTAATGCGATTGTACTCAAATTTTTGATTCCCACAGACATTCATACTTACTCAGAGCTTCTAAAGCGGCAATGTTCTGCGTGCTTTAAGTACGGAGTTATTCTAAATGAAAACATACACTTTTTAACAATTTCACAATCTCCCAAAATATATATTTATTGCACATGAAAACTGCAATTCTTTCAATTTTAAATTGAAAAACTCTAATAGAAAGATATCCCTTTGTGTCTGGTTAATTAATAACTATTTAAAGTGGTGTGAATTTTATCACCTAGCAGACCAGTTACAATATTGGAAGCAAAATCTTCGGAAATAACAATAAAAACTAGAAGAATCCTCAAGTAAATTGATACTGTTTATTCAATGGATCTGATATCAACTTAAGCAATCATGGAATTAATGAACAAATAATAACAAAAATAATAGTAACAACCCCACCACCACCACCACTCCATCCCCACACCAACAAGAGTTACTTCTTCTGTTTGTTGCAACATTTATGAATATTTACAGAGAGAATTAATCATCTTCAGAAAAACTGAGAAAGAATAAGAAGCCTACATATAATTTTTCAATTACTTTTGAACAATTCTACAAAGCACTAAGCATGCCAAAGTTGATATATCCCAAATTTTATACATGTACATTATAAAGACCGATTCTAACCATTTATAAATCTCCACTCAGTAACTATTGACAGATGGCAATAGCAATGATAACATGATTTTGAAAAGGGGTAAAGTTTTCAGATGCCTCATAACAATAGGAAGAATAATAATCATAATTTTTGATTATTTATAAGAACAATGGAAAGTATTAATATCACAACATTAAAAAATGAACTCTTATTTATAAGCTACAAGATTGTTTTTTTTACATTTACTACAAAATTCAGTTTACTATGGACATATATTCAAATTGGTTTTCAGAAATGAAATGGTTTCAATCAGCTAACCCGAGGGTTGTGAATTCATATGGAATAATATGGAAATGTACAGGGGAATTAAAGAAGGCACAAAGACATTTCTGTTTTTAAACAATTACTTTTGTTGGACCCAGCAAGCCTTGAGATGATAAACTTTTTAGGATCACTTCGGGTTGTTACGACTTGAGAATTACAATAGAAAATACAAAGAAACTATGAATCATCGAAATCATAGGAGTGATAGGAGTCTCCTCCTATCACTTCCTGCAGGTGTTCCTAGAGCTGTGGAGTCTGGATCTGTGATTGGGAGTTTCCTGCTGCTCCGTGTTCCTGCTCTGCTACTACTCTGCATAGTGTTATTGCTGTCATAACTCCTATCATTATCATTAGTATCAATATACATAAAATTGAATTGAATTGAACTTTCTTTGTAGCACCGTTTGTGGTACCGGACTTCAATTGCGACACAATCTTTTCCACGTACATCCTTGAGGATGGATTCGTCCATTTTCACTTCAGCTGCTTTAACCAAACTCCCTAGCAAAGAGAGAGTTAAAGTTCAATCATAAACCAGCTGCCAACAAATAATATCAAATACATTTTCTCTGTTTTACCAGACTGAACTGGTAGTTGGGTGACAAATTTAAAATCTAACCATTATTTGACAAATCAATTAATTGCCTATCATCACTTCAAGTTCATAATAATGCCTTTTATTATTATTGAGGCCCTACACATAGCCTTCATACACCTACTTCATAATGATGTGAGCAGGCCAGGGCTGGCACCAATTACACATGCATTTTTTTAAATCAACAAATGTATTACTTTTGCTTTTGATTCTAAGCCACAAACAAAGATGCTGTCTGCAAATTATCTAATCACCAGTATGTATAGTTTCTGCTTGGACCAATTTACCTTTCTTTGTCTTGTGTCCCTCCGCCAACGTGCGGTCAATTCCGTCAATACACTTACGGGCACATACGACCAGCTTCTTCCACGAACAACTGTTAGTGGCTGTGTCCGTTCTTTGTCTACCGATTATATGTGTGTGATGCATATATTCCTCATTTTTCTTGCGTTTTTTGTCTGATCAACGGGAACGCGCAGCTCCATGGGAGCAGCCATGTTTGTTGTTGTTGTTCTCTTCTCGCCTCTGAATGGGAGAGCGTACCTGAAGAACGCGCTCTGATTGGCTAACGGCTAGGCGGCTTGATTCGAGCGTACTTTACCGGTGTGATCAGGCTACCGATATAGTTACATTTTTAAGTAATTATTGTAAAAATACTGGCGCAAAGCGATTGGAGAACTTTTGGTTATGAGCTCAAAATGCACTAAGGTTTTTTTTGCAGGTGTCATTTAGTAGTCCCTCAATAAGTGGAGCGAAACTTAACGATACTGGCTTCAGCCTATGGCCTACTTTAACAGTACGTTATTAGGATGGGAATATGTGTATTGGTACAAAGTATTGTAATAAATGTAAATGTGATATAAAATGTACTTCTGTCTTTCTCTCAGAGCACCATGAGAAGAATGAATGCAGCAGTATGCTGGATACAGGACAACATGTCTCTTTTCTATTACATGTCGAACTGCCCAGCGTACTGTCCATGACAGCGGAGGACCGACGGGGCATTTCAGAAGATCACCACTGATGACAGCTGTGATTTAAGAGAATGCCTCCTTTTTGTTTTCCAGTTCCAAGAAGACTACACAGCTTTTCTTGAATCTTGTTTGGCTGTCTCTGCTGAATTGTTCCACACCCCTACCCTTTCCCCTTAGCCAGAGGACGCCCCCCCACCCCACCCCACCCCTTGTCAACCCCTGGCCCACACACCACCCTTTTACTATCATCTTAATGTATAATCTGTATATATATATTATATTATCATTATTATTGTTGTTGTTATTTTTAATGTTGTTTATATGTTGACTTTTAATTGTGAAAAATAAATATCTTTTGGTGAAACTTGTTTGGACTTATTGTACAATATCATGTTGAAAAAAATTACATTGATTATGTTGTGGGTCATTTTGAGCCATACTATGGAGTGGTGGTGTAGTGGTTAGCATAGCTGCCTTCCAAGCAGTTGACCTGGGTTCGATTCCCGGCCAATACAGCTCCTCCCTACCCTGTAAGTCGCTTTGGATAAAAGCGTCTGCCAAATGTATGAACATGAACTATGTAAATGAATGCAAAACAGTTACCAAATCAATAAACAATTAACTAATATTGAATAAACCTTTAGAGAAGTGACATACAATGCCATTTTAATTCCAAAACTTTCTTTAATAACTATTTTGTTTGGGTTTTTGTCAGAGGAAAGCCTCAGGACCAGACGGCATCCCCCCAAGGCTGCTGAAGACCTGTGCAGATGAGCTCTGTCAGGTCCTCAGCTACATCTACAACCTGAGCCTCAGCCTGGGGGTGGTCCTCACCCTGTGGAAGACCTCCTGTGTGGTATCGGTTCCCAAAACGCCACATGCCAGGGAACCGGCCCACTTCAGACCAGTCACCCTGACCTCTCAGCTGATGAAGACCATGGAGCGCCTCGTCCTCGCCCACCTTCGCACCGTGGTGAGCACCACCCTGGACCCGCTGCAGTTTGCCTTCCGGCCCAACATCGGAGGATGCCATCATCTACCTGCTGCAGCGAGCATTCACCCACCTGGAGACCTGGAGCGCTGTGAGAGTCATATTCTTTGACACTCTCAAGCGCTGAGGGGGAAGCTGGAGGACGCTGGGGTGGACAAACATCTGGTTGACTGGACCATTGACTACCTCACTGACCGTCCTAAGCACGTGCGACTGCACGGCTGCCAGTTAGAGGTTGTACTCTGCAGTACAGGGGCCCCCCAGGGCACAGTCCTGTCTCTGTTTCTGTTCACCAGCTACACCTCGGACTTCACCTACAACACGGACAGCTGTCACCTCCAGAAGTTCTCCGATGACTCGGTGATTGTGGGCTGTGTGTCTGAGGGGAACGAGCTGGAGTACCGGTCGGTCATCATGGACTTTGTGAATTGGTGTTTGAAAAACCATCTGTGTCTGAATACCAATAAGAACAAAGAGATGGTGATCGACTTTAGGAAAAGACCACCACTCCACCCTCCCGTGAACATCCAGGGGCAGGACATAGAAACTGTAGAAAGTTTCAAATACCTGGGTGTTCACGTGAACAACAAACTGGACTGGACTCACAACACAGACGCCCAGTATAAAAAGGGCCAGAGCCGCCTTCACCTCCTGAGGAGGCTGAGGGCCTTTGGAGTCAGCAGGCCCCTCCTTAAAAGCTTTTACGACTCTATAGTGGCCTCAGCCCTCCTCTATGCTGTCGTCTGCTGGGCCCCTGGCAGCACAGAGCGAGACAGGAAGAGGCTGAATAAGCTGGTGAGAAAGGCCACTTCTGTCCTGGGCTGCCCTCTGGACTCAGTGGAGGAAGTGGCTGAGAGGAGAGTGTTGTCCAAACTGAGATCCATCATGTACAACACCTCTCACCCCCTGCATCGGACTGTAGAGGAGCTGAGCAGCTCGTTTAGTAAAAGACTTAGACACCCTGTGTGTAAAAAAGAGCGATACCCCTGGTCTTTCATCCCTGCTGCTACCAGACTGTACAACGCTGCACTTTAACAACTGCCATGCAATTGTGTTATATTTGTTGACCTGTGTAATATGTGTCCTGTGTGTGAGCCATCTGATTGTATATATTTTAGTCACCAAAATCTCTTCGCTGTGTTGCTTCCTTGTATATTTGTTTGCTTTTGCTGTACTTTATGCACCTTTCCTCCTTTTGAACTCTAACCGATGTGTGACCAGTGAATTTCTCCACTGTGAGATCGATAAAGCTCTTATCTTATCTTATCTTATCTTTTCCCTCTTCACAAACACATTTTGGAATATTACTGTGTACTTTCTGCAGATGTAAATCTTACATTTCACACAAGAGTTACTTATTTTACTGTCGTCTTGGGAGAGACAGACATGGCATCCAGGCTTTTCATTTTCTTTTCACCTGTCCACTGGATGTTGGTTGGAGAACTGTCACTTTGATCAACAAAAAAACTTAAATAAAGTCATATATAATCAAATTACAGTAAAATGCCAGACAAGAACAGAACAATACATAGATACCAAACCAATTATTATTATCAATTATAATTACTAACATGAAACTTGCAAACCACAACAAGTTTACAACGTTGAACCTGTTTTCTCCCTCATGGTCATAGAAACCAACAAATGTTCTTAAAAGAAACAGAAATACTTGTGAGGACTTTATTTTGCAAGATAACAAAGATATCAGATCAAAATCTTTCAGTGTGGACGGAAGGATATCACAGAAATATCAGATGTGATCCTTTGATTCAATCCGAGGTGCCGTAAAGCCCGTTAGTCTCGCGGGAAGTGCTGTTGCGAACACGTAATCTCGCGTTCCCAGGGTCGATCACGTTTGTTAACGTCGCGAGAATTAGTACAACCTGGAGATTACGGTGTAGTTCAGAACTGTTGGCAAACTGCAGTTGAAACTTTCCTTTGACACTGTCTCTAAGAAACAAGCGGGACCCATTTTTTTATACATTTAAATGAAAGCTGTCATTCTTGCCGCCGGGTATGGCACCCGATTACAGAGAGATCTTTCGTTGGACAGCAGCGGAAGGTTCTCTGGTCTGGCTGGTATTGCAAAGCCTCTCCTGCCGGTGGGATGTTGCGCGTTGATATCTCACTGGGTCAAGGCTTTGACAGCTTCTGGTTTTGCGGACTACATTTATGTCGTTGTAAGTACTACTATACACCATAAACACTGCGAGAAACAGTGTTTTTTTTATATAGGCTTAATAAGTATAGCCGTTTTAAAGTACCGTTTTAGGTAAGATAATATCGTTTTACATATTTTTATTTAAAGATTTCCATCATCGATTGACAGACCTGTCCTTAACTTTCGTTAGACCTCTGTCTTTTGTCCTCTCTACAGACCAACGATGTCTACCGGGCTGCCTTTGAAGAATGGGCTACTCCTTTCACTAATGTCAAGATTCTCAATGACCAAACAAGAAACAACGACGTAAATAAATGCTAAACCACTTCTGACAAAACTACTCAGGACAGGTTTTTGTACTCATTGAACAAAACTGCAAATAATCCTCATGAAAAGGGGTTGTTATAAAAAAAGAACAACAGTGCATATCTTGCTTCATGCATTAGAAGCTTTTTTGTTGTTGTAAAAAAACAAAAATAAACCAAGTATGGATATGACACCAAACTCAGATGAGGTACAATAATTAACTACCACGTTTTTTTTGTTAATACCTTATTTAATTTATGTAAACTACTTAATATGAGGCAAAAATAGTTCAAAGAAAGGGCCCATTTTACAGAACCAGAATTGTAAACCAGCTAAATAAAAATGTATTCATATGTGACATCCTTTTTTTTTGTTTTACAAGGATTTGTAGTTTAAGTATCTGTGATGAAACTTTGAACTCATCCTTATCATTTCACTCTCCAAGGAGCGTCTCGGTGCCGTGTCCTGCCTGCAGCTTGCTGTTAAACATTTCAATATAGATGACCATGTCGTTGTTATTGGGGGGTACGTTTCTGTGTTCAAGTGTGACATGTTATATGATATATATATGATGTATAAAAGTCTGTCCATCCTTAACAGTGACACACTCTTCAAAGAGGACTTCAGCCTATCTGAAGTGAAAGAAAAGTTTTCAGACTTGCAAGCAAAGTGTGAAGACTGTTGTCTTGTGCTCTCATACCACTGCAGAGAGGAAGGTGAGCTAATTCAAACGGCCACACTGAAAAGAAGAGGACAGGGTTTACATTAAATTGACAATCCAAGTTTAACCAATTTTTAAGAAATAGTGAATTAATTCATACCGTCTGTATGCATCTACAGAAACCCAGAAATACGGAATACTTGAAGCAGATGAAAGTCTTCGTGTCCTTTGCATGAAAGAGAAACCTCTTCCCTCAGAAACAAAATCGAGGAGAGCAGTAAGTTCATCACAAAGCCTATCATAGCCGGGATTAACAACTGCTAGACTAATTGCACATTCTTCACACTGGAGCCATCTTCAATCAGTCACACACCCCCGCCCCCATTTACTCAGACAAAATCAGAATGATTAAGAAAATGACTTTTTTGCATGGATGTCTTACTTAGATCTTCAATCAGTGCCCAATTAATAGTTTCCCTTCATTTTGCAGTGTCCGTGTTTCTATGTGTTTTCAAAGAAAAGCCTTCCTCTGTTGGATGCCTTCCTTGAGGAAAAGAAGGTACTAAGTACAGAGTGAAGATGAAATATATTTTGACATTGAACAATTAACCTAACTTTTCCACCTTCACAGGATAGTTTTATAGAAGAAAAAGACGCTCCAGGAAACTTTGTGTCTTGGATTATTCCAAGGTTAGTTACAAACAATCAATCAATCTTAAAATTGAATCATCCTATACCATGAAATTACTCCCAGGATTTTGTAAGTAATTTGTCTTGTGAATTATTTACACAAGAAGAATCTAAGAATATTTCCTGAATCCAGTATTATGACAACTGTTCACAAGCTAAAACATTTTTTATTCATTTTGATTAATTTCTTTCAGGAAACCAGTTTACATTCATCAAATATCTGGACGTTTTGATGTTGGAAACCTGCCTTCCTATATTGAATGTGACCTTTATTTTAGAGAAAAACTTCGAGACACAAAGTCTTACATGATATAGAAGAAACTGCAGTACAAACATTTATTACAAATCATGAAAACAGAAGAAAGTCTTGATATCTTGATTTCAGATAAACAAATGTAACTGCAAAGCAATACAGTAACTAATTATAAATATGCCAGTAAAACCTATCAAAGTGTTGTTTCATAGTGAAACATTTCTAATAAATGTATTTGAATGATATATCAAGGGAGGAGTCTTGTGCATTTATCAGAACCCCTTTCATGGCCAGCTTCCATCTTTGCAATGCGGGAGCCGAACTGCATGGCTCTTTTGGGCAGCACAGCTGACTGACCAAGACCCAACTGCTTCGCCGTAAGTCTCAGGAGGAGCTTTTCTCCAACGCCACGCGGAAGAGACAGATCAGCCTTCTTCCACACCGGTAGCGAGTTCAAATAACTCACCACATCTTCGTCCAAGTAGGGAAACCTATGGATACAAAAAGAATACAGCCAAACGGATGAAAGGGGAATATTATCCAAGGTGCTCGCAGTTGTGAAACGTTTCTGAATGTTACAACACTCTGTCAAAGCCATTTATCTAGTTAAGAGTTCACAGGAACCAAATTGCATGGCTCTTTTAGCCGCACAGCTGACTTACCACGGCCCAGCTGCTTAACCATCAGTCTCAGGAGGAGCTTTTCCCCAACAGGATTGGGCGAGTGTTTTTCCCCAAAGTGAAAAAACACTCATCCTATCCAATTTTAAAGATCGCCCTCCAGCTCCACTGTCATGAGTTAGTCATCTCAGGATAATATACAGAGACATAATAAAGTTGCAACGTATCAACATTCAATCCAATTTACTTTCGGCTCAAAAAAGACCAACACTGTGACACCAGGTCATTAAAATTATTGCATTCTTAGCCTTAAAAAAAAAAACTCTGCAAAAGCCCAGAATCTTTTCAACCAACTTCAGATACGATCACAAGTGAATATGTGCATGCATGTGCGCATGAATATATTTTTATGTTCACAGATCGAATAAGAAATATAACCGCATGCAGTACAGATCACTGCCGCATTCGGCATTAAGATCTCAATGGCTGCATTCACAGCTCTATTAAACAACAGCAAGCTTTGATTATATTTCTCAAAACCATTACTATCACATAGGGCTGCAACGATTCGTCGACGTTGTCGACAAAAATCGATAATAGAAAAAGTCGACAATGAATTCCATTGTCGACTATTGTCGCCAGACGTGTTTTTCCAACAGAGTGAGACATCTCACTTAATTATAATCTGCCCAGAGTCACCTGCACAACAGCGTCGCGGTTACAGAAATGGCGGCGTCCAACACGCGTACAAAAACTTCCAAAGTTTGGGAGCATTTTATCCTTGATACGAGTAAAAAAATTACGTGCAAGGTTTGCAAAACAGACCTTGCGTATCACGGCAGCACCTCGGTGATGCACGAGCATTTAAACAGAAAGCATGTTGGGCACTTAAATGAAACGGAGTCTGACTCGCCTAGGTAAGATTTAAGCAACAATAATGCTAATATGTTTTGTCTTTTATGTACGTTATACATTTTCTAAGCGTTTTTTCACTTTAAAAGAGAGCTTTTACGTTATGCCTGACTGTGCCTGACAAACGCATTCTTATTTACGTTTTGTATCAGCTGCAAAGTTGAATAAAAGATGCATTTTTCATTGAAGTACCCATTTTTCTTGTGTTTATCATTTTCCACTTAACTAAAGCAACTTTATGCTATTTTTAAGAAAAAGTGAATAACTATTCGATTAGTCGACTAATCGTTTCAATAGTCGGTGACTAGTCGACTATTAAAATAGTCGTTAGTTGCAGCCCATCACACACGTATAAGACATGTATGTAGTCACCTTGCCAATTCACATAAGATTACATGAAATGACAGCTTCCCTACAAAGGTCTTGAGTTCATCTGTAGAGTGATGAACTCAAGTATTATACTTTAAGACAGACTGTCACACTCAGATTTCAGAGCCGGTAGTTGTGTGTGTCTTACACATTTTATCTGCATGAATCTTGGGGTGCAACCAGCTCAAATATCTTCTGAACGAAGCAAGATGTGGTTCCATTCAAACCGGAACCTTTTAAACTCTCCGAAATAGAAAAAAATAAATAAATCTGCCGCTTCAAAATGTGAAATGATATGAACATTGGAGCTCTAGTGACTTAACAATTGAAAATTAACTTACCGAGCTTCCCTGCCATGGTCCCCTATCACTCTGTCATCTCGGCCTAAGTTCCTTGAGGATATCCTGCCCAACTCAGTGGCTAGCTCCTGGACAAGTCCTTCATGTCCAAACATCTTATATTGGACTCTGTGTCTTGAGTAGCCTGCTAGCTGCTCATCTGCCCCGATTCCTGTCAGAATAACCTGGCGTCATTGAGCAAAAGCACATAAAAAAAACATCAGTGGAGCATCTGAGGGCTTTTTTTTTTCTGTCACTGAATCACATGCGAAACATTTTGCATTTACAGCATACACAATGCACCATTGTCCACCCGTATTATACCTTCGCTGATGATGTGAAAGGCCTCTGGCTACCATCCTTTGTGATGACTCCGGTTCCTCTTGCAGCAAACCACATTGCACATCCGATGCTATCATCCAACACTGTATCCAGTGGATGCACTAAATGACAAATGCGCTCCTGTCGCATTTCCTGAAGCTCCCCCTGCGTCACATTGATTTCGACAAAATTCCATTGCCTTTCAGGATTCAAGTCTCGTAATTCTTTGAGACCAGCTTTTCCTGTGAGTCTGTCGGGAACATCAAAAGGACTTAGCGTCTGGGAGCCAGTCTTAGCCGTCTTGGGATTTGTGGGTGTCTTTTTGTGCTTTTGAGTTTTTTTTGCAGACCCAGTCATCTGTTTTGGCTCCAGTATTTTAAACGCTACATTGAGAAGGTCTATTGGCTGATGAGCAGGTACATGTTGGTCTGCCAAGGCTGCCAAAATCATTGAATCGATACCTCCTGAAAAAAGTACACCTATGCTAGCATTTTTATTAGTGAGATGCGTGTATTCCGGTTCTTTGAAAGGCAGAGACTGAACCCGTCGCCTCACTGCCTCACTGAGGACTCTGAAAAGATGGCTAACCTCATCAGTTTTCTGTTTACTCATCAGAAGCTCTTCCAGATCACTAATGGATAAATATGAGTCTTGATGAATCTCTGTCTTATCTGATGACTTTGGAATGGACATATTCAGAGGGCACACAGGTGAGGCCAGAGCCAGGCCTGATTTGTTCATCACACCACTACAGCCACAGGGCAAAGATTCAAATATAACTTCACAGCAATGAGGTATAACATTAATTCCTGCGTGAGTCCATGGGAAAATCTCAAGTGACATAGAAACAGCTTCAGCAGCTGCCTTTAGATCAATCCTGTACACACCTGCTGCTGGGATTTCTTTCCAGTGGGCCGAATCATATGTAGATATCTGGGCTGCAACAGAAGTCAGGGTGAGGGCACCTATGTCTGGATCAAATTTCCACAACAAGCTCCGTCTGCCAAAGAAGTCTCTGCCAAACCAGAGATAATCTCCAGCCTTCTGGTAGTAAACAAACGCCCATGGTCCCCGTACAGCAGACAAGACAGTAAGAATCTCTGAAGGCTCACTGCAGGCTGACAATCTCTTGGACATAACAGCTGTGTCATTTTCCTCTGGCATCACTGGCAGTCCTCCAAAAATCTCTCCATTCCACACCAGAATGTTTCCAAAGGCATCTTCAAAAGGCTGAGGTGTAAGGAGACCCCTCATGTGGAGAACATGGGCAGAGAATAAGCACCTGAAGCTAGAGTCTGCACTTATGACTGTGAGATCCTGGCTGGAGTTTGGCCCTCTACTCCGCAGATGCTCATACACCATTTTGTCCCACTCAAAGTGGGCAGATGACAGACTCACCAGACAAAAAATTCCACACATTGTTATAATCTTACATGTCCTGGAGTTCCTTTTTCATATAATCAAGATCCTCTGCAAACAGAAATTACTGTTAATTTAATCTGCCCCAGGGTGATACACAAACACATTTATATTTCAGTCAAAGCTCTTGCCAAAAAACAAACAATTTTCCAACTCAACTCACTTTTGCAAGTACCTAGTGTTTGACTTCTATCTGCCAGGAAGAATATGTTACTATTGCTTTGCTGAATGTAGACTTTCTGCAAGTGTTAAAAAATGAAAATAAATTAGAAAAAGGTGCACCAACAGAGACACAAACAGACGTGAATCAACATAAATAAATAGAAATATTACTTTAAAATGATATCATGATTATAATATGTGGCTAACGTGATTTTAAATAATTTGTTAAAAAGTTTCAATTAAGTTTCAAAGCATATAATCATTACTCACCCTGTTTTTCCTGAGATTGGATAGCTCGTCCACAATTACCTTCTGCTCTTTAATCTGTAAATTAACAGAATCTCAAATCTCATTTTGAACTCGATAGATAGATAGATAGATAGATAGATATACACACACAAACAATTCTACCAAGTTACATACGCTGAGAACATACGGAACCCCATAGGGGACATGGGGAATTTTTTTTATTTTGCGTTCCCTCGCAAAACCTTTTGCGAGGTAACGCAAAAGTTTGAGGCAGCGTTCCGGAACCAGACGACAATGGAGCAGAGTGACAGTACAATCGTACTGTCTGCTAAATGTTAGTTATGTTAGCTTTTTATGTTTATTTTGACCTGTACAGCACTTTGGCAACTTCGGTTATTTCAAATGTGCTCTATAAATAAAATTTGACTTGACATGACTTAAAACATATACAACAGAGCATGGATGCAAAAAAAAATGTATATGTGCTTTATATAACTTCATAGTCTGAGGTTTTAGAAAGCACCAACGCAGTCAGTATCCAGAATAGCAGACAGTACACTGCTCCATTGTCGTCTGGTTCCGGAATGCTCCCTCAAACTTTTGCGTTACATCGCAAAAGGTTTTGCGAGGGAACGCAAAAATTTTGCGAGGGAATGCAAAAATATTGAGAGGTAACGCAAAATTATTGCGAGGGAACGCAAAAGAAAAAAAAATCCCCACGTCCCCTAGGGGGCTCCGTAAGAACATGATTATCCGTGTGTGCAACAATTAGCTTGTTTTAGCCACATTTGCCATTAGTAAAAAAAAAAACACTACCTTTCTGCTCAGTTCCTCCTTTAGTGGGGGTTGTTTATCACATGCATCTTCATTGTCGTGTGCTTTGGAAGACATTATGTACAAAATAAACCCACATCTAAAGTGAAAAAAGGTTACACCAGCGCCGTTAATTTCGTCGTTAATTTCGCCGTATGTACTCGTTCGTGTGAGAAGCTTTTCCGGGTGAAAGTAGCTTTGGATAGTTTTTCATCTTACTGCCTCCTAGAGGTGAAGAATGGATAAAACACATCTTTTGAGTAAATTTTATCAAAGGATAAGTTTTGTTATTGCAAAAATGACAAAAAAGTCACTTTTCCTTTTCATAATAAACGAAACTTTACAAAAAAAAATAACACAAGTAACATATGTATCTTTTATCAAACACTCGCTGAATATTATAAATGCTAATGATAAAGTTAATATCAATACTAGAATATTAATAATAAATACGCATTGTGTATGGATGACGTGAGGAAAAACCATGAGTGATACTGACAAGGGGCGAGGTACACCATGGACAGGTCGCCAGTCCACTGCAGTGACACCCATGGGCGAACAGCCACACACGCTCACAGTCACTCGTAAGTTAATTGGGCACTCCATGGGGTGCGCGGGTTTTCGGACAATGGGAGGAAGCCGGAGGCCCCGGGGAGATCCCACGCAGACAGGGAGAACATGCAAACTCCCCGCAGAAAAGTCCCGGTTCTCCAGGGGACTCGAACTGGGAACCCTCTTGTTGTGTGGCGACTGTGCTAACCACCACACCTCAAACCAAACATCAAAAAACAAAAATAAAATTTGACCATTTCCTGAAAAATCTATACTTCGTCTCAAAGTTGATAGTAGTAGTAGCGCAGTGACCATTGCTTTGCATGGCTTCTTACCTGGGACTGAGATGACATATTTCTGACATGAAATAGCAATGTCATATTGTTGTATTATAATTTTTTTTTTTTTAAGTTAGCTGGGAGATGGTTATTGGTCTTTTTTTTTTTTTTTAGCCTCTTCGTCGTATCATTCTTAGTAACTCTGCCTCTACAGAAATAAAGCATAAACTTTATTTTAATGTCAGCTACACACATTTAAAAAAATAAAAATCAGAACAGTTGTAATGCTGTTGTGTTATGGTGACAGAATTGCACGTATTTAAAGACCTGCCAAATCATTTAAAGGACATTTTCCCAAGTTTGCACACACATACATAAGTTGACAAGATCACGATGTGAAAACAATAAAAGATCTCATGATTGATGCTTTTAATTATGGTCCATGGTCCTTTTTCACACTGATAATTTCAGTTGCTGATTTTCACATATTTCAGTTGAAAAAGGTTTTAAAATCTCATACCCAGAAGCAGAACTCTAACTAAAATGATGTTGCTTTAGGGGAGATTTCACCACACAATCAGCACGTAGATATTCAAATGAGGCAAAAATTACACCAACACTTGTATGTTGCCCTCACTCGAGATTTACTGAACTGGCAGTTGCTAAATGGCACAGATTGACTTTGGTAAATGGCAGTCGATCAGACACTTGTGAAACGTACCCGATAAACACACCTGTGTAAAGTGTCACAATGGTCTGCCATCCATTCAGCTGTGATTTTGTATTGATCTGAAACAGCTGTCAGATGTTTGCTGTTTCTTTCCTGGGAGCAAGGTCTGTCATTTTGGGAAAGGCCACAACATCACAGTCAAAACAGTAACCTTTGATGTTTAGTGTTCTCTTGTGGAGCTGGTAGGCACATATCAAAGTCTTAGGCCCTATAAGCATTGGTGGATATCCACCAAAACAATAAGTTCACACCACTCTTGTGTTCCAAAAGTGAGTATAGGTTTTCCTAATCATTGTTTCTCATGTCACCGCGATAGATAATCTCAGTGTTCACTCCAGGAACTTTGTAGAAGTCCCAGATTCCTTGCTGCAATTTCTCCAATTCCTTTTATGGAATGTCGAATGTCAGTTATCTTTGAAATAACATCCAAGAGCGCAGTAAGTGCATGCATCCAGCACATAAACAATGCATGAATAACTTTAATGTGCACACATCATGTGAGTTTCTGATCTTCCACCTCCGTCCCCTTTTTAGCTCTTCAGCTGCGACCTGACTATGTGTGGCCACAGGATGCAAGTCACTCTCATATTTTTATCTAGGAAGTACAAATTTAGCCGATGTAAACACACCTTGTTGTTCCACAGTCAGGCTGTGAAAGGGGAAGACTTATCTACAGGTCACATGGCCACAAAATAACAGAGCAGCCATCTCACCACTGATGACACCAACCTGAGCTTGGGTGACACACTAGCCCACTAATAGTGAGTCTGCTAATCTGTTTGTACCAGCTCTATGTGTGCAGATTTTCAAATTACTGAAGATACTGTATGATCCTTGAATAGATCACAAAGGTAGAGCCTGGCTATTGTTATCATTTGGCTCAAAATAAGTGCTTAAGTTACTTAATACAGTCATTTTTGCTCCCTCATGCAATGAGACAGCATGTGCAGGCCTGTGTGTTGCAGGATTGGCCTAGAAGAAAATGCTGTTGTTTCCAGTTTAATAATATGCACACAATATGATTTTTTTATATAGTTAAAAAGGTAATGTCATTGTTTATAAGCAATTTAGCTTTTTATGTCTCTTTTAGCTAGCTGCATCCCCACTAATGTAATTTGTGAACATTTTGCAAGTTTCTTAGAATCTTCAAATAAATCAAAACAGACAATTGTGCAATATTCCCACGGTTAGGAAACCTCACTAGTTTACAGATTTGGGAGGTTTTGTTCTAATTAGATTGTAACTCCTAATGGGAACCCAATCCAGTTATCTTCAAAGGAAAGTGATAAGAAATATAAAAAAGACTACATAGATCCTGATTTAAAAAAAAGATTACTACCACCAAGTGCCAAAGTAAAAAGTAAAATGTTAAACTGGCCATTTATCTTTATTTTAGATTATTTGTTGTGTCATAGAACTAAAAAGAAAACCATCTCCCCCTAAACTTTTGAGTGGATATTGAATTGTTGCATGTCAGCACGGTATTGTGACCGTGGAGAAGATGGTGGAGTTATGAGGTGCAGATACAGTGGCAGGTCTATGTTTTGAGATCTGCCTCAAAACATCCACAAACAGATTCCTTTCTGATCAAGATTGAAAAATAATATTCCAACCAAAGATTTTAACAGGTAAACATACTACCATACAGCTTTTGCCTAAACCTAACCAGAAAACGGTTTTTCCAATCTCTATTCCCCCAGTAGATTCAGACTATCCAAGGCTGAAGACACTAGGGGCAAGGGGCGACAAAATCCACAACATCCCTGTCTCCAGTTTCTCCCGATGAGGGCATTTTAAAGCCAAACAGGACGTATAATTCCTGCAGTGAGTGTTGAGTCTCCCCGGGGCCTCCTCCCAGTTGGACATTCCTGGAAAACCTCCAAACGGAAGCAACTGGGAGGCATGCTGACCAGATGCCAAAAGCACTGCAACTTTTTTTTTTTTTTTTTTGCAACATTTGACTTCTTCTCTGCATTGATAGTGATATCTGAGGGTGAGCCTAATTACCCACCATACTTTGCCAAACTCTAAGAATGGAATTTTGAAAGTGCAAGATTGACTGAATGAGAATGCCGTTTTGACCTCTTGCAAGTTTGAGTTCAATAGTAATGTAAAACTGATGTTATTTCAGTATTTGTTCTAGTTTACTGTATTTAATCTCAAGCAGTTTATTTGTGTATTTATGACGGTGAAAACAATTGCTTTCTTTGGCTCTATAAATGGGTCTTTTTTAACTATGTGAACCTGAAACCTTTGAGCCCTCTGAGGGTCTAGCACAGACTAATTGTTTTTTCTGTTGAGCTAGAGGCCAAACCTTTAGTGGATGCTACATTCAAAGTCCACAACCACTGTTAAAGTTTCACATACAGTTCCTGATAAGTCAGGGAGATGACTGCAGTTGGCATGTTCCAATAATGGCACTTTTATCTATATTCTTTAGAGCAGATAATTTTGAAATATATTTAAAGTTGTTGTGACGCAAACAATGTGGCCGAAAAGAACACCTGTGAACAGGGAATTTCCACTTGCATAAATAATAAAATGCATTCAACATTCTGCACGATAAAATTCACCGGCATTGTAAGAGCTTAAATTCTAAACAAACATTTTACCTTAAGGGTTGGATCTAGCAAAAAGTCATTGACTCAAAAAGACTTCAAAAAATACATTTGTTGAGCTGCTAAGTTGTTTGATGATTAGTGCTGTCACCTCTCAGCAAAAAGGTTCAGGTGTTTGGATATTCCTGTAAAGCATGTGAGGTCTTTCTATAAGTACTATAGGTTTTTCCCACATGTCTGGAAACATGCATGTTTGGTTAATTAGTGATTTCAAGCTGACCATTAGAGTGAATGTGAGCGTCCAAGGTTGTTTATCCTGTGTTAGTCCTCAGATGAGCTGGTGACCTGTCCAGTTTGTACCCTTTCTCACCCAATCGTAATTGACTATTTCACTGTCAAGGGACCCAGCAGCATAAAAAACTCTTTATAGTTCAATAAGATACAAAAGCTCTATAGAAACACTTTGCATTCCTAGCATAGATAATAATAAAATCACTAATAACTAGAAATGCATTAAATAATGAAAATAGTTTATTTACTGACTGATTTTCGTTCACTCCATTTATGACCGGATAGGGTTTACTTGTAATAATTTCACAAAACTGGAATAGTCATTCAGTCAAATGAATTTACACAAACAACCCCCAGGGCATAAGGACTGGGTTGTTGCTATAGTGTGTGCTTTTCTTCCATTCATCTATCCAATGTTAATACTGATTATTTCTATTGGGGTCGTGGGTGGCTGAATCATACCCAGGTAACGTTGGGCAAGATGTGCCTTTTCTTTTCTGTCTGATTCTTCCATGCACCTTTCTGTGGGAATGTGTGGCTGTTAAGTTCGATGCCCGTAGATCAATGTCCCCATTACCCATCAAACCTTTATTTTGATGTTGCTTATTTTTGGCCTTTTTGTCTACTCCCAGCAGTCTTTCCTAACTCTGGTGCTAAAATGAAACACATTCTATTCATACTACAGAACACAAAAATGCTAATTGCCTAGGTTATGTATCAAGACAAGATTTAACATGCACTTGTTGACATAGTCTTTGTTGAATCTCCAGCTGAAAGAGGAATCTGGTTGACAGTATTTTTGTGGAAACTTAGATTCAGAATTTCACTTTTTCAGAAGATATACATTTTCTACAATGTAGTATTATATTTGTTGGTCATTATAAAAAACATAATCTGTAATGTAAACTTTATTTCTTATATGTACCAAAATTGCCATGCCATAATTAAATCTTCAAATCTGTATCCATCAAATACGGTCGTCGCAAGAATCCAATTGGCTGCTATAGGGTATCTAAAACATAACCACTTGAGAACCATCTTGGATTCTCTAAAATACCACACCACGATACGAAGCAGTTATCATTGGGATAATTAGTTCGGTATTCTTTAAATCCTGCACTTGACATGCCATTCGTCAACATTAAGATATCTAATCTGGCGACAGGCAACTAATAAATATGACAGTAGAAAGCCTGATCACTCCATCAGAAATTGGTAAATTCCGTTTTGAATCAGGCTCACAGTGGAGATGTTCAACGTTTGCACAAAAAAAAGACATTTAAAAAAGCGCTGACATACGCGTGCAATTTGTCGGTGCCGTGAGGTAAACAGGTTGATGAAGTGAGCCAATTCTAACAAAAGCTGACCAGTTCGTGTCGAGTAAGAACTGTAGGGTTTACATGAGCTATTGTAACACCCTTTTCAGTCTTTTTTTAACGAGTGGTGCAGGGCGACCGCGTCTGTTTTTTTTTGTTTGTTAGTTTTTTTTAAAGCTGTGCAAATAATGGTGGGTCACGTGACAAGCTGGGTATATTCGAGGCGGGACGTAAACAGAGCTGCAGAAGGGAGAGAATCGTTCCGCGGAGAGCAGCAGAAAGACCCCCCCCCCACACACACATACACACACACCTTCAGGTCTTTGTGTATTGTGTGACTAACCGGTCCTTTGCAGCAAAGATTATTTCTTTCCAACTTCAGCTACAGTGATAGCTAAGTTTGGAGAGGAGAAAAGGGAAAAAACGCTGTTTTTGTGGTTTGTTTTGGTCTTGCTGTCGACGGCTAAATGCAAAGGTAGCTCGGGTTGACCTCCTTTACATTACAATAGAAGAGCTGTTATAGAAGGAAACATATATTACCTTGAAACACCTTTAAAATGGATAACTCTGGACCGAAGAAGACATGTTGTGGTAAGGAATTTATTTTGCTTTTTATTTTCCAAGAATCCGTTATCATAACTTGCAAATAACTTTAAACTGGGAGAAATATTATGACAGCAGGGGAGATAGATGTTGACCAGGGACAGTGACATGTAAATTCTGTAAATTCTTGTACTCTTTACAGAATCCGTCCGAGATTTCTTCACTTCAGCGAAATTCCTTATTTACATGGGGCATGCTCTGTCAACATGGGTAAGAAAAGTCAGGATATTTAGGCTAAATTACACCAACATTATTACAATCACATTCTGTTATTAACCATACTGTCCTGCGTTTAAATACTACACCACCATAACGTCAATTCTTGCCTTTTCTATGTGGCTGTTAATTTAAAACTTTATAATACATTGTTTTTATTCATTATATGTAATCATAAATGGCCTTGCAATACTGAATTAAATGTATTCGATTGTGGTTTACTGCAGAATCCTGCCTTGTTACAACAGCTCCTACTACTTTAAGGACATATTCAAGTTAAAAGGGTGATAGCTTCCCTGTCCATAAAAGATAAATTAATCCTTATTAGTTATGCAGAGCACGTATCACCTCTCTGCCACAATCTATGTGTCTTGTAATGTTAGCCTGCCTGTTAATGACCAGAAAAAAAAATTACAGGGTGACAGGATGTGGAACTTTGCTGTTGCTGTATTCTTGGTGGAGCTGTATGGGAACAGCCTACTCCTTACGGCAGTGTATGGGCTCGTGGTGGCTGGCTCTGTGTTGCTACTGGGAGCCATCATCGGGGATTGGGTTGACAGAAACCCCAGACTCAAAGGCAAGGCTAATGCACACTTTAAGCCTAATGTAACTGTTTTAGAAGATTTGTACAATTTTGCAATTTTTTAAAATTTGAGATGAATTTGTTTGTTTAGTGATTTGATCCTGAAAAAGGCATGCTGCTTGCTGTTTGTGTACCTCACTGTGTCCATGAAATCCACCTCTTGCAAAATTATCATCCAGGCGTAATTAGACTAAATGAGGGAAAATGAAATGTATTCTTATATCTTCTGGAAGCACTCCATAATTAACTAGTTTATCAGACAAAAAGCTGTTGTCTTTGACTAAATTTCTGTCCCTAATGCTGGTCCTGGTGTTTCCACAGTTGCCCAGACTTCGCTACTTGTCCAGAACAGTTGTGTCATCATATGCGGGGTCCTCCTCATGGTTGTTTTCCAGTTCAAAGAACAGCTTGTGGAGCTTTACAATGGGTGGATTCTGGTAAGATCCTGTCTGTACTGTCTCATGCTCTCTTGCTGTTTTATCATGGTTCAAGGATATTTTTTTAAAACTAAAAGCGAGTGTATATGCCTGGACTGAAAACAGCTTACCTCATTTGGTATGAGTTCCAACATCAGCATAATTTTTAATAACTCAAACACCTTTTCAAAATGAGTCAAATGAGTTTGACCTGGTTCTCGTGGCCAGTGCTGCTGAAGCACCTCTATAGCTACAATGATTGGAGCAACTGTTTTACAACACACATACAGGGCTCTGGGATTGTGCTGTTTATTTCTTAGGCTGCCATTGTGTATAAATTACTTAATTGTGGTGAATACTGTGAATTTTGTGCCGGAAGTAAATTATTCGGTAACAGCATTTTCAACAGAAATAATGCTGTTCTGTAGTCATTTTTTTCATCCACTTTGGATGCGGAAAATGTATCAAGTTATTAATTTTTATATAAGACTGATTCCACAACAGTTTGGTAATTTTTATTCAGTGTCACTTTAACAGGCCGTAGTGCATTTGTTAGGGGTTATACATAGCATTGGGTCACGCACATCTTAGGTGAGTGTCTAGGGGATGCACATAAAGACTCACCCAAGATAAGCAACCGTTTGTCTTCATGACAAAGAAGTTGTCTCGATGACGCATTGTGTTTTTTACTTCTTTTTAGAATTTATTGACAAAAAACCCAAACTGCCATTCCTTTGATAATACAAAAGAAAAGAAAATCAATCATGACTCTTAACATAACTGGAAAATCTGGATTTCTTTTCCTTTCTTTCTTTTTTCAGACAACCTGCTACATTCTGGTAATCACCATTGCAAACATTGCTAACCTGGCCAGCACTGCTATGTCCATCACTATCCAGAGGGACTGGGTCGTGGTTGTTGCAGGGCAGGATAGCAGCAAGTTGGCAGGTCAGTGTTTTCTTAGAAACAACTGGCTTATCATTCAGTATAGGCTTCACATGATCCATTATCAGATCTCTTTAGCCGGAAGACTTTGAACCCCAGGTGGTGACTCAGTCTGATTTTTTTCAACTTTTATTCCATGCCGTCCTCCTCTGTTATAAGCTATTTAAAAGATTTACTCACATAGTTCGGATCACTCAACACAATGAACCTGTTGAACTTTATCAATGTGCTTTCGTAGCACAATCATTCTTGTGAAACTTTCCATTGTATCAACATAACCAAAATATAGGTGTTTGGATGGATGTTTCTGTTTTCAGTTGTAAAGAAGTTAATTAACTTGCATCTACTTCCACTGTTTTTTCAAATAGACATGAATGCCACAGTGCGGATAATCGACCAGCTGACCAACATCCTGGCACCCATGCTAGTTGGCCAAATAATGGCCTTTGGCTCTCATTTCATTGGCTGTGGCTTCATTTCTGGCTGGAACCTGTGCTCTATGTTTGTGGAGTACATGCTGCTGTGGAAGGTGTACCAGAAGACACCTGCACTGGCTGTGAAAGGTGGACAAAAGGAGCAACAGCAGGAACTCAAACAGCTTAGCCCACCAAGAGGTATGCCATCTGGTAGAAATGTGTGTTTGAAACATTTAGAATGTACGTCTGCCCTCTTATGTATTGAGTTTTGACTTTTGTCATAACTGGAATTCAGTCTCTCCAATTTCCAATCTTCTGCCCTCTTTCAGAGTTGGAGAATGGCCAGAGCTCTGAGGAGTCATCTCAGCCACTGATGAATGAAGCCTCAGTCATACCCAGCTCTGACTCTCCCAAACAGCATGGCTGTTGCTACCAGGTGACTGAGCCACTGCGCACCTTCAAAGCTGGCTGGATCGCCTACTACAACCAGAACATCTTCTTTGCCGGCCTGTCCTTGGCCTTCCTCTATATGACGGTGCTTGGCTTCGACTGCATCACCACAGGCTATGCCTACACGCAGGGCCTCAATGGCTCAGTGCTGAGCCTTCTGATGGGGGCCTCAGCCATTTCAGGCATCTGCGGCACTGTTGCCTTCACCTGGGTTCGCAAGAAGTGCGGCTTGATTTGCACAGGTTTAATTTCAGGCATTGCCCAGCTCTCGTGCCTCATGCTATGTGTTGTCTCTGTCTTCGCTCCGGGAAGCCCCTTCGACCTCAGCGTGTCACCCTTTCAGGATCTTTATACTCACCTGATTGGAGAGAAGACCCTGCCAGAGGTTGACCTCACCAGTGTTATTGCTGTTGGTAATGTCACTACAGCTGCTCCAGCTGAAGAGCTGCCACCTCTACAGTCCTACATGTCTGTTAGTCTGCTGTTTGCCGGTGTCATCGCTGCTAGAGTTGGTAAGAAAAATTACTTTTGATGTTTCTCTCTGCTTAGTTAGCCATAGTGTTTATGTAATACTCTCCTTGTCAAGGATATAATATCAACATGTACAACTTTATTTTACATGCTTCAGCCTACAAATGATGAACTTATTGCCTAAATTGAGATATAATTTTCCAAAAGAAATTTGAGTTGGCAATAGTGTCTGCAGTGTTGCAATTGGTCCACTTCCTTTGCTACAGTGATACAATTTTCCAAATATGACTTCCAAACCTGACTAAGGAGGTTCAAAGATTGAGTTTTTTTATAAGACACTGGCAGGTCACAATAGACCTCTAGATAACTGCTGTGGATGTCAAAACAATATTTGCAACCTTTGATGCCAATAATATTGTCCAGCAACTGTTGAGATGTGAAGTAGCTTTACAGGAGTTGTAAAACTATAACCAGAAGTAACTGCTAATGCGTGTTTTTATTCTGCAGGCCTGTGGTCCTTTGACCTGACAGTGACCCAACTCATCCAGGAGAATGTGATTGAGTCAGAGCGCGGTGTGATCAATGGCGTCCAGAACTCCATGAATTACCTCTTAGACCTGCTGCACTTCATCATGGTGATTCTGGCCCCAAACCCTGAAGCCTTTGGCCTGCTGGTCATCATTTCTGTCTCTTTTGTGGCCATGGGCCACATCATGTACTTTCGATTTGCCTTTAAGAGCCTGGGGAGCCGCCTCTTCCTTTGCTGTTCACCGGAGCAGAAGGTGGAGACGGATGACAGCCCCTCACTTCCTACCACAGTTTAACGCTGTTAAAGAGACTCTTTCCTGGGTATATACTTTCCAGGTCTATCCCTACTATGCATCCTAACACCGTTGCTTATAGTTTGTAGAATGTTAAGTGGAGTTTGTCAACATAACATAAGTCTCCAGTCAGGGAAAAATAACCTACAGAGTAAATTTATATTAAGGCAGCGTTCCAGTAAAGCTTTCAGTTGGGCTTGGAAGAGATCTTTGGCCTTCCATCAGTGGATGATCCTTAACACAACCACGTAATGTCAAACAAGGATCCACAATCTCTTAGCTTGACTCTTTTTTTGGTTTGGCGGAAAAAAAACGAAAATAAAAAAAAACAGAACACAGCACGGTAGAAATATTCTTCTCTTTTTGGCACGTCTGTAGTTGTAAAGATTTACAAAAGGTGCTTTAGCTAATGCACAGGCAAAAGAGAAATGAGTTAAATGTGATGACTGTCTGAGAAACCCCGAAGACATAGCGTTCCTTATTTTGACACTTCACCTCTCAATGTGTTCACTGGTGCTGTAACTGCTCATTCCTCACTCTGATAGGCTCCTTCTACAGCTGTCAGTTGATATTTTGTTGATATCATTGAATGATGAGCAGGTTGTAGAATTCTTTCTCTAGAGGAGGGGGAATACTTTTTATTTAACCAAACACAGAACAGGGATTTAGTCTCTTTAATAATCATTATAAGGGTTACACAGTTTTTCTACGAGAAATGCAGACAGCGGTTTTACAGTTTCTTTGTCAGTATTGTGTTTCTTACTGTTGTGCCATATGAACAGAGTGAGAACTCCTATGCACCCAATTATAGGTTTCAATTACCAAAGTCCAAGTCCAAATGCATATGGTATCAAAGGAAGTGAGGGAAACCAGTCCTCTGTCTGAATCATTCCAAATGTATATCCAGATCTGCTAGTGGTGATAAAACCATAGAATATTTTTCAATATTTGTAAAGCTACTTGGGGATCCTACTTCTTTGTTTTGGGGGGGTGGGGGTAGTTTATTATAGTATTGTGGTTCTGTCCTTGTTTTGATTTCCATGTTTCCTGTTTGAGATACTTTTCGTTTTACTCCCAGTTATGATTGTCGTTACTCAGGCACTTTAAGTGATTGACATCTGTCGTTACTCAACTGATGCACGATCAGGCATTAGTTCAATATTTTTTGCACAAGGCTAAAGTCATGACTCTGAATAGTTTCACCCACCCGCCTTAATATTCTTTCAGTCATGTGGTACACGTGTGAGGATTCACTTTTTTTTTTTTAAAGGCACATATTGCAACACTTATCATGCTGCACTAGCTCTTTTCAAAACATCCCCAAGAACTCTTCATTTCCTCAACAAAAAAATTCAGCTAGTTATGCTGTGACTTCTGGCTTTTTGGGAGGGTCTAGTGGTATGTTTAAATAGTATCTCAGAAAAAGCTTGAGGCAAAAAATCGATTAATGGATCAAGTTTAGTTTAACAGAAGACCGTCGCCAAAACAGACTTTTAGGGGACAGTTGGACAAGGGAAAGTCAAACAATTGCTAAATAGTATGGATTATTTTGGTCATAACATCAGCTGCCATATTCACAGTAGTATGACCATACCAATAGAACAAGAGGGCTTTTTTGAAGGGGGGGGGGGGGGGGGGGAGTTATACAACTACAGTTATACCATTAGTGCTTAATGTAACTTTAACCTCTTTTCTGTTCCACTTCAGGGACACAAATGTTTATGCAGATGTATATGCGCGCACATTCACATAATAATTTCAGATGTAACACAAAAGCTACTCTTCTGAAATGAAAAAGCTGGCCAGTCTAGCCAGTCTTTCAGACATGGTGCAGAGAAATATTTTGTCTGGAAATAGAGCTAGCCACATCACATGTGTGAGAACAGAAAGCTTCTCTGTTGCCGTGCATTCCTGTGGAACCTGTTAGAGAATACGGCTGAGTCAGGACGTCTGCAGGTGCACCATGGAAAGTAGTTTAATTTTTTTCCCCCATTTTACAACAATTTGCAGTCAGTATGCGCAGAGAAAGAAAAAAAACGTTTTTTTTTATGTACATTACATTAGCTGTGAGTCCATTTAAACTTTCCTCAATGTTTAATTATAATGAAAAAAAAGAGCTGTGTGCTGTTTTACCATTTGTCATGAAACTTTTTTATGTGTTTTTATATACCTTGTGTGAAGAAATTGTCTGTTTGTAGTTTCTTTTGATGAATGGAAATTCATGCATAAGGCAATTACTGGATTTTATTTGAATATGTCTGTAATATACTGCTTTTAGACAGTATCTCTCTCTCCCCATATATATATAAATATATATTTGTGTGTGTGTATGGATATATGTACATACATATGTACATGTAGTACATACATACAGTATTACTGTAGTTTCATATGCAAATCTAAATTAATTTTTGTGTAATAATCACACTCCACTCCATGAGGATGTGGTACTTCTTGTAATGCATGAGGTGTGTGGAACAAAGAAAGAATTAAATAATGATTTGTTTTGTTGTGGATAATGCATAAACGTGCTTGTGTATTATGTATGGCGGGCTTCTTAGCCTCAGTCCTGGGCTTGGCTACTGCTGCGTAAGGTCACATACCACAGCAGAGTATGCAGCTAATATCTTCCCCCAAAATCCCTTTTCTGTAGGCAAAACCAGTTGGTGGAAAACCAGCTGACATAAAGCCAAGTAAGGACTTGAGAGCTTGCTATTCACAGTGACCTCGATGTCGACAAAAGGAACAGTGGAGAAGGAATTTGTTAGTGGGCTTTCTCTCAGCATTTTACTTTCTTTAGCAAATCCATGAATTTTCAAATGTATTTTTCAGATCTTCATTGGTCAGAGCAAAGAGTCATTTTAAGGGGTTGACGGAACAAATACCAGTGACACCAACAGCCAAGAAAGCATCTGTACACAACAATCAATATTTAAGTGGGGTAGCTGCTTTGGCTCATAGTCTGTCTTTTGAAGAAGGAATTCATTTGCCACTTGCGCAACTTGAGGTTATTCAATTCAACATATATTAGTTGCTTGGCATGCCTACATACAAGCTGTAGCAGAATGAAGAGATTACTCCAAAACAAGCAATAAAAGTAATCTTATATTAAAGATTTTTTTTCTTATGAATGTACCTCATTCTGGCCAGGTAAGAATGTGCTTGTGAAAGTTAGCTGTAAGAAGTTCAGACCTTGCTCAATACTGTTATATATCACAGAAGTGTGGACAAACTGAAAATACATTTGATTCATTTTCAGCAATACTGTGTTGTTTTGTTTTCTGCTGTTTCAGAATGAATTCTAGCTGCTTTAAGGTAAAACATCAAACTAATAACAGCCATTAAATAGGAAGAAATTATTAAAAGGGAACAAATCATTGTCAAAGTGACCTGACTGGAAAACACCCTCAAGCTATTTGAGCAGTCTCTGGTCTGATAGTACACCTATCAGTAACCTGTTGCACACAGCATAAAGAAAAGAGCTTATGTAGACAGAATCAGTTTTAGGCCGTTTAGCATTTGTACTGCAATCAGCGGAAGGGGGCATTTTTTCTTTTTCATACAAACCAATTCTGAAAAAAAACATTACGCTTCATGTTAATATAAGGTAGAATAAATATGAAGATGGTATACTGATAAATATTAGTAATACACAAATATGAAGTGTCTTGCAAAGTTGCATAGTTGATTGATGCAGCACATCCACTTAAAAGCATCTGCTTTACATTTTGGCATTGAGATGCTCTTTCTTGTCAAAATTATGTAGTTTAAGGTTTTTTTTATCTTTTTGTTTGTTTTACACATTATATAAAGGCAAAAAAAAATTACTAAGGAAACACAACTATATACAACTTTATAAGGGTCTAACTGGTGACCCAGTTTGATCACTTGTCGGAAGAGAAATATATGAACAGCAATAAAGCCAAATGCTTTTAAATGCAAATACAGCAAAAGGCAAAACCCAGCCTGGGGCCCCCGCTTGAGACAGGAACTGAAAGAGGCTGAGATCAGTGACCTCTGTCTTATTCAACACTGGGAACAAAGCGTGATCTCCTTGTGAGAAAGCTTACTCAGGACTGCAGGTCTCGAGGCTCTGCACGAACTGAACTTTCTTTAGAGCATGGATGATGTGTCATTTTTGGAAAAGGTGCATTTACTCTTTCTGCAGCTTTGGACATCTGCGTTAAGCAACATATGAATATTCTAACCGCATCTGTTAAGGAAAAAATCACAAATGCGTGCAAACCAGGGAAAGAAGACCAAAAAAAACAAAAAACTGAATTCAGTGTAACAGCAGTGTATTTATGGAAAAATATTTCTGAGGTTGTCCGGATGCTGAACATGTAGCGATTTACATCCAGTCAAACACATTCCTGCCTGGCCAGCCATTACTGTGTGCAAAGGCTTACGGGAAAATTGCCATAGAAACCTTTGGAGCTGTGTAGTGGCATGGTCACATAAAAAAGAATGCTACCTCTGAACAGCAAAAAAATTGCAAATGCTTACAACGCAGCACTAATTGTAACAAGTAAACAGTAAGAGGAAGTCATTTTGTGTTGTATACTTTCGCATTTGTGGCAAAGTCCAGATAAAAACAAGTGGAACAAAAAAAACAACTCACTTTGTAAAAAATATTTATTATCCAACAAGAAAATAAGAGAAAAAGATTCACAGGAATGACATGGCAACATATGAATCTTCTGGTAGATATATCGAGTTATAATGTGGAAAAACTGGGGAGATTGTTTAAACGCATAGAGCTGACACACTTTGTCAGCGTTTATTTTTTCCACTTTTCAGGATAAACTTGCAGGTAGGGGCGTGAGAGTATATGGTCTTTTTCAAGAATCCAGGAGGCCTGAGAGCCAACTGTGGTCAAGTTTCTTCATCCTCCGTAGCTCTCTAACCTGAGCCTTTGTTAACGTGGGCACAGCGTTTTCTGCTTCCTGGCCCCCGAACTGTCCAGGTCTTGAGACTTTGGATTCCACTTCCCCATCTGAATCCTCTTCCTCTTTTTCCCTTTCCATTTCCTCCTCTGGTTGTTTATCTTCCCCTCTGAAGCTATGAGATAGCACAAGAGAGGGGAAAAAAGTGCTAATGTGACTCAACATTTTCAGTGGAAAAACAACAATGGCTGTAGTCATATGATTCAGCAGTTTTTCTGCTGTGCTGCAGTGGGCTTTTGCTGAATCACACAGATATTTTTAGACTCAATGTAGTGACATTAATGATTAGTTATACTATATATCATGTATGTTTTTCAAAAGCAGACTTTTTAAAAAAGACAAAGAATGTATGCATTGTTACTGTCTACACCAAGTGTACTTTTTCTATTGGATATTTTAATGTTGAACAGACTTATAATTAAACTGGCTATGCTTCTGTACCATAACATAACACTTTTGCACAAGTGAACTGACCTGGTATCAGTGCCAGAGATGAGCAGAGACTGTACGAAGAGTGAGCAAAGGAAAGAAGTAGATGGCAGGACGTGGGCTGGAGTTTGCAAAAGCTGTTGTGAAGACAGATATGATCAACTATGAACATGCTACTTTGGGTACAGTTTTATTTAATGCTTATGAGCATGAACAACACAAACTGGATGTGGCCGAACTACTGACCTCTTTTATGGCAACAGAGCTCTGAGGCAGAGCTGTTCTCTCGGCATACAGACTGCTTTCTGGCTCTTGATTTTCCAGTTGCAGATCTTGATGTTTCCCAAGCAACAGGTAGAATGGTGTCATGGCAACAGTGTCATCAATAACAAACTTGAAGGGAGGTTAGAAAAACAAACAAACAGTGTCATGAAAAATATCTGATCGGAACACAGCCAAGCACTCTGTTAAAAATATCAATTTTGAAACTTTATTTAAACCAAATGAAGTCAAATATACCATGAGGGGATACGTTAGGACACTGAGGACATTGTGTACTCTTTCTCTTCAATTATAACAGAATAGATGCCTTAATTCACAGTTGACTACTTTACTAGAGAAGATTAAGTCACGTTTACCAGTTGCTGAGTTAAAGTCTACTACAAATCCACTTTTCTCAGCCTGAATCAAAAACTGTACAGCAATCCATTTGGCTTTCTGATCTTCACTTTTTTAAAAGTTTCTATGAAGAAAACTAAAAATGATTTCTCAATATCTATACAGTTGATCCTTGGCAGCGATTCCCACTTTTAAAAGAGTTTTTTTATTCCATTTCAGCCACGAGACGCATTCAGAGGCAGAGTAGAGCCACATGTGCGATACACTGAAGACGTATGGTCACAGCGCAGGCAAATCTCACCTGTTTGCTGGAAGCCATTAGTTTTTCCTCTTCTGCTTTGGTGGTAAACATAAGTAGGTCCTGCAAAGATGTCACGATTGGACAAAATACGTAACAAAAGAAATAAATAAGTTCCACAATAAGCCACCCAAAGTTATTAAAAAAATTTTCAAGTAAATAGAAGATTGTTTTCTAATCTCCTTATTTGCCAAATCCCCTTTAGAAATGTGCTTAAGTGTCAACTTAAGGTAATAAGTCACAAGTTTGATTGCCAAAATCAATAAATAAAGCAAAGAAAGAAACAGTATACTAGTGAAACAACCAGCGCCCCTCTTCTTTAGGAGGTCTTCCTCTTTGTAGTATCACTATCACCATACACAGACTTTACATTGGGATCTTTTCTGAACCTGTATAAACCAATTTCTTGACACTTCACATTAGTTATACATACACTTCCTTTAAAGACTTAATTCAACCCCTGAATGCTTTTCTCATTTTTGCTGTGACCTCTAAGACACGCAATACATTTCATTCAGCCGATTTTATGTTTAAAATGGTTTCCATCATTGAGGAAAAAAGTAACTGTAGCTTATAGTAGCAGCAGCTAATATCTACAAACCAAATGCACATGAGTCCACTTGTCTACTTTAGGTGTCTTTATGGTAGTCTTCCCAGTAAATAAACGGTTTGCACCTTCTCTTAAAGTATGAGGCAAATTTCTCATATTTTAGCCACTGAGAGAGAATATAAAAAATGTCAATGTATTTTGTTTGCCGCCATATTTACCATGTATTCGGTGATGAAGTAAAGCTGAGAACGGTTAAGCCACTGGCTGCTTTCCACACTGCTTTCCAGCATCACCTCCCTTGGGGCGAAGATGGCACGGGTCACCTTCCCTGAGCACACAGCCTTGTGGGAAAACAGTGGCCGAGGCTCGCAGGGTTTGAACACAAACACTGAAAACAGTAGAACAACAACTCACAAACATGGTTATGCTATGTAATGCAGTTTTACTGATGAAATAATAGTAACATCACTATTAGAGCCTTGCAAACTGACACCTTTTCGTCATTTAGAGTAACTTTTGGTTTAAAAGACAGCTGCTTTCTATTGCTACAAACAACTGTGTCACAGATACCCCTGTGGATTAAGTCAAGCACATTTGTCTGTGCGGTCTGTATTAAGGATTTTAATCAGTACAAATTAAGATAGGACAGAAGTCTTTTCTTTGGTTAAAATTTTTAGTGTGAACATTCGATCCAAAGCTTACAATCAGTGGCTCCCTCTTGGTAGCAAAAAACAACCATGTTCTCAGAGAGGGGATCAGCCAGGAGAAGACTGATGTCCATGGAGGTGCTCCATTCCACTACCAGATGGGGCAATCAGGAGACAAACAAAAACATGACAATAGAAGTATGAGCAACCTTGGAAAACAGGTTAATATGTGCAGATGCAAATAAGTGATAACTTAGAAAGTAGAGATAAGGGTAGTTTTTTTTTTTTTTTAGAAAAATGTTTTCCCCAAGAGATTTTAAGCCAATTGGACATTCATTGTGAGTTCCCTACTTTGATATTCTCTGCCAGGCTTAGAAATATATGTTGCATTACAGAAATTTTTGTTTTCAGTAAGTAAGATGCATCCGCACCTAATTTGAGGTAATGAAACAGAGCTATATAACAGGATGATCGTTGTATTTGTTGTTTTGGATCCTCACTAATCAATATCGTAAAGATACTATGATGAATTCTTCGACTTTTACCAGCAACCACAACATTAACAGAGAAAAATAAACGTCAATCCCATATTGCTTTGCCCAATGTGATGATGGTATATGCTTTTGGCCAGCAAATACAAACAATCTTGTTGACTGTAGACCCAGTCCACTACCTGGCAACAAATATACTACTTGGACAATGGTCTGGATGATCTTTTTAAGCTTGCGAAAAATTGTGGATGATCGTAAAACAAAGGCAGTAAATTCTGAAGTTTCAATATATCTGAATAACTTTAATTGTATCTGAAAGGTAAATTATAACAAGACTATATGAATTCTCCAGCCATTTCAGTGGGGGGAAAAGGCAAATTCAGAAAAGTTGTTTCACGCTCCAAATACTTAATGGAGCTGTGTAAAATCTTACAGGAGCAGGTTAGAAGGTTCCAGCAGCAGAGCTGGTTACTGGCAGTGGAACCAAGCAGATATTTGGAACAGCTTCCTCGGCCAAAACAAAGATCCCTAACAGAGGAGAGAACAAAAAAACAAACAGCCCTTTTAGTCTCCAGTAGTAAGTGTACCCTTGATCAGCAAGTCTCCTACACCATACATGTTTTAACAGGACCTTTATCTTGATTTTCTTTTAAGTGAAAACATAAAAAGCTAAATCTGAACTCACTAAGGACAGAGCACCTGCAAAAGTTTTGTCTGTGAAAAATAACAGTGGTAAGTTTTCAGATTTTAAAAATTGCTTCCTGCATATTATTGTATAACTTGAGAATGGAGAGAGTCTTCAGTTATAACTGTATTCACACAACTAACCTAACTTTATATGCAGCAGTATGTATGTTAAGTTATGTAATGTAAGGGGGGTGGGATCAAACAGCTGTCAAAATATCATCCTTCAGTTTCACATCATTACATTTGAAGTCTTTAAATTAAAAAGTTTCATTCAGAGCCATAATTATACAAACAGGTCCATTCAACTTAGGCTTTCTGGCTGTGACTAAGTGTTTGGAATGAATTGGCTTGTCCACCCTATATTCCCTATATACCCTACATTATTTTCACAGTCAAACCCGCAGAACATTTCCAAGCATTTGAGCTGACTTAATGCTAGAACCTCCTGGTTCCTTTTTTTTTTTTTTTAAAGCATGACTTGTAAATTTCCTTTTGTTTTTCTTTCAGATATGACGAGAGCCGACTCAGCGTTATGGGATTATTTCAGAGAAGGCTTGAAATTCACAACAGTAATTGTGTGTCCTCAGTGACCCAAGGCTCTTTTGTGAGAAGAGAAACATCTGCCAACATTTCTGAGACTCCACTAACATTGCGAAACTGCAGCCTGGCCTCGTGTTCAGGTCCCTGTAAGACAGGACTTCTATTGCTTAGTTGCTTTGATGTGAGGAACAAAAATGCTTAACTTTTGTCAGAAAAGGTTTAATGTAAAAAAACAACAAAAAAAAAAAAAACAAAGCAAAAAAACATCCATCATCCAGGAACCTTCAGCTAATTGTTGGAGTAATTGTTTGATATTTGCTATAGAAACAGTATAAAGCCCCCCAAACTGTAATGAAATGTTATGCACACCGTTCATAGCCATTTTATACTGAACAGGAGGCCTCTTGTTCTTGTATTCTGAAGGTACAGCTGTTCAAAAGCACCCTTCACTTAAGTCCCAAAAAAAGGAGTTGTCCAGAAACACGATAATTTTCCAGTTTTTTTTTAGCAATCAACAATGGTGCAAACTTAACAAGAGGTGTGGTACTTCTCTGACCTGATAGCTCCTGGTGGTTGCGACAGAGTAACCAGGAGCTCCCAGGAGGTGGGGCTCCACAATGTCACCACCTCCTGAAAGCTAACAGCCAGTAGAGAGCCGTCAGCTGAGAAACAGCAGTGTTCAGGTGCCAGGCTGTGATATGCTCCAACAAAATCACATGACCAGGAAGGATTTTCATCTGCCCACATATTCAAAGGGAAAGAAGTGAGAGATAAATACATCGGGGCACCTGGATTATTAAAATGGAAAAAACAGCGCAAGTTGTATAAAACCTTAAAACAGCTTGATTTGGTGAAAATAAAAAAAGGGATTCTTACTTATTGGGTTCATTTAACAAATTTGCAATTTCATGTGTAATAGTTGGCACTGCATGCTGGGACATTGTGATGAGCAAATAATGATGTTCGAGGAGGAAATCCAAACACAAAGAGTTCAGTACATTTTCACACATTATATTTTAATATTCGGGAATAAAAAAATACCCACTTTCAGTGCTTAAAGAAAGTTGTAATTGATCACCTCAAATAATAAAATGCTAAGATGAGTTTCGAAAGAGTAAACCTGACATAAACAGCCCCATAGCACCAACTGGTGAGCCAAACATGTCCTTGAAGTCCACCACATCATGTGACATTTGGCTAACTGCTTACCCTCTGTGTGGGCTGTTGCGTCCAGCTGCCAGGCTTTGAAATATCCGTCTCTGCTGGTGGAGACTAGCATGGTGGTCTGACTACTGGCTGCCTGGTCAAAGCATATGGCATTAATCCATGCCTCGTGGGGATCCGAGATGGTCGTGTTCAGCACAAAACTGCATGTCACAGAGTTGAGGATAAAACAAAAACGTTTAAAACCTATTTTCATTGCATTGAGGAAAACTCTGCCAGGTGATTATGCAGACTAACAGGAAAAATAAATACAGAAGTGTTTCCCATACCTTTGCATTTGCTCGTCAAATGCCCAAAGTTTTAAATTAAGCTCCAGCTCGGTGGCTCTCTGCTTTCTTTCTTCCACTGTTGCCAGCCAGTTACCGGAGCCATCAAATGCTGCTTTGACTACCTCAAACTGCTCCAGGCCTGATTGGTGAATGTACTCCTGCTGCACAATGTCTAGCTGTGAGATGCACAAAAAGATGAGATCAAAGTCCTTGTCAGCACAGGACTCAAAAAGTCTGTTCCAGGTGAACAGATGGACTTGTCTGTATGGCATTCATTAGGATCTTACGTTGTACAGAAGTTTATCTCTCTGAGGGGAGTAAAACTGGAGATGCCCTGGTTTTCCATTTAGTACCAAAGCTTTGCTTCGTGGGTCCACCATCAGATCTGTGTTGATATTTTCACCTAAACCATCACGGAACAGAGTAAGGTGACAACTTTGAATATTTTCAATTACTTTTTTTAAGGAAAGTGTCTTTGAAATAGTGAACCATCCACTGAGAAAAATGCAACAGTCACTTACTCTGAATGCACAATAAACTCAATCCTAATGTAAAGTACTTATGGAACTTGTTTGATATGTTACCCGCTTTATTTATTTTTCTAACACAACAGCTATGCTTTTTTTTTTTTTAACTGGCAACTGAAATAATTCCCATGATCATCGTTACAGATGAAAATGCCAGTTCACAGCAGAATCATTCTGAGAAGTCTAAAGGTTGTTCAGGAGATATACAGAACATGGTATGTTTCCTGTTTATAAGCTCGTACAGCATATTTATGATCACAGTTTGCTGTTAACATCTCCGGTCTGCACTCACCTTTGACCAGACCCTGGATGACAGCTGACACTTTAACACAGCTCTGGATGATAGTGATCTCTAAATGACACAGAAGTTAGTTACTCATACAATCTTTACTGAAAAGATAAGACTGACTTCCTTTTAAGAGCTCTTTAAAACATTTTTTTTTACACATGCTGTCATAAATGCAACCAACGTTCAACATCTATTTCAGCCATATATAATTGACAAGGCATATAAAGTTTGTAATATATCAAATGTACACTATATCTACATAATGTCATAACTACAGTTATTGCGTTTAATATTTTTTTGCCTTTAGGTTACGGTTTCTTACTGTTGTCACTGTGTGATGTACAGAACAGCGCTCCATCAGGTGAGACGGCAATGTATGTGATGGCGGCACCCAGCCGAGGTAGGAAGTCTCGCTGGCTCTCTTGGTTGTATCGCCACTGAACGAGCACCGACTCCACTCCTCCACTCAGCAAGTTGGTGCCTGAGAAAAAACAACAGCTACAGATCCATAAACAGCAGCAGGATGGACTTTCTTCTTAAATCTGGCACAACAAAAGCGAAGTTGAGCAACTGACCTAAATTAGATAGAATATTGGAAGTAATTAAAAATGTGCAGTACCTTCTGGAGTGAAGACCAGTGAGCTCACAGTAGTGTGGTGCCAGTGCAGGGTGGAGTATGTGTACTCTTTTTTGTGGTTAAAATTTCTCCTGGAGGCACAGAGGAAGGTTTTTCAAGGCTTCACGCTTACCTCAAAAAACAACCCAAATGATCAAGAGTGCCTTCAAAAAAACCATTGCTACTAAAAAAAACATAGCTATTAAGTAACTAAACATACATTTTCCTTCACAATTTTCCTGAAGTGATGAAGCTAAATTGCTGTATGTTAGTTTTAAAGGTCACTTACCAGAGCCGGATCTTGCCATCTTCATGACCAGTGGCAATGCAGTCGTCTTTTGGGTGACAGGTAACGCATGTAAAGGTGTTCTTGCCTCCTTTCTTGTTGTCTTCTTTAAGGAAAAAACTATAAAACCACAAGATGACCCATATTTGGTGTTACATAATATATTTGGGCATTTGAAGGTAAAACTGAGAAAGTTAATTTTGAATAAGTCATGACTTCAATTGCATGCGGTTACGTTTTCAAAAAATTTTAAAAAAGCCTTACAATTTACATTAAGGTAGCCTGATGATTTAAGATGGGCGAGTGTGTATATTTCTTGTTTTATACCGGTGTGGTTGTGTGTTCACCTGAATTGTTTTGTTAAATGTAGTGTTGGATTAAGTGTGACTAGATCCCAGTGTTGACACAAAATAACTGGCTTTACTTCCCACAACATCTGCATAGCAGATGCAATGTGACTCCGAATGTGCATATGCACCCACTTTCTGAAATTGGGCTTAGATTTAAACAAAGCTCAAGCCACACATGTGGCTTGAGCCAACCTAAAAGAAGTTGTGAATCCACATCCATAACGGTTCCTTGAGACAATTGTAGATTCTAAATCATTTTTACTGCATGTCAAAGCCTGCAAGACGTCATGCTACGGAATATTATACATAAAGCGTTATGTTCGCACAATACAAATCACAAGTATGAACGCGGTTATTTGCACATTTAGCTCAAGAAACAGGTCAGCTAAGCTACAGAGGTACTTTGGTCTTTCACCTTTCCCTCAAAACGTATCAAATACACAATTCCACAAATCCAAAACACTTGCTTAGAAGTTGTGGCAAGCCCAATCATCAAGCTCATCGCCTCAGTAACACTAAACACTAAAGGACAGCCTTGAATTTTCCTTGAATAGCAATGGCTGTTGCTTGCCTAGATGCTCTATCATGTTACATGTGTTTCCTCCAACGGCTGTATGAAGCGCATACTGCAGGAACAATATGAAACTGGGACCTTTTCATAGTTTTTCATACTGTGAAAATGGCTGCTGGCCCATGCCAAAAATTTAGTGTCAACCTGTGCATGTCAAAGACAAATTTCTGCTGGTATCTATTTTCATTACTGAAGTTAATAAAACCGCAATTTCTCTCTTCTTCCGTCACTTCTACAGCAGACTCATTATAATCAAGATGCATATTCTATACATCTATAAACAGTCCAGATTCAAACAAGTGAATGTGAGCTTTCTTTCCCTTGCCCCCCCCCCAAACTTGCTATCTGAAGCAATATACAGTGAGAGTATGTATATGAAAGGGGAAAAACCAAACCTGTATGTTTTTTCCTTCTTGAAGAAGTAGATGTCCAGCTGCAAATCTTTTGCTGAGGCTAAATATTCTCCCTGTTGAAAGGACAGTTCAGATTAAGGATCAGAACACCACTTACTAGGCAAAACATGTACTAGTGACAGAAGTAGGGATGTGCATACCTGTCTCCCGAAGGAGATGGCTGCTGGGTTGGAACTGATGTTACTCATCACTGCGGAGAGTTCTCTGGCTTCCACGATCTGATCCCCGCACTGTGGCAGGTGTACTGCAACCAGCTGACAAACCTCTGCATATACAGTGTCCAACATAAGCTCGATACCAATCTTTAATTAGCGATGGTGCTTCCATTTCTCTTTCCAACTATTTCTAAAATTTGTTCTCTATGCGTCTTCGCTTTCAAAAGGATAATATAGATCTTGGTGCATGCAGAAACTGGATACAGGCTATTCCCGATCCTATATTTGGATCGAATGCCGATATTCGCAAAAGACTGTTTATCGGCCAGCATGAGAAAATGCCGATCCAGTTTTTTTTAAGTCCAATCCTACACAACCATTAGCATCTCCTAACCCACAGGTCTGTGTCCTAACCATTAAGTTGTTATAATCCCTGTTCATTATGAGTCTGAAAACCAAGTAAGAAGGTTAAATAACTTTAATACGTGCTCTGATACCCCGGTATCGGATCGGAAGTGCAAATACAATATCGGTGTCGGATCAGAAGTGAAAAAAGCTGGATCGGGACATCCCTACTAGATACAAAGCAAAAAATCAGAGCATTGTTCAGATTTCTGAACATACTGAATTTTTGGAATTACAATAATCTTGAAATATAAACCAGAATAGTGGACACCTGGAGGATTTTAATATTGGTAAAAGGTCACAGTCCTACCAGTGAGAGTATAATTTATTTCAGTGTCTCACATGAAATTAAGCCCAAGCATGACCACAACTAAAAGAAAACTGAAACATACCAGATTTTTTGTCACTGTGGGTAACAACAAAGATGACCCCTTCGTGGCTTGCAGATATGTACATCGAGTAAATCGGCCATCCGACGACATACGTCTGAAATACATCGCATGACATTCAAACATTCTTTTAAAAACAGATGCAGGGTTTTCTACATTTGACAGCACATTCTACTCAGAACATTCCACCCACAAACAGAAACAGGTGCAATGGAACAAGTATGTGAAAATTACCCTATGTATGACCTCCTCTCTTATCTTTGTAATGAATTTACTCAACATTATATAGCTATTTAGAAAGAAAAACACCTGGCGAAAAACTTCTAGTGCCTGGTTAAAAACAGCAATAATCCAAGTCTTACCTTCATGAGGATGCCATCTGTGAAGTCCCAAAGTCTAATAGTGCCATCTGCTGAACAGGAGTAGGCCTGCAGCCCAGAAAGAACACATTCCACACAAAATAATGAAGATAACGGTTAGCAATTTTGAGCAAATATAGAATGAATTCCAAAACAGATCGCATTCACAAATGTGCCTAAACTTATCAGGTTTACGAGGATCATAAGTCCAATAAGGATTAAAGTGTCCTCTGTAAAAACATCCATCAGAGTACACTGATCCCTTTCAGCTCAATCAGAATGAGTCTGATGGTGAAGGGATGGAGAGAGGTAAGAAAAGGAGACGATGTATACACTTGAACTGTTTCTCTCGGGACAGAGGAAGCATGTCTAGGTTTTGTAAAATAATGGGATTTGTTTTTGTCTCTACCAAACGAAAGTGGTGTGTGGGATTGACAATATTTTGTGAATCTGAAGTGATAAGGACATCTATAATCTCTGCTATTTTGTAGAAAGTTCTGGTACATTTTCAGGTCCTATGTTCTGTGTGATATTGTAAACCTAATTTCAATTTTGACCTATATCTCAGACACAGCTGAACATATCCCCTTAGAATTTTTCTAATTGCTTCTGGAGACATCTTTACTCAAGAACGCTTTTCTGTGGGAGTGAGTGTGGAGAGGAGACTGTACCTGCAAGTGGTTGGATGGTTTGAGCTGGACACCAGTTACCAGGTCTGTGTGTCCCCTCAGGTCATGAATACATTCTTCCGTGGAGATGCTGAAGACCTTTACACACTCTCCCGAGGCACACAACAGGAACCTGTGGCAATACAAATAACCTCTTTCACATTCAACTTGTGAGATTGTGAGTTCATTCCCGTGAGTATTGAACCTTCATAACTTAATCACAAATGTCCGTGTCGCAGAGATTAGGTGACACGTATGTTGTATGATCTGCGGCGTAGCTAAAAGTCAGCTCGTTGCTTGAACAGCTAATGCTAACGAGTAGCATTTGCATTAGCTCTTTGGCAACCAAATAATCTCAAGACAGCTATATTAACTTTCAAAATGAAAATACCAACTAACCTTGAATCATTGCTTATTACAGGTTCTCTGAAGTTAATTTTACTGCCACTTCGGTGAACCACGCGGACGTCCCCACGTTCCGCCATATTTTTACCTGGGTGACCTTTCACCCCAGGCCGCCGGCATTTCGTTAGCCAAAGCCAGATCTCTGTCTCCTTGTCGTCCTCTATTGGACGGGAGTGGCACTGTAATCTCCCAAAGTTACCCCTTCTTCTTCTTCTTCTTTTTTTATTATGGCGGTTGGCAAGCAACTTTTAGATGTGCATCACCGCCATCTACTGGAATGGAGTGTGGATCGGGATGCTAACTTTAAATACCCCCCTCAAAGCAAAACAAAACAAAACAAACAAAAAAAACAAAAAAAAAACAACTTATATCTTTTCTATCAATTTTGTTTTCTTGAGATAATTCATTATATAACTTATATCTTTAGAAGTAGAATTTTTTTCTAAAATATCTTGTAAATTTAACTGTAATTTATTTTCTTGTAACCGACTAACTAATTTCCTTCTCTCAACAGAATATTTTGTACAGAACAACAAAACATGCTTTACCGTCTCTTCTTGACCACAAAAATCACAACTTCCAGTTCGATGTTTTCCTATTTTAAATGAATTACTGTTTAACATGGTATGTCCAAAACGCAACCTAGATATAACCCTTTCCTCATTTCTATTTCGTCCCGTTTTTCTCATTGCACCAACTTTTCTTTGAATACTGTACATCTACCAGTTCTATCTTCCTCCCACTGTCTCTGCCATCTTTCCTTAACCTTTTGTTTAATAATAGATTAGATTTCTTCTTTACTAAACGGAACTAATATATCAATAACACTATATTTTGAAGCTTGTTTTGCATATTTATCTGCCAACTCATTCCCTCTTATTCCTATATGCAACGGTATCCATGTAAATATAACTAATAAACCCATTGCTTGAATTCTATAAGTTATTAACTGAATTTCTAATAAAAGATCCGGTCTACTAATAGCGTGATTATTTTTCAATGAATATAATGAAGAACTTGAATCAGAGCAAACTATGCTTCTTAATGGACGGACTTCCTCAATCCATCCTGAAGCTAAAATAATTCCCATCATCTCTCCGGTATAAACTGATACTCCATCAGTAATTCTTTTACATTTTTTAACTCTGAATTCTGGAACAATGAAAGACACCCCATTACTGCTATTTGAGTTTTTAGACGCATCTGTAAAAACTTGGACATATCCATAGTACTTATTATCTAAATATGGTTGAACCAAACATGGATCTGAAATGTTTTCTCCTTTCCTTTTCTCCAACAAAGTCAAATCAACAACATTATTATGAAATAGAGACAGATAAACTGGCGAAAGACGAACTGTTTGACTAATATTTATATCATCCATCCATCCATCCATCCATTATCAATGCCGCTTATTCCCTGATGGGGTCGCGGGGGGAACTGGAGCCTATCCCAGTGGTCAACGGGCGAGAGGGAGGGTACACCCTGGACAGTCCGCCAGTCCATCGCAGGGCCACACACAGGACATACAAGGACAAACAACCACTCACACTCACATTCACTCCTAAGGGCAATTTCCCCAATCTCCAATCAACCTAACATGCAGGTTTTTGGACTGTGGGAGGAAGCCGGACAACCCGGAGAGAACCCACGCAGACACAGGGAGAACATGCAAACTCCACCCAGAAAGGTCCTCGTTCACCCGGGATTCGAACCCAGAACCCTCTTGCTGGGAGGCGACAGTGATAACCACCACACCACCGTGCCGCCATATTTATATCATATAAACCTAAATCTTTTATAATATCTTTATAATATCTCCCATCCAAAATAATTTTCTTTTTCCCAACTAGATTTTAAAATTTCTTGACATGGATGATTTCCATCATGGCCCTGTTAATTACACCAATAAGTGGTCTTTAACTGTAATCTTCTGAGATTAAGTGGCATCTCTCCCATTTCTATTAACAAAGCTGAAGTTGGAGTTGTTTTAACTGCTCCTGTACATAACCTCAAGGCTTGATACTGAATACTATTTAATTTTTTTAATAGTGTTTCTGATGCTGATCCAAATACAATACTTCCATAATCAAATACAGACCTTATTAACCCAGTATATATTGATTTCAATGCCTTCCTCTCAGCACCCCATTCACTTCCCACCAAACACCTCATTACATTTAAAACTCTCTTACACTTATTCATTACTTTTTTAATATGATTTTTCCAAGTAAGTTTTTCATCCAACCAGAAACCCCAAAACTTAAATTCCCTTGCCCTTTCTAATTCATGATTATATATTTGCAGTTTTTAATTTTCAGTTACTTTCTTCCTTGTAAAAAATAAAGTCTTTGTTTTGTCTATAGAAATTTTAAATCCCCATTTAAATGACCAGTCTTCTATAATACTAATGGCTTCTTGTATCTTTTTAACAATGAACTTTAAAATTTTCCCCCTCTTCCATATTGTTCCATCATCAGCAAATAAAGAACACCCCATTCCACTCTCCAAATTGTCAAACATATCATTAATCATAATAGAAAAAAACAAAGGACTCACTATACTTCCCTGAGGTGTACCATTCTCAACAAAAAACTTTTCGGACAATTGTTGTCTTATTCTTACTTGTATTGATCGATCTTGTAAAAAATCTTTTATCCAATAAAACATTGATCCATTAATTCACATTTTTTTCAATTTAATTAAAAGTCCATCTTTCCACATCATATCATAAGCTTTCTCTACATCAAAGAAAACAGCCACTACACTCTCCTTGTTAACTTGCCCTTTTCTGATTTCATGTTCTAAACATAGTAAAGGATCCATAGTGCTTCTCCCTTTTCTAAATCCACTTTGACATTTTGACAAATATCCCCTCTTTTCAACAAAGTACCTCAATCTTTCATTTACCATTCTCTCCATTATTTTACAAATATGAGAAGTTGAAGCAATGGGTCTGTAACTTGCTGGATTTGACTGCTCTTTACCTGGCTTTAAAATTGGAACTATGATTGCTTCTTTCCATGCCAGAGGTAAAATACCCACTTCCCATATCTTATTATAGAATTCCAATAAAACCTTCTTAGATGAATTGCTAAGCTTATTAACCATAATATAAGAAATATTATCTTTTCCTTGAGATAAATTTTTTGATTTTCCTAAGGCATTGTTTAATTCAAATAAAGAAAAAGGACTATTCAATAAATCATTATTTCTTACATTTTCTTCTAATAAATTTACATTTTCATTAATTGTACAAGTTCTTCTGCGGTTTTCTTCTGTGCTTAAATTATTACAACTATGAACTTTAACAAATTTTTGAACTAACATATTTGCTTTCTCCTCCTCAGTCACAGCAATAACATTTCTATCTTTCAGAACTGGATATCCATATTCCCTTCTAATTCCATTAATTATCTTTATCATTCCCCAGACTTTTGAAATCTTTGTTTCCCTACCTACAGAATCACAAAAATGACTCCAATAAACCTATTTTGCATTTTTCACCGTTCTTTTAACCAGAGCTTGTGACCTTTTATATTCAATAAAATTCTGAAAATTCTGATTTCTCTTTAACAATCTAAAAGCTTTATTTCGAGATTTAATTGCGCCATCACAGTCCTTCGTCCACCATGGTACAATTTTCTTCTTGTATTTTCCTTTTTTCCTTTGGATTGTTTCCCAAGCGGCTCCTAAAATGGCATCACAAATAGAAGAATTTACCATATCAACATCCAAACCTATATTAACTTTTTGCATCTCTTCATCATTTATTATTTTATATTTTTCCCAATCAACATTTCCAAATATAAATCTTTCTAAGGTCTCATTAACAATTTTTCCTATTGCTTTACCGATTTCAATAAATATAGAGTAGTGATCACTACCTATAGTTGCTTCTCTTAATATTTTCCACTTACTAATCCTGGCCAAATTCTTTTAAACTAAAGTTAAATCTAACGCTGATTCTGATCCATTTCTAATATTAATTCTCGTCCCTTCCCCATTATCAAGACAAACCAAATGTTTTCTATCCATTATTTCTTCCACCACTTCTCCATTTGCATCATTCCTATTACCCCACAAAGTACTATAAGCATTAAAATCTCCACAACAAATGAACTTTCTTTCTATATTTTTAAACATTTCCTCCATTTCATCTAAATCCAATTTTTTACACGGATTATAAAAATTTAATATTTTAATACTTTCTTTATTAATCCAAATTTCCACAGATAACCATTCTAGTGAAGCTCCTTTTCCTAAAAGTCTATACTGTATTCCTTGTTTTATAAATATTACACATCCTCCTCCACTTTCTTGTTCCCTATCTCTTCTAATACTATTATACCCTCTTATGACAAATTCTAACTCTGGTTTAAGCCATGTTTCTTGAATACAAATAATATCTGGTTTATTTTTCAAATGGTTTAAATATCCTTTAAATTCTTGACCATTTGCTAACAAACTTCTTGCATTCCATTGTAAAATAACCACCTTGCTTCCCATCTATTTCAAGCCTTTTATTTATCAACTCCCAAGATAAATCCTTCACAGCTAGAATTTTTTCTGCACCTTTCACAATAATCTTGATTTTTTCAGTTTTCTGTTTCACTTGATCAGTACAATTAATAACATAAGCCATGAATACAATTAATTTATCCATTGTAATTTCCATTCCTGATATTGTTCTTTGACTTGGCCCAAGATTTGGACTAGAAGACACTTGCTGGTTTTTCTGAACTGTTCTTTTTTCTTGAACACTTTTTGCTGCCTCTGCATAAGTAATGTTTTTAACTACTTTCAGCTGTTGAATTTCTGCTGCCTTTTTTCTTGCTTCACACCCTCCATATGCTACACTATGCTGACCACCGCAGTTACTACATTTCAACTGTACATCTGCTCCACATTCATCATACCGATGATCTCCACCACATTTAGCACATCTTTGCTTCCCTTTACACACTGATGCAATGTGACCATACCTTTGACATTTGTAACAGCGCAAGGGAGGAGGAATATAAGTTCTAACAGAAAAACTCAGGAAACCAATTTTCACTTTATCAGGAAGAACATCACCTTGAAACTCCAGAAGTATCGAAAAACTTTCTATTTTCTCGCCATCCACAGATTTTAACAATCTTTTCAATCTCCGCACTTCACCACCATGTATATTTCTTTTAAGTTTTTCTAAATCTTCCTCAAGCGGAATACCAGTGATTACACCACATGATACTCTGTTTTCTCCAACAATTTTCTTTTCACTCACAACCTTTTTGCAAATGTTATCAATCTGCATGCTTTTATTCTTTTGTTCTTCAGACTTACATTTTATCAACATATTACCATCTCGCAAGATTTTTACAAACTCAACCCCCCTAGTTTCTTTTTTATTTCTGTAGACACTGCTATCGGACTAAGGTTTATGTTCATATCTTCCTTCCTGAATTTAAGTATTACCTTAAACTCCTCATTTACCATTTTCCTCCTAACCACTCTGTTTTCTTCATCTGAACTATATTCTTCTAAACTTCTCTTACTATTTAGGTTACCAATCTCTCGATCATCTTTCGAAACTTTTTCCTACCCTCTACCCCTTCCTCTACCTACCGTAGTCCATTCGTCAAAATCCATATCATCTTCATCACCACCCCCATCTACCTTTGTGGTCATCCCAATCCAGTCACACTCCAGTTTATGCCAACCGGCAAAACCAACTTTACAGAGTTTTCCGGCCCCTACGCAGAAGTCGTGAGTTTGTTTGTAAGTGGGTCTAAACTCCCAGGCAAAAGCTAGCAAAGTTACCCCTTTAACAAAATAACATTAGAAATACACCACCTTCCCAAATCTGCAGATTTCAAAGAAACACAATGCAATTAGACATAGTTTAAAAAGAATGTTTATTGTACACACTGGCTTTAAAATAACGCTTAAAGTGCTATGATAAAAACAGGGCTTTATTTAAAAAAAATCAGATTTTTACAAAACAACATAGAATGTTAAAACAAATAGTAAACTTTGATATTTGTTCAATGCCAGTATTATATGACAAAATCCAACATAACAAAGCTGATTGTTGTGTTTACATAGAACATAGAATGTTAAAACAAATAGTAAACTTTGATATTTGTTCAATGCCAGTATTGGGTCCGTCTATATGGTGCGAAAATATATATGTATATACAGGGGTTGGACAATGAAACTGAAACACCTCTCATTTTAGTGTGGGAGGTTTTATGGCTAAATTGGACCAGCCTGGTGGCCAATCTTCATTAATTGCACATTGAACCAATAAGAGCAGACTCTGAAGGTCCAGTTAGCATGGTAAGAGCACAGTTTTGCTCAAAATATTGCAACGCACACAACATTATGGGTGACATACAAGAGTTCAAAAGAGGACCAATTGTTGGTGCACGTCTTGCTGGCGCATCTGTGACCAAGACAGCAAGTCTTTGTGATGTATCAAGAGCCACGGTATCCAGGGTAATGTCAGCATACCACCAAGAAGGACGAACCACATCCAACAGGATTAACGGTGGACGCAAGAGGAAGCTGTCTGAAAGGGATGTTCGGGTGCTAACCCGGATTGTATCCAAAAAACATAAAACCACTGCTGCCCAAATCACAGTAGATTTAAATGTGCACCTCAACTCTCCTGTTTCCACCAAAACTGTCCGTCGGGAGCTCCACAGGGTCAATATACACGGCCGGGCTGCTATAGCCAAACCTTTGGTCACTCGTGCCAATGCCAAACGTCGCTTTCAATGGTGCAAGGAGAGAAAATCTTGGGATGCGGACAATGTGAAACATGTATTGTTCTCTGATGAGTCCGCCTTTACTGTTTTCCCCACATCCGGGAGAGTTACGGTGTGGAAAAGCCCCACAGAAGCGAACCATCCAGACTGTTGCGAGCTCAGAGTGAAGCATGGGGGGGGATCAGTGATGGTTTGGGCTGCCATATCATGGCATTCCCTTGGCCCCATACTTGTGCTAGATGGGCGCGTCACTGCCAAGGACTACCGAACCATTCTGGAGGACCATGTGCATCCAATGGTTCAAACATTGTATCCTGAAGGAGGTGCCGTGTATCAGGATGACAATGCACCAATACACACAGCAAGACTGGTGAAAGATTGGTTTGGTGAACATGAAATTGAAGTTGAACATCTCCCATGGCCTGCACAGTCACCAGATCTCAATATTATTGAGCCACTTTGGGGTGTTTTGGAGGAGCGAGTCAGGAAACGTTTTCCTCCACCAGCATCACGTCGTGACCTGGCCACTATCCTGCAAGAAGAATGGCTTAAAATCCCTCTGACCACTGTGCAGGACTTGTATATGTCATTCCCAAGACGAATTGACGCTGTATTGGCCGCAAAAGGAGGCCCTACACCATACTAATAAAGTATTGTGGTCTAAAACCAGGTGTTTCAGTTTCATTGTCCAACCCCTGTATATGTGTGTGTATATATATATACACACACAAAAAAACTAATGGGACAGGAGACAGGACAGTGTGTCCAGCAGCAACCCTACTTCACTTTTTATTGTTTTTTTCTTGCCAAGCAAAAACCCTCACGTGCTCCCCCTGCCGTAAAAATCTATCGCTCTCCAGCAACTAGGAGGGACACACCTTCTTTCCACAGGTCAACACATAACAGTCTTTTACACACATCCCCCCCTCAATAAAAAACATCCACGTTTCACCTGAAAAGAACCTGAGACACAGCAAAACTATATCTGCAAAACACAGGGGAAAAGAATACCCACATAACTTCCATACTACCATACTATCAAACAATTAGGTAACCCCTTGTTATTACACACGTGAAAGTAACAGCCTGAAATAGACACAACAAAACCTTTCTTTTTTAATTGACTCCTCTCACAAACCCTAAAATCGCTCACTGTAACTTCAAAACATGACAAAGTCCTGCAAATGGGACGGAGGTTGCACCACTCGCCCTCTGCGAGAGGCCCCGAACTTGAGCTCTGGAAATTTCCCATACAGTCCATTGTCCATCTCACCAGCCAGAGGCTGATCCCTGCGCTAGGGGAGCGAAGAGACAATCCCGGGAGGAGACATCACGGCAGCAGGAGTAGTAGGAACAGTCTGTGCAGGCAATGGCAGAGTGTATGTTTACAGTCTGTCATGATGAACCACCTGGGCTCGCTCATGAGCTTCTGCAAAGTTAAGCCTTGCTGTGCTGAATGCTGATTCCAGCTGCTCTGCAATGGTGGATGCATAATTCATCTGAGATCCAGTGCCCCCGGAGTCGAGAGTACTAGCAGGCACTAGCACATCAGTAAGAACTCGAGCCTCACGTCTGTGCATGAGGTAAAAGGGGGTGAAAACCGGGTGCTGGCATGTTTAGAGGAGTTAAATGCAAAGGCTTCACATACGTGTCCCATTCACCAGATGAACGATCAGTTCTGACGCTCCACAATGCCATCAGATTTGGGATTATATGCAGTGGTGCGTGTTTTCTTAATTTCCAGCAACTGGCAGAGGCTCTAGATCACCTCTGCCTTTAACTGACGGCCATGGTCACTATGCAAGATTTCGGGGACCCCATGGACCAACACATAATCCTCAAAAAGCCAGCATGCAACCATCTCTTCTGTCTGTGCGAAAGAGCCTGGCGGGCGTAGGCTATCACCTTCTCACAGCCCTCTTCATCCTGTGCCCCCACAGAGTCTGAAAGGGAGTGCAAAGTTGGGCAGCGTCACCACCAGTGAGGATGTGAACACTTGCTTGAGGTAGGTGAACGTTGCCTCACACTGAGCTGACCACTCAAAGGCATTCTTCCCTCCCGGTTCAGCGGTGCAGCGTGTTTGGAGAAATTTCGCACAAATATCCTATAATAATAGCATAGAACCACAAAGGCCCTGACCTCTGAAAGGGTGCGGGGAGTTGGCCAAGTTCTGATCTGGTTCGTGTTCCGTGGATCTGGCCAGAGATCATCCCTGGAGACCACGTGGCCCAGGAACAATACATGGTCCCTGGAAAAGTAGCATTTCCTGGGATTCAACTTCAGGCTCGTCTGCTGGATCCTGGAAAGGACTTCATCCAAATGAAGGAGATGGTCTGTGGATGTACGGCTGTAAATCAGAATTTCATCCAAATATACCATACAAATGTGCCATGGCACGCCTTTGAAGATGAGCTCCATAATGCGTTGGAAAGCAGCAGGAGAATTTGTCAGGCCCATGGGCATAGCCCTCCACTGATGCAGGTGATACTTCCACTGTGCTCCGCCTGCTGGTAACTGGGAAGGACAAACTGTCTTTTCACATGTTGGCACAAAACAGTCTTTTAGAATAATGACATCTGCGGTTGTTTTGATGTAAAAATGGTTGTCCAGTTTACCTGGTGACTGTTAATAACAAAAAGGTCCCTATGAAGTAAGCTATACTGGAATATGCAATTTTGTTTTTAATCATGTCCTGTTGGACAATGTAATTGCCAACACTGTAATCTCGAATGGCAAAACCCTCAGCAACTTAAAGAACAAGATGCTTTTTTTGTGTTACTCACTGTCAATTCACTTGAGTGAAATTTTCCAAGCCTCTCTTTCAACCCCACTTTTACTTTGTTTTATTTTTTTTTTGTTTTTATTTTTTCAGGCAACACACTCTACTACATGGGCCACGACTTCAATCTGATTTGATCAAATAATATAAAACAGAATCACATATTCTTATTTGTTATCATGGTTACAGACCGCGTTTGGTGAATTGATTGTGCCTTCCATCACATTTTCTTTATTTTGACACATTTTGGTACTACTTTATAAAAATAAATTTTATGTTGTCTGTCCCCATGCGATGACGCACACACACACACACACACACACACACACACACACACACACACACACACAATATGTGAGCTTTGATATGTTGGGTTTTAAAGACCAGTTGGGTTTCCTGTATACCGGATGCAGACACGAGTTGAGTTTGTGTCAAACGCATTCTCGGGTAATCGAGTGGGTTGGGCCTGTACCTGAAAGCATTCTCCGTAAATGAGGTCTCTTCCTGGAGTGAGGCACATTAAAAGCGCAAGTTAGCGAGAGAAACACGTGCGTGCGGTGGATGACGTTCTCGGGAAAGCGCCACAGAAACACATTTCAGGTAACAATTAAGCAGATATAGCTTTTGTTAACCCTCACTATTGGAATGTGTCACCAGGACGTAGTATTATTTACATCAATAATATAATACACTCCCTTGAACCGATTATTTGGTGGTAACGGATGTGCGCCTGTTTCCTGAACGCTTAGCAGCATGAGCCAGTGGAAACAAATTCAGCAGCTGGAGATGAGGCTCCTGGAGCATGTGGATTATCTATATGACGATAACTTCCCCATGGACATCCGACAGGTACTGGCCAGTTGGATCGAGTCACAAGATTGGTGAGTCCTCTCGGTGCGTGCATGTGGGACTTCCTTGTTCCTGTTGCGTAAATGCAGGAGTTCAATTAATTTAATATTTTCATAAGTATTTTACATTTTTCAAATATAAAAACGACTCTATGAAAAACTAAATCCCTTTTAGTAATCAGGATGAAAATAAAAATGCTGCGTCTTAAAATGATCTATTTAAATTGAAAATGCATTAGCTTTCACTCCAAGTCCTTGCCAGGTTTTAAAATAAGGTAAATACAACAGATGGATGGCAAAGCATATTATGATATTGCGGAATAGATGCAGTGAGAGGCTCATCTCACTCTGTACAGCCTGTGAAGGCAGCGCTATGATCTGGGGTTGATGCAGTTGGTCAAGTCTAAGTTCAACGACAGGTAGGCTATGCGCCAAAAGAATCAGATCTACTAACTACTTAAATACACTGAATGACCAAGCTATTCCTTTAGTGGATTTCATCTTCCCTGATGGCTTAGGCATATTCCAAGATGTCGATGCAAGGATTCATCAGGTTCTCACTGTGAAACAGTGGTTCAGGGAGAATTATTGGTCAAGGGAACGTGATTGGCTCATTTTCACCCATGGATTGGCCACCACAGAGTCCAGACCTTAACCCTATTGAGAATCTTCAGGGTGTAAAACGTACTTGAATTCTTTAGCAAATACAGTAGAGGGGGGGGTTGTTTGGGAAGATGTTGCACAAATATATGTTTGATAATGTCGAAAGCGAATTTGTGTACCAAATAGTAGTTTGTTAAGGAAAGAATTTGCGAAACATACAGTGAAAGAACAAACGCATGCAATTTAATGCATTTAAGATTTTCCTCTTAATTGGCTTTTAATGTTAAAGATGCTGTAGTTATTAAATAAGAAAAAATCCCCACTTCATAACACAATGTGTTAAACGGGGTTATTTCAGATGCAAAGCCACAGAGACATTTCACTCCTCTGAAGTTCCCCTTCTAGGGTGTTTAATCTTTTTGCTGCCAACAACTTTCCTGTAATCAATCTCACTTCTCGCAGGTAACTATTTTGAATGCTTTGTAAAATGCTGGAAAAGGACTTAGCATAGAAAATGTTCTGTATGTAGTAAATATGACTTCAGATAGTTTTTAAAGTGTCACTTAAAGATGTCAGGCTTGTTGAATCTTTATGTATGAGACAACTGGTATAAATTAGTGGGTGTAGTTTTGAATATTGCTTTTCCTCTTTTCAGGGTAATGTCCTTGATTGTTTATGCTAATCCATTTTCAGGGAAACAGCTGTTAATGACGACACAGTGGCTGTAGTGTTGTTTACCAACCTGCTGTCCCAGCTGGAGAAGGTGCGCATACAGGAGCAGAACTTTCTACAAAAACACAATATGAAAATAATTCAGCAGCAGCTGCAGGTAAATCATTGTCATCCCATTCCTTTGTGTATCAGTTAGTTAAACACTCAATTTTCAGTTCAGCCTTCAGTTATCTGTTATTTTCTAGGAATACACTTCTTTGTATCTTGCATGGTCATTCGTTTGATCTCTTATCTTTGTGTTCAACACTGTCATTACCCCACTAGAAGTTATCAGATCCTCATTCACTTTTTAAACCAGTCATCACTGAAGAAAAATGGGTAGCTAGAGAAACTTTTTGTAGGCAATATTAGTAAAACTTTAAAATCACTTCACTTCCACAGAAGCTATGTGCTGCACAGCAGAAAAAAAGTTCAACCAAAGACCAGTTATTATGGTCATCATGTGTAGCAGTTGTTATTAAAAGACTTACAATAAGGAGAAGTAGTTCAATGGTACTACTTTGAAAGGGAACTAAAGCGATTGAAATAGTACTATAAAATAAGTTGTGTTAACTGAATGTGCTAGTGATTTTTCTTTGATCTTTGCTACCTTTTCAAAGAAAGGGGTCTTTTTAAAAAGTGTAACAAGTTAATGTGTAACAAGTCTACTTTTGTTTCAATAAATCATACATTCACATACTTCCTTATGACTGTGGATGTCATAAGCCTAAATAATCTCATTGTGAATGCTGAATAATGTATAATTCAGATAGGGAGCTCTACAGAAAGTTGAGTTTTGAAGTCAGAGAATGTTCACGTTAGGAGCCTCAGTGTTATTTTTTTTTTTTTGTTGAAAAGAACCTTACCTTTACAGAAGCTGGTGAGGCCCACACCGCTGTTTCCTGTTTCTCCGAATGTATTTGTTAGAGTCAACACATCTCAGAGGAAGCAGTTACTCCTATGCGGTGGTAGTCATTAGTGTTTGTGGCACCATGTTGTTATGTGTGAGTAAAGTTTGTTTTCTTGATTCATCTAAGAGAAGAGAGAATTCCGTTGAGAGCAGTGTTTCTCACTGTTCAGTCAAACTATTTTTATTTTTATTTTTTTACTGGGGGAAAGCCCTTTGTTCCGTATGTGTTTATCTGACATTTAGTAGGAGGTTTCTTTGGTATGTAGTCCACAACAGTGAGAGGTAAGCATAAATATGAAAAAGAGAGCATCTGAAAAAGATGCGAAAAACAATTTCATGGATGTGAATGAAGAGAAAGTTTCCCTCTGAAACTTTCTCTACATTTCTGAACTGGCTGATGCACATCACAGGGAAAGTGTATTGCTATTTGTCAGTTGTAAATGCAGTGATCCACATCACCTGCAAATAATATTATTTTCATGACTGAAGAAAGGTTTTAAATGCACATGTTGTTTTGATGTTGAAAAAAATTCCCTCCAACAATGTTAGTGGAGGGCGGCACGGTGGTGTGGTGGTTAGCACTGTTGCCTCCCAGCAAGAGGGTTCTGGGTTCGAATCCCGGGGGAACCAGGACCCTTCTGGGTGGAGTTTGCATGTTCTCCCTGTGTCTGCGTGGGTTCTCTCCGGGTTCTCCGGCTTCCTCCCACAGTCCAAAAACCTGCATGTTAGGCTGATTGGAGATTGGGGAAATTGCCCTTAGGAGTGAATGTGAGTGTGAGTGGTTGTTTGTCTTGTGTGTGGCCCTGCAATGGACTGGCGGACTGTCCAGGGTGTACCCTGCCTCTTGCCCGTTGACCACTGGGATAGGCTCCAGTTCCCCCCGCGACCCCATGAGGGAATAAGCGGTATTGATAATGGATGGATGGAATGTTAGTGGATCAGTATTTTTCTAAAGGAGCCTGTTCAGTGTAATGTTAAATGTACTATAGGGACAGGAATTTTGAATAGTAATGTCAGGAGTAGCAAAACAACTCTTGATCATTAAGTTCCGCTCAGCATCAGGACTGTAAATGTATTGCTCAATTCAAGTTTCAATTCAACAATTTAAACAGATTAATCTGTAGCTCAGATGTTAGAGGATAAAGATCATAACTATTGTGCTAGTTTTTTTGTGGCCTGAGTTTATTTCTGTGTCAAAGACACATGAATACAATTTTGAAAATAAAAGTGTTTCCTGGTATTGTTTTGCTAATCTTTTTAAATACTACTCTCTTAATTTCTGTATGTGTGTTTTTGTCACCTGCCAGCTGAAATACTCAACCAACCCCACAGTAATGGCAAGAGTTATATCCACCTGTCTCCGGGAAGAGCGGCGTATTCTCTCCAGTGCCTGCACACAGGAACAGGTTTGTTACATCATCTGTTTTGAAGGGAAAGTCCCTCTGTTTCCTTTATTCAGGTTGCTGCTCGTAAATCAGGGCCCATACCAGGAAGTGAGGGCTAAATGCTGCACAGCCCCACACTAACAACTGTCTCACTTTGTTCCTGAGAAATCCTTGGATGTCAAAAGATTTTGAGGCAAAGTGTTGAAATAACCACAAAAGGAAATGCAGGATTTTGTTGTTGTTTGTCTTGTTTTTTTTAAGCTGAACCTGTTTGACGGATGCCGGTGCAAAAATGCTACAAGTCCAAAATGAATAACAATTTATTAAAATACTCAGGGAAATTGGATAAAAGTTTGATTAAACCTTTTCTAGAAGCCTTTTTCTTATCAGATAACTTAATCATTGTAGGCAATCATGTGACTTTCTGTAAGTCCTTCATTAGGTGTATTAAATCTTCTCCAAACAATTAAAATAGATTATTCATAAAGAGAGAAAATATATAGTTTTTCCTTAAACCAAAAAGAATTACATTTTATAATGATGCATTTTAGAAATTTGTGTTATGTCATTGTTGACGTTAATGTTATGCCCTTTATTAGTTTAATGATTCTGCTAACCATTCTCCAATTACACTACAACATTGAAAGTGACTTCTTTTTTGTTTAAAGAAAAAGGGAGGATACATTTAAATAATAAATTTAATCTATCTTGAACAGGGCCCGCTGGAGAGGTCAATACAGAATTCTGTGGCTTTTGAGAGGCAGAAGAACATGGACAACAGACTTGGGGTCATCAGAGGAAGTGTGCAGGTAACTGAAATACTCCAAACTTTATGGAAAGATATAAATGAGCACAGTCTTGCATTTTGTGATTAACTCTAGAGCTGTCTGCTTCCAGTTGATGGACCAGGCTGTGAAATATATTGAGGACATGCAGGACGACTTTGATTTCCGCTACAAGACGCTCCAGTCAAGAGGTAAATGCTGTGACGAGCTCTGTTCACAAGGCTGAGATAAGAAGGAAAAAAAAGAATTGATCAAAAAAGGTGATCCTTGACAGACTGTAAGAGGCCAGTAAATTTCAGGTTTTGTCTCAGAAATCTAAATGAATTTCATAATGCATTGTTAACAAACGTATGAGAAAAACTGTATTCTTTACAGTTTATTAAATGCGGAGGATCTGAGTATGTAAAAAGGCATAGGATCAAATCTTAACTTGAAACCCAGGACTTGAAATCCCTCATCTTACACTATACCAACACTAATGTCAAGCTCAAACAATCCTGTGTACAAGGATGGATATAAAACGTTTGTCAAGTATATTGTCTTAATTTACACATTTTCACTGTGTGAAACAAAAACAAAAAAATCCTTATGGTTACCTTGTCTACTGGTGATTCTCAGTTGCTAAAAGGATTCTGAGTGAGGTTGTCTGTCTTGTTCGTCTGTGTGTATTCCTGTGATGGACTAGCCACATGTCCAGGATGTGCCTTTTCACCCAATAACAGCTGGGAAAGGTGCCAACCACCACACAACCTTACTAGGCATAAGGGGTGTAGCAAATGAATGAATGAATTTAGGATTCAGAGCAACATGATATTTTCAAGACATCACCTATTCCAGGTAGATTTGTGTATTTTTCAAAAAAGCAATGAAAAGTTGTATTCTCTCACAGCTGCTCACAGTCTTCACCTGTAACCATTAGAGATAGTGGGAAGTGTAAAAAAATCTTTCAAACATGCGGCTTGAGGAAAAATTTGACTAAATATTGTACTTCATTACTTCAGGTCTTGGCATCTTGGGTGCTAAAAAGGTACCAGGGCATCTTTTAAGGGTTTTGAGGATGGAAAAAGTATAGTGGAAAAAGTGGAGTACATAGTGGTAAATGCTTTAATGTTGGAAATGTATTGTTTATAATTTAAATGTAAGACAAAAAAGACACAAAACATGAGATGTTTTTGAATGATTGTTTGTATTAATACTGTTTGCATTTAAAAAAGAGTAAAACAAATCACGTAAAACACTTTTTCTTTATACTGTTATACTTTTACAGTATAACCTCAGTTTTTTGTGATTGTATGTTTGTCTCAGAGTCAACAGACAGGAACTCTGATATGATGAAAGAGGAAGTAACAAGACTGCAAGAAATGCTTAACAGGCTTGACTTCAAGCGGAAGGTACATATTTACAAAGCTCTAATGGAAGAATCATGATAGTTTAAACACTTTCTCAATGCACTGATTAACTCATTAAAGTTATGAACATGTCAAAAACATTCTGCACCTTCTACTGCTTCTCACATCTCTTTAGGAGATAGTTTCCAAGATGGATGTGGTGATCAAAGAGATTGATGACCTGATGACCTCCCAGCTCAGTCCTGAGCTCCATGACTGGAAGCGGAGGCAGCAGATTGCGGCTATTGGCGGTCCCTTACTTACTGGCCTGGACCAGCTGCAGAGTTGGTAATTGGAATCAACAGTTTGTCACACGTTCACAAAACCCTGCAAACAAACTGGTTTAATTAATTCCGCATTCTGATATGGAAACATCCAAAAACTGCTAATAATAACCACTGAAAAATACCTTAAACACAATTTAGGACACAAAAACAATTATTCCCACTAAGCAAACAAGAGCATGTTTTTGTCATTCATCACATATTTACTAAAGTCTGTTCTACACTGGGCATAACTTACACCTATTCAGTAAAAGATCTCTGGATCCAGACCACCTTTAAAATGACCTGCCCTCCACATTTAAAATCTTACTGTAACTTCTTGAGTATGGTAATTATAAAAAATAAAAAAAACTGAACCAACTCAGTAGCCTCCTGAGAAGAAACTGTGAAGTTTCTGTGACGTCAGTTCCTCACTGTCACTTGTTAGTTGAAAATATGTGGGTTGTCTGCTGTAAACACTTTCATTGGAAAAAATGTCTGAAACATTTTTGGAAGGTTTGGTTAAAACCATTTTGTCTGTCAAGATGCTTTTTTTTAAAACCCAATCATACAAGGTATCGCAGTAGGTCTTAAGGACAGTGCATTAAGTCAGCAATGTGGTTTATACCAAATCCTGTAATAAAGGATAATTTTCTCTGGCTTTACTTTTGTGAAGCAAATATTTACATGTTAAACTATAGTTATGGGTGTTACATTACCATTTGTTAGCGTATTGAGGGAGGTTATCTCAGTGTATGTAGGAACAGTCCTGACTTTCTGCTGTGTGTTATCTTGACTAAATCGTAATCGCATCCGCTCTGTTTTGTCAGGGAAACCGTGCTTAAATCCATTACATAAGATTTAATGATTGTGATTGTGAGGTCCCCTTAACCTTTTTTTATCAGTCCCTCATCTTTTTCTGCTCTCTAAGGTTTACCCTGACAGTGCAGAGCCTCTTCCAGATCAAGCGTCAGCTGGACAAACTGGGGGAACTGGTTGTGAAGGTTACTTATGAAAGTGATCCAATTCCACTGCAAAAACCTCAGCTGGAGGAACGAGTGAAGTATCTCATCTACCATCTCATCAAGAGGTACTGACATTCCACAATTTACCTAAGGTAAATTAAACAATGCATAGAGTCGGTACTTTTAAAGCAGTCTGATGCATCATTGTGAAGGTAGGCCAAATGCAATTTCTTTTCTGTTGTGACAGTTGAAAATCTTCTGGCCAAATGTAAGCTTTTGTTTACAGTATTAAATCTTTGTTGCCCATTTTTTTACTTGCTTGTGATAATGTGCATAGTTTGAGAACAATAATTATCTTTATAGTGCAGACGAGGTGTCACACAAGAAAAAAAGGCAAGGCTATTAATACAATTCTGCAATTCACTAAAAATGGGCAAAGGAATCATGTTTGGTGTGGTTTGTTCTCAGCTCATTTGTAGTGGAGAAACAGCCTTGCATGCCAACACATCCGCAAAGACCCCTCATCATCAAAACCGGAGTACAATTCACTACTAAAGTCAGGTATCATTATGTCAACACTTTTTGTCCTGTTTAGTTTGCCAACAGTCAGTGTATTCATTGCTATTATTGCTTGCTGAGAATTTAAGGATTTTCCCTTTCTGATTTCTCACAGACTCCTGGTAAAACTTCCAGAGGTGGATTATCAGCTGAAAGTGAAAACAACATTTGACAAGTAGTTCTTTATTTCTTTAAAAAAAAAAAAATCTACTATGCAGTATTTGTCATGCAGTAATTTTACTAACATATGTGTTTGTGTGACTCTAGGGATCTCCCCCCTGGCAGAGTGTGAGTACAAACAGTCTCAGAACAGGATGTGCTGTTGTTTTTCAGTTTTAGTGCAGATAAGGTTGCAAAACGCTACACCTGTTACTTACTATATCTTAACACGGATATCTATATGTTCAGTTATATTTTTACACTGAACTCAGTTTGGCAGACAATGTGCCTGATCACTTTATGGGTGATCTGGCACACTGGTAAGTTACTCATAAGGAATCTGTTAATTAACTGGTTATTTTGCCTTTTAAACTCCTTTGCTTTATACATAGTCTGTCTATCAAAAAGTCTTTGAATAGGATAATAGCATTTTCAAATGTTGATTTCAGCACATCTTTCAATGCCGGGCAGTCATTATGATAATTGTTGTGCTCTTTTGCTGGAATTCAAGTGAAAGAGAATGATCTGAAATTTGTTGAATTCTTAAAAATAATTAAATCTTAAATAATTTAGATTTGTAACCTTGAACTCACTTGCACATTTCAAGTCTCTATCATTTAAAACATTCCTGGAAGGAGAGGAACAAGGTACAACACATATAGTCAGGCATAGCATGTCCTTGCGACAGCTCTAATCATGCCTTTAAGGCAAATTACGAGTGCTGAAATGGTCAAGGCCCCACTATATACTGTAACCCTCACAGCTATTCTCCAATTCATCAGCTGCTTTTCACCAAGCCTGGCACAAACAAGTGTTGTGCTCCGTTCCCCTCTGTCAGGGAATAGTAGTTATATGCATAAAATGACGTTCCCTTTCAGTTGATCCACTCAGTACAACACACATAGTATGGGATATATATACACTTGGTGCAGAAACAGCACTCCAGACACCAAATGGGCCAGCACATCCAGTCGGTAGAACTGAGCAAAGGTATGCAGTGATTACCAACTTGCCACAGCACAGTTATCATTGTTAGAGAACCCTCTAAACAGGGCCCATGAAGCTTGTTGAATGAGCTCTGACACCCGTAGGTGGAGGGAGGCCCCAGCTGCTGTAAACTGGAGAAATCCCCTCTACAATCCAATGGGACAGTATCTGTCTAGACAAGGCTTTACCCTTAGCTGGTCTGCAGCTACGTCCTTCGAATCCTAGAGGTGGACCTTTACCCAAAGTTGATGGAGTAAAAGTTGGTCAGGGTTTCAAATTGTGACTGACTGGGACCATGAGACCACAGAGAACTCTGTGATGATACCCTGGGTTTGCAAGCCTTCACAGGTTTGGGTCTCGAGACGCTTCCTGAAATAACACTGCACAGTGGCTCCATCTGCATCATTTGCAGCTCAAATTTGGCCTGTATGGCATCAAGTAACTGTAACAACAGCCCATCGGGTGGCACAGGCAAGTCCAAATAAACATCTGTCCAGTACGTTAGAGAGGGTCAACCATGGATGCATCTGCACCAATACTGTGGATGCCAACCTCTTTCCCAGTGAGATGGCTGCATTGTGTAGCACACAAAAGATTGAATCCAAGGTGATCCTAATCACCTTCAGGAGCGATGCCAGTGGTTGCCAGATATATGGCCTGATATTTCTGGAGCATTGTGCTGTGGATGCTTGTGCCCAGATCTTGTCTGGCCTAGATGCTGAAAATCTCCTTGGAATGGAAGACCGGTGGGGCTGTCCACACCATAATTGTAAAACAAGGCCAAATAAGCCACTAAAGACAGCTCCATGGGATCCAATTGGAGTTGGCTTTAGCCTTCTGGGGAAAGACTTTTTAGGTACTGCTGCCGTTAGTGAAGGTGTTCTTAGTGAAGTGAAGAGCGTAAGAAATGGAGAATGACTTTGAGGACATTATATATAGTGCAGATGCGACATCGCACAAATTGTTTGCCCTAAAAACGTGATTAGAGGCGTCCTCAGCCAGGACAACCAAGGGCGTGACATCCCATACTATATGTGTTGTACCAAGTGAATCGACTGACAGGGAACGATATATACACCGATAAAGATTGGATAATCTATCAACCCGCTGTTGTTTTACTCTACTTTTCTCCTCAGAAGTCGTCAGTTTTTTATCCTGACCAACAATACTAAAGTGATGGACATTGAGGACTATTCAAATGGCTGTCTCTCTGTGGAGTTCAGACATCTGGTAAAACAACCTCAAAGCTTCAGATGTGTAATGAATAGTGTACCCTACCTTTTCTTTTTTTAAATTATATTTAAGATTTTACTTAAGGCAACTGACAAGCAGCTTGTGTCTCACAGCAGCTGAAAGAAAAGAAATACATCAATGGCACAAAGGGGAATGAGGTAAGAAACAGATCTGTCTGTAGATTTAGAGGGTCCTATGATCAGCTCTGTGAATCACCTGCTCTAGCGTGAAGCTCACTTGCAGTGTCTGACTACTGCAAATGATGTTGAGATAAAATTGTGAGGTTGGCCTATACACTGATTCCTGATCAATAAATTAGCTCTAAAAATTCTGTGATTTGAGCCAGTGTTTGGTGTATTCTCTAGGGCCTACTCTCTGTGACAGAAGAACTTCACTCCCTCAGTTTTGAAGCTTGCTTCACTGTGCAGGGTCTCACCATTGATCTGGAGGTCAGCATCAGTGACATTTTATTTATTTTTGCTCACTGTGCGAAACCTGTGTTTAAAAAAATAACTCCTTTTTTTCTTTTATTTTACAGACATGTTCCCTTCCATTAGTGGTGATTTCTAATGTGAGCCAGCTGCCTGGGGGCTGGGCATCTGTAATGTGGTATAACCTCCTGACTAATGAGCCAAGGGTGAGCTGACAGGCACAAAATACTATTGCTTTAAGGCTTATTTCATACACTTAGATAAAACAAAAAAATGCTTACTTTTACTTTAAGACTGTTTTTATCATAATCTTACCCCTGGCAGATCCAGATTCAGGGAAAGGCAGTCAGCTACCACAACTAGCTTGTTACTGAGAGTACAGGAAAAGGGGAACCTCAGTCTCCACTAATAATCTAACACCAGACCTGGGATACCTCCTGAGGAAGAGAATTTCAAATTCATGTATAACATTTTGTTGAGTTCCCGTATCAAATTCAACTCACTACTCCATCTACTTGAATACTCTGGCAAAGACTTAAGACACAACTCGGTCCCCACGGTCATAAATTGACTTTCATCTAACAGAGCCTACACAATGCCTAAGACTCCAGACTCTTTTAATCTGACGTACTAAGCCCCGAGGAGAACAGGGGCATCCCTGTCTATCTGTAAGAAACCCTTGAAGACCCAGCCCTTCAGAGAGCATCCCTTACCCTAACTCTTATCAGGTTTATCATTCTGTTTTACTTTGTAACAAAGTAAAACATTTTTTGAGAATTTGTACTTTAATTGAATAGCATTTTTAATGAAAACATATTACTTTCACACCACTACCATATGAAGATTAAAATCCTGCTTTTTACCCCCCTAAATTCCATCGTAGGCTTTCACTACTCTTCCTTGGGTAAGTTTCTTCATGTGGTTTGCATCTGAAAAATTACTCACTGCTCTCTTGTTCAGTAGGTGGCAATATGCAGCTTTAAACTAGCTGATGATGCTGACATGAAACCTGGGTTAGAATTGAGCTGGTATTATTTTAGTTTAGTCTCCAGTTGTCCCGGTATAAACTGTACATGTAATACTTAAAATTCCTGCTTTCCTCTGACTTTTGCTGAAAAGGTTTATTTTAATGTATTTTACTTATTTAAACTGAACCACCTCTCGTGCGTAGTCTACAAATGACTGAAGAGTGAAAAATGATGATGCGAATTAAAGTGTCTAAGAGTCTGCACAAGTGCTTTATAAGGCCAATGGTTTATTATTAATTATCTTTCATTTGGAGTTACTGTCCAGTTCAATGTTCAATGTCAGAAAAATGTTCCCAATTCTAGACTACACTCATCTAAAATAGACAGTTACAACTTTTTTCAGAATTGAAGATTTTCAACTTTGAATAAGTATTTATGAAAGCAGATAGCAGATACTTCAGTACTTTAACACAAGTAATAATTTTGACAGAGCACAGAGCTTTTACTGGAGTAATATTTGACCAGTAGGATTTGTACTTCTACTCGAGTAATAAAACTGATTACTTTGTCTACCACTGCTCTAATCCTGTACCTCCCTAACCCCTCTACCTATGTTTCTATACTTTCTCTATCTCAATCTGGTAAAAAGTGTTACCTAATGGAAGCATGTATAGTGAAAATGATTGGCCCAAACACTAAACCCTGTGATGGAAATCCAATCTATGGTGTAAGAAGAAGATTCTTTCTTTACATGAGCAAACGGGAATCAATTGAATAAATTTATATCAAACAATAATAGCATAATGCAGTTAGTTTAATCCCACATGTCTTCATAACATAATACTGTGATCATTTTGTTTTTGTGTTTTTTTTAAAAGTTAAACATTGATTACAACAACCTTAAAGCTATAGATGGATTCTTCAAATGCATAATGAAATGAAGGGGATCGCCTCCTTTAACATATGATTTGGAAGATTAGAAGAGGCTATGTTTAGAGTATGTAAAACACAAGTTAGGTTCTAATTATGCTTCCAAACCAGCCAGTGACTATTAGAGGGGTACAAACAGACCCTTTATTTCCTTCATAACCTTTTATTTTTACTGCGTATTTGTCCATAGAACTTGGCATTCTTTGGTAACCCACTTCGGGCCAACTGGAGCCAACTCTCTGAGGTCCTCAGCTGGCAGTTCTCTACCTTTGCTGGGCGAGGCCTTAACAAAGAACAACTTGCAATGCTGGTGGAAAAGCTTTTGGGTATGTATAGTATTTAATTTTATTCAAAGGCGCCAACGTTTTTCGATGAAGAAACTGGAAAACTGAAAAAAAATCTATGTTGAAAAAAACAATGTTCTTTTTCATTACAAAGATGACTATTTAAGAGCACATTGAGAGGTATCTTACTTAAAATGAGCTCTAGACTATTTTAACTGGGCTAATAGTTTTTTGTTTTGGTTTGTGATAAAATTGATTTAATTAAATTAAGTTATTTTTTCCTGAATATTTTTATAGGTCAGCATGCCTCGTGTGGTGACTATCAAGTCTCCTGGTCCAGATTTGCCAAGGTAACAGCATGCTTCTACTGTCCCGTACCAATTTGGATATAATAGCACCACCCTGTGATCAAAGAAGAAGCTATTATTACAGAATCTGTCCTGTATTTAAAAAAATTTTAACTGGTTATATATATGTCCTTATTGCTATTTCTCATTGTAAATATGACAAAACATTTAAACCAGGTAGCAACCTTAGGTGAGTTGACTTGTTTTTCGAATACAGTGAAACTTAGTCCCATTAAAAACCCATATGGAAAATAATATTAATGGTAACTTAAGAGATTAAATAGATAAAAAGAAAATCAACAAATGAATTAATTAAATGAAAGGTGCAATTAGAAAATGAATGAATGTAATAGAACAAATATGTTGCACTATGACACATTTGTACCAAGATCTCTTCACTATTGTACCTGGGCATTAGTGATGGTTTATAGGCAAACTAATTCAAAGTGTACAACAGGTATGGCTTGTAATAGTAGTCTCTAAATACTCAATGAACGGTTGCCACATTTGAAAAAAGGTATCACCTTTGTTTCTCATGACACAAGTGATCTTTTATGTTGATTTTTCAGGCATTTTGTCTGCTGTTTGGATGAGTTTGTTTGCAGAGTCTGCTAGTGTTTGTTGTCTTGTTTCTACCTCCACTACCCTTTACACCTTTATTACTTTAAAATAAGGATCATACTTTCATTGTTGACATTCATGCAGTCCTGTCTAGTTCATGTTTCTTGTTTTCACTTTGAAATAAAAATATAAATGAAAATATACAGTAAGTGATCATTATCTCTTTCTATATGTCTTTTACTCATTCAGGAGAATATTCCAGGGAAGCCCTTCAGTTTTTGGATGTGGCTGGACTCAATCCTGGATCTTATCAAGAAGCATCTCCTGCCAGTGTGGAATGAGAAGTAGGCAACGTTCACTTTTTATATCTCACATTATACTACCTTTGTCCCGCATCACTTTCCGCTGTCTCAGTTGATTTTTGCAAATTTCTCTGTGGAAACTGATTTTATAATTTGTTTATCCAATTCTATCTGTTAAAACCATGCTTTTAGAATAAACTGTTTTTATTTTTGCTCAAGAAGATAACATGGCTTGTAACTAAATCTAATCCACCATTTGCAATTTTAAATGATAAAAAGGGGACATTTTGGCATCCCTGTTTACTTTTTCAAATTTGATTAAACATTAAAGGCATCATCGTTTCACAAAGTACTATTGATATGGTTCATGATCTCTTAATAATGGCTCTTTTATGATTAATACATAATTTAAAAAGGTTATACAATAAAATAAAAAACCTAAAACAGAATCTTGATGAAACCCAGATTTTGTTTTGATGAATGACCATAGAAACACAAATCAACAGCTATTTGTTGATTTGTGCGAAAACAACAAATAGTCCTGTAAGGGCCACAATGTTTAACCAGTGATAAACATACAGCTTCCTATAATTTCCTTAAATTTGATTTAGCTTTGTTTTTACGCCCATGTTTGTGCAGGGAAATAAAATTGCAGATCTACATAACTTCCCTGCAAATTTTTTGCTCTGTAAGTTTAAAAGAGAAGTATCGTTGGACACCTTGGGTGTAAACAACAAAAGTGATTTTCTCTTTCCCGACCACTACTTGTTCAGCTACATCATGGGCTTTGTGAGCAAGGAGATGGAGCGTGCTTTGCTGAAGGACAGAGAGCCCGGCACTTTTCTCTTGCGCTTTAGCGAGAGTCACCTCGGGGGAATAACGTTCACCTGGGTAGAACACAGTGAAAATGGTGAGGTCATGTTTTTCTATTTGCCAAAAGATGGAGAGAAAAAAGAACCAAATATCAGTACAATTGAACTACCTATTATTTTCTCCATTGTTTGTTCTTTGGAATTGTGTTTTGAAAAACAGAGTTTTGCATTATATCAATTTCTCTGCTTTCCTTTTTAACAGGTGATGTAAAGTTTAACTCTGTGGAGCCATATACTAAAAACCGCCTTAGTGCTCTTCCATTTGCTGACATTATACGAGACTACAAAGTCATTTCAGACGGAGTTGTCCCTGAAAACCCACTCAAGTTCCTCTACCCCGACATTCCCAAAGACGAGGCCTTTGGGCGGCTCTACAACAGTCAGCCAAGCAAAGGCAAGATCATAAAACTTTTGTATTTATCTTGATTTTCTGGGTTTTTTTAAGGCAAAAACTTTAATGCCTTTTGTGTCTCTTTAATTTCCAGTGCACCCATACATACCCTCAACCCTCATCCCCATCTCACAACTACGGTCAGTTCTTCACACTTGTGTTTTCTGCTTGACAAATGTGGTACTTTTGAATTTTAGTTCTAATACGTTAGAACTCAGAACTAGTGGCTTAAGTGCCTATGAGGTTACAGGCATAATGTGAGACTGAAAATGTGGCATGACATTGTATTTTTGCCAGGAATGTTCTTTTACCTTAGGATAGATTTAACAAACGGCAAAAAGCATGAATCAAATGATCAAAAACATTTAACTATTTATTAAAAATGAATCCTTGTTGACATGGTTTTGGTACTCTGCAACACAGTTTATCAGTCTTTCTCAATCAACCATAGACAGCATAGTGGAGAATAAGATATCAGCTGAACATTAACACATCACTGTGTTCAACTTCAGAATGTGAGGTTTAAAGACCCACAAAAAAGATTCACAAATATTGTCTTAGTCATTTTTGTGGTATTTGGATCAAATTTGACAAAAGGATGACCGTAGCTTGTAAAGTACATCATCATATTTTAAAATATTTTTTATGACTTATTAGAGGCAGACTCCTAATATGTATGAGCTCTCCCTTTTTACTATTTCCAGTCCTAAAGCAAGCACCACTTCATCATCATGTCAGTCTCCAGAGCCTCCAATGACTCCTGGGGAGTTTGACATGCTTAATGAGCACCTATGCTTTGATATCGACACCGTAAGTTTGCATGCACTGACTGACCATTGTATTTAAAGATAAAGCTGATGACTACCTTTGCTTTTTGCTTCCTCTTTTTGCTTTTCATATAAATCCACTAGTAAATCCACTCCCAAATACACTTTGATGTATCAACTGTTTTATTGAAACCATTTTGCCATAGCAATTTGGCAGCTGAAAATGTTTACCAAAACATGCACAATAAAGTTCTACTTGTATATTGTTTGCAATGTTGGAAGTGACCAAGACTTGCTAACGTTTTCTTTTTCCTTTTGGATTGCCAGATGAGCTCTCCGTATTCAGAGTAAAGAAAGATGAAGTATGCAACATTTTAATCAACAAACCTCTCAATTTGACGCCATTCCAATTTCTGCTCAAATCAGCATTTTGATTACCATGTGACTGTTAGTCTCGTATAAATATGTTTTGTCGTTTTTATTTTTTATTTTTTCATTTTCATACTTTTACAATTAAACCATTTCCAATCCTGTTTCCAGAATTCGTTATTGTGATTGCATCAGTTTCAAACTTATTTTTTTCATTTCAATCAGTTGTTTACCTTAACACAAATGTCAACAGCTAATTCACTCCAGCGAATGAGAAGGTACCCTCGCTTTGCCTTCAGGTGCTGACTGTTGTTTGTGAATATGCACCTAATAACAGTTCATATTATCCAACCTTTTTGGAGTCCTTAGAGAGTGTGCTGTAGAGCGACCCCTCCCGGGGACCCTGAGCGGTGTTTTGTCGATGGACTTTTGTGCTCGTGATCGACTGTGCTCCACAAATAGTTGTTTACAGTGGGGACAAATCACACTCTTAAGCCTCCTTGGGAAGGTCTGTTCATAGGTTCTGGAAAGGAGGCTCTATATCCTCAGCAGGCTCCTGGAGGGTATATTGGAGTTCACTCAACCAGTCTACTTTTGTTTTGTGGACCTCGAGAAGACACTCCTGTGGGAGCTGGCAGAAGTCGCGGCTTAGGGAGGTGGAGGCCGTGCATCCAAACAGACGTTTCAGCAAGAATATTAAATCGTTTATGATATAGTAAATATATATAAATAACCGAATAATTAACTGAAAACACTAGAGTACAGTGAAGAAAGCCTTTAAGGCCTGAAAGAGTATATTGATGATTGTTTCAGTCGGATCGTCATGGGGAAAACTAGTCAAATCGTCTACAGGTAAATCAGGTGCTAGCTCCAAGTGGAGTCGTAACGAAGAATCGGTGTACATTTTGGTGTCAATAACAACAAATTGTCCAGTTTCGATGCTTGGTTCACCCTATTAGAGATTATCCGTAAAGAATTCCGGACACTTCGTGAGTCGTTGGAGTTCAGCCAGCAACAGGTTCCGTCGTTGGCTGCAGAGAACGCGACCCTCAGAGAGTTGGTGAAATCCCTCACTGAGGAAAGGAGCCGTGTTTCTGAGGAAAACAAAAAACAAAAACAAAAAAAACAATCATCAACATCCTCCAGATCCACAGAATGAGGGACAACCTTGAGTTCTCTGGGATTCCGGAGAAAACAGATGAGGACCTGAACGCATTATCAAAAACTTCTTCCAGACTGAAGCTTCCGGAAGACACCGTGAATAAAATCAGCTTCCACTGTGTATAGAGCCTGGGAGGGAAAAGACCTGCTGCCCGCAGGCTAAGTTCGAGCACCACAAACCAAAGGTTTTGGTAAGGAGCCGTGGCAGGGAGCTGATCATCAACGACCAGTTTCCAAAGGAAATGTTGGTTAGATGCGGGTCCTGTTCCAGCTGAGTCAAGCTGACATCCCACCCACTTCAAAAATTCCTGCAAATAGATTAAATGGTTAGGGCTCTGTTTGTGCAGGTTTGTTCTGTTAAAATCTATGTTTGTGGTGCTTTTGTTTCTGTGATATTAGAAATGATTTTTTAGGTAATCCAAAGGGTGATTCAGCTGCAAACTGGGGGAGACAGATAGCAGCATACACGTGCATGCTGCGCGTGCTTGTAAACAATGCGCCAAACCCTTTCAAAATAAAAGACTGTTGCATCGCATCCACACTAAAGTACAGTAGAACCTCTAAATACGAATTTAATTTGTTCCGGGAACTATTTCATTAGTTAACATATTTGTATGTCGGGTCAAATAATTCCATAAGAATATACTGTAATTTGTATAATCCGTTCCACAGCCCAAAAACCTATGATAACTCCTTAATAGATACTGCAGATACTTACACATAGCAATAAAACAAATTAATTATAAAAAGAGAGATGTAAAAATAAATAAATAATACAGAAATAATAAATAAAAAGGGGTTTTTATTGGCACTTATGGGCAAACGGCAATGCTGGAGACGGAGGAGATGGTCGGTGCGCTAGTAAAGGTGGTGACTGAGATACAGTACGAGAAGTTTAAACTAACCTGGCGTTCTATTTTTATGAAAATGTTATATTTTATACTTATTTTCTATTACTTCGGCATTATCACACACCGGTGAGGTCAAGTTGGGATTTTGTCCTGTCCGATATCTTGTAATTTCCAGTTTTATTTTGAAAAGTAAATCTATTCTCGTTTCAGGTCACTTGCACTTTCCTGTGTGTCACATGCAGAAATGTATAAAGTACTGGAGTAGAGGAGTGGAGTAGAAGTACAAGTACTATATAAAAAAATTGACTTGAGTAAAAGTTCTAGTGTTCTTTCAACACTGTACTTGAGTGGAAGAATGGAAGTACTCAACTTTTTTTGTACTGAAGTTTTATCAGTAGAAATAAATAAAAAATTGCTACTCAGGTATGGAAAGTACAAGTATAAGTAAAAGCACAAGTACTGTGTATATAAAAAAAATGTTTATATTATTTTAAACGTGTTGAAGGCACACTACCTGGCTGAATTAGCAGTACAATTATAAAAGGCCATACAGGTGTTTACAAAAAACAGAAAACTGCATATGCATTATTGAATACTTTATACTTTATTGATCTCCGAGGAGAAATTAATTCAAATAAGAAATCAACCGCACTTCCTCTACTATTATTTATTATTACAGTGCCACAATCATGAGCTGGGAGCATACAGCTAGTCAGCTAGGCTTACTTTAGGTAATTATAGCTGCTACGCCCTGAGTGAACAGGGAGAACTGAATTAGCGCTTATTTACTATCTTATATGTCATTGTATTTTTTAACTTACCTTGATATGCTTCTTCAGACTAGATGAGGAATTTTTGAAGGAATTTTCGGGAGGCCTTTTTTTATAGGCTACGCTTGATCGCTCAAATCGCTCAATGATGAGACAGCTTCACAAACCGTGACAGAGCCATCTACAGCACTAGCATTGACACCATTGACACTATGACTTGGGGATGATTCATTACGTTTACATATCAGTAACAAGTAACGATTCAGCCCATGAAAAATCGATCGGAGTAAAAGTATTAAATTAATCAAAAATATGTAGTGGAGTAAAAGTAAAAGTATGGAAAAAATATAATCCAATAAAGGACAGATACTGCATTTTGGTACTTAAGAACAGTACTTAAGTTGTTCTACTTTGTTACTGAACATCTCTGGTCACATGTCTGATTGTCTACCCTGATCACTGATTGTGTTCACCTGGGGTTCCCTTGCCTTAATGTGTTAAATAGTCTGCATCTGCCCTTGTCCCGTGCCAGTGTGCTTTGTCCTATCAACCAATGATGCTGTGCGTAATCCTTGCCTTGAATCTCCACGTTGTTTTTCCTCGTATGAGCGAATATTATTTTGTACATAGTTTTTTCATCCTCTTTGTGAGTGAGTATTATTTGGTAATTTATTAGTCCTTTGCATCCTTGATTTCGAGTGATTATTGTTTTGTACTTTTTGCCTTGCCTTACAATCCCTGTGAGTGCCTCGGCCTGACAAACGTCATATGTATGTTAGAAATTTACTTTGGGTGTTGAGTTGAATATTTGATTGAATTTCACTTCGTATGTTGGAAAATGTGTATGTCTTCAAGGCAATCGTAAGCAGAGGTTCTACTGTACTTGTTTTTCTGACTGATGGTCTGCAGGCCGGACAGGAACACCTTGCAGGCCATAAAACGCCCAGGTCTGGTGTTATCCTTAAAAAAGTTATACATGGGTTTTAAAACTTAAAAATGATTTTACAAAGATATGTCTATTCATACCCCTCATTGGGTTGCCCCCTTATCATGGTTTTTGAGTGTCCCAATGGTCCTAGGAGCTATGTTGTCCCCTGGTAGTGTCACCCAAAGCAAAAAGGTCATTGGCAAGGGATCAGGCGAAGTGCAGCCCAAAGACCCCTTATAATGTGAATCACATATGGACCAATTGTTCTCTTGCCAAGATGTGGGTCACGGGGGCCTCAGTCTGGAGCCAATATTTTATAAAATGGTATTACAAGTCAAGGAAAATAGTAGTTTATCCCCAAGCATGAACTTTGCTAATATCATTCTATTGCAAACAAGGAAAAGATCCTGTTCTTCCATTACCACCCAATATCATTAATGAATGTAGACATAAAAATAATTTGTAAACCCTTGCTAAAAGACTGGAAAAATTACTCCCTTTATAATACATCTTTATCAGACAGGTTTTTATGAAGGGTACACAGTCATCCATCAACATGCGCAGGTTAATTAATAGCATAGATTTTTCTACCTTCAATTACAAATTTCTCGTTACATGCAGAAAAAGCACTTGATTGAGTTAACTGGAAATTCCTATTCGCAACACTAAACAAATTTGGGTTTGGATCGAGCTTTATCGACTGGATTAAGATACTATAGCCTATAGTTCTCCCAATGCGTGTGTAAACACTAATGATCAAACCTCTCCAAGCTTAAGTCTGCAGAGGGGTACCAGACAGGGCTGCCCACTTTCCCCATCGCTGTTTGCCATTTTTATAGAACCATTAGCAGCTTCTATCAGGCAAGATACAAATATCATGGGAATTCAACCCAAAGAGATTGAGCTGCTAATGAGATTGAACAGAGTTGTCCTCAACTCACACCCATCAGGGACCCGGAGAGACGAGGGGGGGTCTCCTTGTGCCCCTGCTGCCTGGGAGCTGCCTAGCTCCTGGGGGTCTCAGGGGTGCTTCTGCCGGTCCTGGCCCTACAGCGGTGGGGCAATACTGACCCTGGAGGTGCCCACCACCCACCCCCACCCCCACCCCACCACTCAGGGCGCCGCCCTGAATTTTCCCGCTGCCGTGCCGACCATCGGGCACACCATGGCCCCCTGGGGTCAGGGGTGTTGGGGTCTTGCTGGCCCGCTGTGTCTGGCTCTCTGGGGCGCCTGGCCCTTCCGGTCACTGGGAGGGTGGGCTTCTGCTCGGGGGGGGGGGGTGGCGCTCGGGCTCACGGGGCCTGGGTGCCGGTTCTCGGCCTATGTCTGAGGGACGGGACACGGGGGGGGCTGGTTTGCTGTCGTTCATGGTTCCTGGGGGGCCTCTGCCCTACGGTGGTGGGAGCTCCTCTGGGGAGCTTTCCTGGTCGCCTTCTGGGTTGGTGCCCGGTTGGCCTCTGTGGTTGTCCTTCTGGGATCTGTGCTCGGGTGGCTGCTGGGTGACCGGGTCTGGGGGCACTCTCTGCCGTCTTCGGAGCGCTGGGCTTTGGCTGGTGGCTCCTTCGCACTATAACTGAGCACAATCTGGGAAACCTGGGCCTGGGTTCTCATTCTTTCACACACACACACACACACACACACACACACACACACACACACACACACACACACAGTCAGTTACAGACACGCCTCCTTAGGCTTCTGTACATTTGCTGCACAATTCTGAGAAGTTCATTAATGTCCTGCTACCAGTGTTGTTTCTTTCGTTGCTTGTTTGTTCTCTTGTCTTCTCTGTGCCCTTTTGCAGGAGCTCCTACAGGTTCTCCGCCCGGATTGCCCACAAGGAACAGTGTCCTTTTTGCAGACATATTAGCTGGTTGTATGGTCTTATTGTC